CCTTCATTCAGTTGAAAACGATCCTATTCCTTAGTTGAATAAATCGCTTCTCGGTAGACCCACATATTTCTGCCACAGGGTGTCGCTGGATCGCTGCCCTATATTTATTTCCCGGCAGATCCTCAAGGGACTATCTCCTGACCTATCTCATCAAGCGGATATGGAACGTCGGGAACGAGCATTCAATGCCCCAATCCCGCGAAAAGCACAAACCCGTCGTGATAATTTAGCTAAGATGAATAGGGCGCTATACGGCCAGCAATTACCTCGACTGAGTGATGTTCAGTCTATGTCTGTCCTAGCTCAACGGAAGGCAACGTATTATCCAGCTATTATAGAGATCGCAGTAATCAGGGCTGCAGGATTCAACCGGCACACCCGTAAAGGGAAGAGCGAGATCTGCGTGATAACTCTCTAGCAGATTGAGGAGGTAATTGACAACCGTCTCGCGATACTTGATTCTCAAGAAGCTGTTGACTTACGGGAGAAGTTCCCAAGGAATACTATAATTATCTCAATATTTTTTCTAAAAAAGCTTCTGACCAGCTCCTACCGCTGCGTGAGAAGAACTACCGGCTGACTCTAGACCCGGAAACGTTACCGGTGGAGACTATTAGCAATAGACCTCTCTATAAGATGTTTATCGAGGAGCTGGAGGCAGCCAGACAGTACATCATAGAGAATCTTGACAAAGGGTTTATCGTCCCTAGTGGAGCACCGTTCGCGTCTCCAATCCTGATGGCCAACGATACTTTGTAGTATAACTGGCAGCGTAGTTTTACTCGGATTGTATAAGGATTGGCTAATTACTTGGAGCCATATATATATATATCGTACATATAAAAATGAAAATAATTTTCTAATTGCGAATAATCAAGGAATCCTGCGAATAATATTCGCAGTTTTTATTCGCAACCAAAAATCTTGCGAATAAATATTCGCTACGAATATTCGTAACAGCCCTACCCGTAGCCCCCCAACCACCCCCGATCCCCCATCCAGGTCCACGTTCCAGGACCAGCTCGAACGCATGGTCCATCGGTTCATGATCCGCGGTACACACGAACCCATGGAGACGTTGCTCGACTGACGCACGTACGGCTTAAAGATCCACTACCCACAATTCCAAAACTGGCAACACAAAAGCTCCCAACTGCACATGGATACAGCCTTGTCACAATCTGTAGGAATCAAAAAAGGGTCAATTCCGCCCACAGTCTTGCATAGATCGACAGTCCATCTCCCCCCAATCATCTTAGTTTCTCCAACTCCTCCAGTCATAAGCAGCAGTTCACTCCAGCATGCAGCTCCTTCGGTTTGTCTTGTCGAAATACGAGCAATTGCCAAATCGGCGAGTTTCCAATGACCTTCGCTGTTTTCCCAACACAAACCACATGACTGCCAGCTTGGTGTTTTCCACATTCCTGCATTCTTTCGTGATGCGGGATTCCCTACGCTCTCCCCTCCCCCCCCGATGCCAGATACCATCTCCTCTCTCTCACACAGTGTGACTGTGAGACTTACAGCGAACAATAATGTCGCTGACACGAACGCTATGGGACTCGTTTACCGGAGTTAGCCTCGCCCGGAGGCAGGACATCACCTTCATCCCAGGCCAATGCTACGATGACTGCAGTGCGTCTTTCCATCTCACCATACTAACACCAACCCCACCTACATATCTAGTGCACAATAACAGTACATATTTCTAACACCTCAATCACTCAATCAAGACGACACCGCCCTAGGGGTCCAACAAGACAGTAAAAATTCCTCCATCTGCGAAGCCAACTCGCCGTTCCAGCAAGCCCTCGGTCTCTGTCGGGAGTGTATCAACGCCTTTGCCAAAGACGATAACTCCACTAGCTGTGGCGACAACGGATGGGATTCAGTCCGGTCGACCTTCCAGCGGTTTTTGAATCTCTGCGAGGGGAGTACCAACACCACCGACGCCCAGAAGGTTGTGGAGCTTCTTTCGAGCAAGTCGGTGCTGGATTGTTCTTTGGCTCAGCTTACAGGGACGGGGACGGGGACGGAAACTACGACATCTGCCCTGACGACGACAACGACGAGTGAAAGCCCCGGTATGATCACTATTACGGCGATTCCGTCGAATTCTGCGAGTTCTAGCCTCAATGCAGAAGTCATAGCGCCGTCTGTGGTTGTGCCGGTGATGGTTGTTATTGCGGCTATAATTGCGGCGGCTCTGTTCATGCGGCGGCGAAGACGGCGACGACAGAAGCAGACGCCGGGAGATGATGCTGCTATTGACTCAGATAATAAGAGTGGGTTTTTTGGAAAGCTGGAGTTACCTGCTGATTCCTTTCGACCGGAGTTGGAGGGCGCGAACCCAGCTGAAATGCGCGTGGCGAATCCCGGGGTGATTGCAGAGTTGCCAGCGCGGGAGGTTGTTGGGAGTGAGTTAGATGCAAGAACATCTTGAGTAGGCATTTCTTAGTAGGTGTATGTATGTATGTCCAAATAGTAATATCTTTGACCAATGCTTCCATTCGTGTCGCTCCACTCCCTGCTGGTGGGGACACGGCCAGTAGTTCCTATTCCTCACAGCCCACAGTCAGAGTGGGTCACTAGGTCAGATCACTGGGGTCTTATGGAACAGAACATCGAGATAAGTCCGTATAACAAATGACATTCCCCAATAGCTAAATTAGATGATCGAAGGAAAGAACTTCGGACAGCCGGTTGTTACATCGCAAAAATGACAGGGTTGCTCACCTGATTCTCGAATCCCTAGACGCGTACCAGACTCATACATGGTGTCAAACTGAGGATAAAAGGAAGAGGATTTTAAACCCAGATTACCTAAACATTTTTTATTTGTCGGAAGTTGTCTGCTTGGGCGCTCTCACAGAAGGTTTTGGGGTGGGGAGATCTGCCATGTTTTGTGATTGGCACTACTTCCCAATGCAGAGTGCAGGGGCTGCAAAGAATGCTACGCCGCTACTTCATGCTTTTCCTTATTTGGACGGAAGTTCTACGTGCACACAACTTCCGTCCACATGTGGTATAGTGCCCTAAGTGAGGATTGTCAGTGGACAGGGCCGGCAAGCCGTGGCTTTTCCACTAATACTGCAGTATTTTCTATCGCTACCAGAGGATGAGGGGATACGAACATTGGCACACGCCAATTTCCAGGCGCTATACTTTAGTGCAGATTGACAAAACTGGATAATCCGATGGGATCGCCAGGTTGAGATAATTGTTGAGGGACGTTCATTTTAGTGCCTGCTGTAGCTATTGCTCGACGGAAGAGAGGATGTTGTCTAGATCGTCCGGGTGTTCGGGTTCATGACAAGTGGTAAAGGAGGGGCATCTACCCGAAGTAAGCACTAATATGCACCTAACTACTCGTAAAAGCTGACGGTCATTCATTAGCTCCTTGCCCTAAGCCCAGCTGCGAGAAGTCAGCTTCTAGCCCACTAGCTTGTCATTTGACCAATCATTCTGGCACTTCACTGGTCTTGTATGAGATGAGGGACCGTGGGCGGCAACTAGTGATGGCCGAATATCGAGTGCCTCAAGGATTTATCATCAGTCTAAGGATGATGCTTAGACCAGGAAACATTTTTGTCTGGTCCCATTCAAATACGTTCATTGGATGGAGAGGGTATTGGAGGAAATGTGGCGCCGCATAGTACATTGGCTCAGCGGGGTGAGTTGGTCTAATTTTCTGCTGCTCCATTCAGCGTTCTGTAGTCATCACACGGATGTCAGGATTCTCTTATTGTTTAGCCTACTGTAGTGGTCCTACACTTCTAGTCAGGCACAGAGGTTCTCGATATCTATCAAAAAATCCAAAACCCGTCAGCACTCGGTAGTCGGAGACATCAAGGGAACATTTCGGTAGTGTATTCAGCAATACCATGTGATTTGTACGCTTTGCTCCCTACATGCGCCAATTTTCCTCCGACAGACATTCGAAAAATTCTACACGCGATCGGCTAGACGTCCGCCTTATATGATAGGCTATCGCGGGAGCTAGTAGCACCGTTCAAGTCAGCCAATTTCAAAACCCCCAAAACAGAACTTCTATCGTTATCTATATATCCCTTGCCCGCCCATTACCGCTTCATGAGGACAAACTTTGAACTTCCCAAAACAGTGAGAGATCATCTTGATTAAGTGGTATCGCTTATGACATCTGGGTCTTCCGCTGCGCGTCGGAGGACATGTTTTATTTGCCCATAGATCCCTGTGTCACTGCTTTTTCTTCGCGACTCGTTAGGAAAATTTACCCGACGCAATCTGTTCACCCATGGCACCAGTGACCGGTAGTAGGGTGTAAAATACTTCCTTGCCGTTTGTTCGAAATCGGTTTCGTCATCCACGATCCCCTTTTTAGTGTTAGCTAGTTTTTGGTCGTCGTCATAGTTCCAACAGTCAAAGTCTGTCGGCCCAATATCTTTGCCTGGCCCGTCATAATGGATACATATCCAGAACAAGACCCAGAAGAAGGACTCCAAATCATGCCAAAAAGAATGCTTCTCTCCTAGTAGCAAACCTATAGCCATGAAGGCTCTTGTTCCAGTCTTGCCCCTTGCGCCAGATGCCTGATCTCTGTGTTCCCTGATAGCAAGGTCCAAATCGATCAGGAAAGCGGGCCAAGAACAGTTGAGCTCCTTTTCGTTGGTGATCAGGTTGCCGGTAGAGATATCCCCTTGTAGAACCCCCGCTTTCTTGTGTAGCGACACATAACCTATTCATAATCAATGACTGGTATTCGGGATTATGGAAAGTTATGGGGAGCCGCCTTCAACACACGCTTCCAGTGCATTCAGAAGAGCAACGCGGGAACTTGCTCTATAAATGGACTTGCCGTAATCCCGGACGCAAGCACGACGATGGACACGGTTTTTTAATAGTTGATCATCCCTGGGGACCGGTGAGCACGAGTGAGTTCTCTTACCTGGTGGTAGGGATGGCTCAGTATGACTGGATGACCTCTTCTGTCCGAGTTTAACCTTTCTCGTACTGCCTTGACGGGGAACGTCGCTAGGTTCAGAAACTTGAGAGGGAACTTGTCTCCAGTTAGAGGCTTTTGTCACATCAAGACCTTTGCGCACATTGCTGCATTCGTCATCCACGTTGCCTTGTGCTTTGACTGTCTGGTGATGAAAATACCGCGCCACGTTCACCACACCTTGTGTCCCGATATCTTGCAGTATCTCGCCTTCTTCTGCACGCTCCGGGTATTGCCACGAGTCCTTCACAATAATAGGGGTCTTGGCTTCGTCATCCAGATGAGCTTTCCAGCATGTAGTCGCCCTTCCAGCCACACAGGAGGACGGCTTTACAAGCCTTTCAAGAATCAAACGTTCTTCCCGTCCGTCGCGATGGATTGGAATAAACCTCTCTCCATTCTCTGACGAGATAATGCTGGGGTCAAAGCCGAGTTGCTCGTTATCCATCAGGAGGAACCCCAGAATCGCTGATATGAACCGAAGGGGTTCTGGATTAATGTCGAAAGACGATGATGCTGTGGCTCCGATACGGTCGAATTCCCAAAGGCGCATAACAGATCCACATAGGGTGAAACCTAGCACAGATCGGCGCGTATCTTGCGTATTGAAGATCTCCCTCACATATCGGCCTAAGTCATGCCACGTGTTTGAAGCCGTATCAAGGTCGGCTCTGCTTTTCAATTCTCTAGGAATAAGAACATGCGACTAGTGATATGAAGCCGCTGTCTTCTCTTCTTGGTTCTTGGCTATAGCAACATCTATTGTCAACCCTATGTGACCGCTAGTCACATAGGAGACCTTCCTATTCCGGACATCGGTATTGGTAACTACCGATCCCCGAGGATTATGCAGATTTTTCTGTTATTTCCATGGTTCAAAAGTTATGTCTTTCTAGCTGCCTTTTTAGGCTAGATTGCTTATTATTCTTCATGTATTTAAACCATCGTTTGCAGCTAGATTGAAAGAATCAGACCTTCATCATTCGATATTCCTAAGTGTACATTACTTGCAATTACGCCTAGGGAAACGGCCAACATCTATCTTCCGTCTCGCTGAGGATCCTTCTAAAGACTTGGAAGGACGGGCCATGATGGTTCGAGCTTTTACCTCAGACGTATGGTTAGAAGCAAGCTTCAGTATGTCCTCAAAAATGCGCGTGAGCCAGTTCAGAACATCCTTTTCTTGTGCATTCGGAGGCCAACCTTGCCAGCCGGCCTCGTGAAATAACGCATTATCCTCACATTTGCATTCCTGTAGGACGGCTGCCGTTATTGTCTGAAGGTCCTTGACGCCTTGAAAGAAAACCTCAAAGAAGTTGGGGACACCAATGAATATGGAGCCCAACTCTTGTCTTAGCACAGTATCCGTGTATTTCCGTTGCCCAGAGGAATTCACAAAGCTACTTGTTGTATGAGAGTATGGCGTTTGATCAGAGAAAGGTATGGGCTTAGGGGGAGGCGTGACTTCGACAACAGTTGCATATACTCTGTCCCAGACAACGTTGTCTGCTGCTTTATCCCAAATCTCTTTCAGCAGCGGACGGAACCGGTCGATGTCGAACATGTCTCAACTGATAACATAGTTGAGGCCGGAGAGATCATCCCTAAGGTTTCGACGACCGGTCGCGGAGGGCAGTTGACGGATGTCTGGAAATGCGCGCAAAGCCGATGTGAGGTCAAGGGCTAAATTTCGAAAATCTGTATGATTTGGATTAAGACAATTCACCCTAGTTGCGAGAACAGAGATGACTTACCTTGAAGCTCGAACTGACTTAATCCAATGATATCGCCAGGCCTAGATCCTCACAAGTTGTCTCGGAGCTTTCCCCGAAGTGACTCCAGCGTTCCTCCGATCGGTTGAACCTTGCTGATGTCGGGCTTCACAGAGCAGACCATTTGGCAGGTATTTCAAAATGATATTGTGGAAAAAATACCGCTGCACTAAAAAGGGTCAACCCTTAGTAGTAAGGGCTTATTTCTAGTGCATATCCGCGGCGACACACCCCCTCATCGCGCTGAGACTCGTAATCAGTATTAGGGCGATGTAAACTCATATCGCGGATCAAATGCCTTGTTCTCTGTGACTCGTGACTAATCGAAGTCCGTGCTAGTTAGCCATTCTCAAGGACTTCCCAATGAACCTGCTTTCCTCTTATAGCTAGTAAAGCGTCTCCCATGACTGGTGAGGGCCACGCCTATAACCGATAAGGGATAATTTTAGGCTCGTATAACATGTGTACGGTCTCCGATTCGAACGCGTGGGATTCTCGTGGGTGCAGATGTTCCGGGCTTCAGGATCGTCATAAAATGAGCGGAATTTGCATGATCTATATCGTCATAAATCATACAATTAATGTAGATCGGTTCGCATGTAAGGCGATGATATAAGCGGTTTAGTCATCTTCCACCCCCTCAGCGCCTGGCGTAGGCCATTATCTTCCTTCTTGAGCGAGAATGAGGTCTTCAATGTTGACGAGGTTCAACATTTTCACGAATTTGGCGTGTTGTTGCGCGGAAAGCGTCTTCGTGAGGCCATCGGCGATCATTTGATTAGTAGGGGTCCATTTGACGCGTAGATCACCTTGCTGAGCCTCCTGGCGGAGCCACGAGCGATGAATATCAACATGGCGTAGTTTAGAGCGGTGTTCAACGTCCTCATGGTTGACTAAACGGACGGTTTGCTGGTTATCGTAGGAAACGGTCATTTCATGTTGAGGATCGAATCCCATGGTGTTGAAAACTCTGCGCCACCAGTATACGGCCTTGGCTGCCTCGGATAGCGCAAGAAACTCTGCTTCAGTTGTAGAGGTTGTAACCGCGCGTTAGTTTCCTGATTTCCATTCAACGGGACCATTGTAGAGCTTCACGAGATATCCTGCCGAGCTGCGGCGGTCCGGTCGATCACCGTAGGCTGCATCTGAAGTGATTATTGCAACCTCCTGGTCTTCTCCCTTAGCGGAGAATTCGAGCGCGAAAAAGCGCGTGTTGTAGAGGTATTCGATAACTCGATCTGCAGCGCAAATGTAGTCCTGCGAGGGATTTTTGAGCGCTTCAGATAAGTGATTAATCATAAAGGCAATATCGGGTCCCGTGATCATCGCAGGATACTGTGCTGAGCCGATTTTCATCGAATATTCCTTCTTCTTTGATTCCGGCGCCTCGTCAGGGTTGGGATCGAGGTTGATCGTATTTGAATGAGGCATATTCGGTTGCCTCGCGTGTTCGTGAAAGTGAAATTTCACGGCAATATTCTCGAGATAGGTACCTTGACAGAGCCAAAGCTTTCTGCGAGATCTATCTCGAATGATTCTAACTCTTAGGAACTATCCCACTTCCCCCATATTCCGAAGCTCATATTCTTCCGCGAGAGCTTCCTTGAATCGCTTTGCGGCCTCTCGGGCCTCCGGAGTAGGCAAGTTGATCACGAGAATATCATCAACGTAGACTAGCACAATCATGTATTCATTCACGAAGAGGCATTGTTCTTCAGGCACGGGAATAAGACCAAATCTGAGCAGTGTAGTAGCGAGAGCTCGCTGCCAGAGGCGTAGAGATTTGCGCAATCCGTATAGCGCTTTTCTGAGTTTCCATATCTTTCCTTTTGTGTGGAATCCTTCTGGTGTTCTTGTGTATACGGCCTCATCGAGTAGTGCATTCAGGAAGGCATTTACGGCGTCTTTCTGGTCCGTATCGAGATCGAAAGCAGCGACGAGGGCCATGACGGCTCGGAATACCCTGGCTGACGCCGTTGCAGCAAAATTGTTAGCGATTGTGTCCTTCTCGAGATCTCCTCTGACGCAGATGCGGCCTTTCGCTTTTATGAAGTTGCCATTTTCATCGAATTTGTATGTAAATACCCATTTCAACGGAAGAACCTGCGAATCACGCGCTTCTTCTTGGTTAACTAGGGTGAAGCAGTCCTTTGTCTTGAGATTTCCTACTACTACCTGTGCAGCTCATAGGAATTCGTTCTTGAGCGGGTGGTGCAGTATTTCTGTATAGGAACTTGGTGGAGGAAGCTCGTTGCGGTACCAGCGTTTCCTCTCTCTTGCTGCGAGATCGAGGGCCATTGAAAAGGCATTTTCAACGATGTAGGGATCCTGAATGTAAGGTTCAAACATCGCGTAGGATTTGTATTCCTTCATGTCCTTCCGTGGCTGCCGTACGCGTCTTTCTTGCAAGATATTTTCTTCGCGAGCGCCGTCATCGGTAGGGCCTCTTCCTCTGCCTCGGCCACGTCTTCCGCCTCGTCCACCCCCTGATCTTGATGAGGAGGCCGAATCATGATCTTCTTGTAGCGCGGAATCGTGGTGTTGAGTAGTTGGAGGTACTGAAGAAATACGTATTTCTTCTTCAAAGATCGAGTTCTGAAGCGAATCTTCGAGCATTCGGGAGGCGGCTTCATCCTGCGGAGATTCTGCGGGTTCTTCAAGGGGTGGATCTTCAGGGAAATCCCCAGGAATGGCCTTGGAGTTGCCTCGGTCCCCTTGATCGTGAAGTTCAACGTGGGGTTCAGGAGTCGATTCAGGTGTTGGTAAGGTGCTTGGTTGTGCGAGATAATCAACATGATCAATGGTGGCCACCCCCTGACCTTCTGCAACCTTTCTACCACTTAAATTTTTCATGATTTCGCTATTTGAGGCGTCATTCGATCCGTGAGCGTTTCTTTCAATTCTCGGGACCTCTCCCTCTTCCATACGGTTAGGTTCCTCTTCTAGGAAGATCCCTTCGCCTCTTGGTAAGTCAAGCACCTCTGTAGGTGGCTCTGGTGACGTCTCGCTGATGAGGTCTTCAAGGAACGGTTGCGCGGGATCGTACATTCTCGTTTCGTCGAATTGCACGTCTCTTGCCTCTTCAATACGTTGTTTTCTCGGGTTCCATATATGCCAGATGTTTGAGGCGACATAGCCGAGGAGGATACCTTAATACGCGCGGGGAGCCATTTTATCGCTTTTCTGTTGCTCCTGCCTTGTGTAGGCAACGCAGCCGATTGTACGGAGGGCTGAGAGATCGGGCTTCTTTCCTGAGAGCTTCTCGAACGGCGTTTTCCATCCGAGCGCGGCAATAGGAGAGCGATTAGGAATATTCGCTGCTTCACCGATGACCCAGGGCCAGAGGTCCCAAGGCAATTTTGCTTCAATCATCATTTTCCTTGCCTTCAGGATAAGAATCGCGCCTGCTCGCTCTGCAGCGCCATTCTGATCAGGCGTATCGACCACGGAATACTCGTGAATGATTCCTTTGAGCGCTTCCTCCTCTTTGACCGCATTTCCGAGTGTTTGCTCACGGTCACTTTTGAAGAATTTGATTGTTGTTTTCGCAATATTCTGTATCTGCAGAATGTAGGTGTTGAAAGCACCTACGCAGCCGTTTTTCAACCGGTGCGAAAAGACGTTGTGAAAGCGTGTATTCTCGTCATAAAAATGCGAGATCCACTGATCTCCATTCAATGCAGGCTCCATTTGAATGAGGTCGAAATGCACGCGTTGGAGAGGTACTTGAGCCGTCATCATTGAGTACCTCGAAGTCTGCCTCGGAGCCTCCGAATATCTGCACACCTCGGATTTAAGATCCTCATGTTGTTTCGCTCGAAAATCATCAATCTTGACGCCTTGAGCAGCCTAAGGAAGATGGCGAAGCGCATCCCAATGAAGGTGAGCCATCCTGCGATGCCACAAATCCGTGTTTCCTTTCAGGATGTGAGGTCTCGCTGATCTGCGAGGATCCTGATCATTCCTGATCATTGCGAGGCCGTAGTAAGTGCTTCCTTTCTTCTCAATAATCTACAATCCCGACGAATGCTCCTCCACGTTGAACACGACCTTTCCATTTCGTGAAATCGTGTTGCGGGTCATACTGAAGTCATATCCTGCTCGCTTGATCTTCTGCGCGCCTAGGATGTTTGTATGGGGGCCTGGAACGAAGGCGACGTTTGTGAGGACAATTTCTTTATTACCTTTCTCTCCTCCGCAATTTGGCCGTATTCTGACCTTTCCAAAGCCTTGAATTTCAACAGTTGAATCACCCGCGTGGAGTTGACCACCTTTCGCTTGATCAAGCTCCCATTCTTGTCAAACACTATATGGACATCTTTTAACAAATGCGAAAATCCCATTCTCACTGTACATACCTTTGGTGTATTTCCAGATGAGAGCATCCAGAACTACGGTGTATTTACGATACACAGCATGTGTCTCTCGCTTACAGATAACGCCAGCTTCCATTATTTAAAGGGGCTGCTCTACTCTCAGCCTTATACAGATTACGCATCTAATTATTGTTGTTTGTGCTGCATTCAGCTCATCATAAATTCATTGAAATTCGTAGTACGTAGTAGTATTGTTTTGCGTCCAACGGACCAAGGTGCTCCGAGGGGGAGACCCGGCCTACGACCTCCCAGGGGGTACTAGGGACGTGTCTAAGCTCAAAATATGTATGTACAAAAATAGAGTAGTATTTCCAGAAGAAAATTTCGAGCTACATCGTATGCATAAAGCACGTTCGTAAGACCATGTCCCTCCGTACGGCCAAGATCCTGTGTCGTTGACGGATGACCCGAGTCGGGTGGTAGATATAGATTGTGCCAACGTCGGAATTTACCCGAGTCCTCAAGAATCCTTAACTAGTATCCTCAGGATAGCTAAGAACACTGACAATTGCTCGGGTGATGCTCTACCACTGATGGACATTCGTAGATCATCAAGTTTGGAGCATTAACTTCGAGGCATTATATCCTAGTCCTCTTGTCTTTAGTCGTTCCTTCAGGCCTATTAGTCTTACCCAAGCCCGATGAGCTAGTAAACAAGCTCAATTGACATGCGCTGAAATGTGAAGGGCGGGTCTCCAGGCGATAGGCACCTTTTCAGATGGTCCTGCAACTCCTCAAATTCCTCATCTCGCCTGGTGTTCTGTAAGGTGACTAGGAAGCGTGAATAGCCTTGGGGAGTCGGACCAACTGGACTGTACCAAGTTCCACTGCGGACACGCTCTTGGGCCTGAAGAAGGATATGATCGAGGATGTTCACAATCGGAGAATTGGCTACAAAGTCGGGTAAGTCAAACACAACAATGGTCTCATTCCAGATGGTGTCATCATATTGACTGTCGCTGTCGTGGTCGATGGCCACTTGAACGTCATCGATCGCTGTGTACTTACTTCTTCTCTTGCAAAACAGAGTGCAGAATGGTATCTTGAGCAGCGTTATAAATCGCATTGCTTCAACTGCTTTGTGTAGCTTGCGGTCGAAAACTGTGAGCTTTGCGGAAATGATAGCCTCTGTATGAGGAGGATTGGAAAGTGTGTTCTAATGAATTAAGGGGAATGAGCAGTTGTATATATATACTACCCTTTTGATCTTTCTTTGTACAATAGAACGAAGTATAATGTATTCATTCAGTTAACACAGCTCTTTGTATCGGTGTCCTTTGTTGCGGGCAGACGGCATAATATACTCCTTGAAGAAACAATGGAATGATTCGACGTAACAAGGACCATATTACGGAGTAAACTATGAGGTAGAACAAAGGTTAATCTGGTCTGGAATCCTTAGCATACCTGGGAATATGCCTGTACGTATAATATAGGATACCTTACGTGCTGCAGCGGGTAGTGAGAATGGCAAGACCTCATGTGCCGGCCTGCAGTTTTCCTCACACGGTTACCAAGAGGATCGCTTACTCCTCTCAGTTTTCCTTGGTTATGTATATTGCTGATCTTTGCATGGACGGCAGTAGTTTGCACATCACGCATCTGACACTCGGCCAATGATGATGCCTCTTGGCGCACTCTTGGCTTAGCTCCTTTGGGCATGTGTACATTCAGCATTCTATATTAGTTATCCAAATCCACTGATATTCCAATAGTCTCACTTATCTTGCATATAAATGTCAAACATGCAGACATGTTGCCGGTTAGGGCTTCTCCCGCGTCCATGACCAACGGACAAACATGGGAAATAGATGAAAACGAAGCGACGACTTGAACCCAAGAGATGCACTTTTATTCAATTCTCATAAATACGTATATCTATCAAGGATGCAATTTACACCCGACACATGGTGCTGGCGGTTCCTCGCTCGAATAAACATCCGGCCTTTGCTTCCCTGTCACGTTCAAGTATCCCACCCCTCCCTTATCTAGTCGGAATATAGCGTGATCAACAAGGGTATATGTTCCTGGCACAATCATTTGCAAATCTGTTATCGTCGCACCACCTGGAGGGACTGACACGGTCGACAGGATATCGGCTGGCGGGCTGACCACTCCACCATCGCGATACACCTTTCGGAAATGGCTTCCGATCACATGGAACGAGCTCGTAAGGTTAGGACCGGCATTTCCGAAAAATAGTCGGACAGTCTCGCCGGTCTTCGCAGTTAACGGGTTCTTCGTAAGGGATGAGTCGCTTCCGTTGAAAACAACCACGTTCGGTTCTTCGCGCATGGCGTTCGGGTAAGAGAATCCAACCGTGTTGATGGGACGGCCGTCATCTCCAATCTCGGGTGGCTCGTGATAGAACTCGCTTTGAAGGACGTAGTATTCCTTGTCGACAGGGGGTAGATCCTTCTCGGGCTGGACATAGATCAGTCCGTACATGCCCTCGGCAATGTGAACCGGTACCGGATTCGCAGCGCAATGGTACACGAACAGCCCCGGACTAACGAGCCGGAACCTTGCTTTTTTGATGCCATCTGACTCCGTCGTTGTCAGGGCTGCGCCGCCGCCGGGCCCCGTGAAAGCGTGGGAGTCAATGTTGTGTTGTCGACCACTTTCGTCTTTGTTGAAGAATGTGAGCTCTACGAAATCACCGACTCGGGCGCGAATGAACGGCCCCGGGACTGTATCGTTGAATGTCCATCCCTCGTACTTGTATTGACTAGTCAGCTGGAATGTCTTCTCCGTAGTTGTCAGGTCGACTTCGAGGCGGACGGGGTGGTCGCGGATGATCGGCGGCGGGACGGTAGGAGCGGAAGTGAGAACGGCTTTTTCTACTGGGAGCTGCGAAATCTGCTCTTCAGACATTTCGGCTGGAAAAGGATACAGCTCATCGGAGCTGGTCTGGTTTCCCGCCTGAATGGTCGCTGGAACAGCCTTGTGACGCCGACTGTAGAGAATTGACCCAATACCGAGCGCCGTAAGGCCGACTAGAATGGCGACATGGTTCCCACAATTGGTCTCGGCGGACTTGCCCGTCTCGGTGGATACTCTTCTAGGCGTGAACGGCGATGGGTGGAAAGAGGAACGCCATGGTCTGGTTTTACCGGCCGATGCGGCCAGTCGAAGCGAGGTCCGTATCTGCGGACGGAAAACCACCGAGGTACTCATCGTGAAGACAACTCTCGACGGTACTAACGATGGGTTCAACTAGGGGCTTTAGATGTAGACCTGTTCGGAATGAGAGGCAAAACTCGTATAGATGATGTCACCACTGCGTCGGTGGCCGCAGCATTGGTATTGTTCACGAACATTCATACTTCACCCTGGCCTGACCAGCCTTATATACAGGGCCGGGGGACTCTGAACTCTGGGTGGTGTTATGCATGTTTGCCGTGGAATGCAGCCAAGCGTCCCCCTTGCGCGCATGAGATCAGATTGATTGCCTCACCGCTACCAGTCCACCCACTCGAGTCGACATATCAGTCTCACAACCCCACAGCACGGCATGCAGATACATTCCTCGGTACTGCATACACCATGAGGTCATTCACCGAATTGGATCTTTAGCAGGTTTTTCGAAGTGCCATTGAGTGTGTTAGAGTGGTTGAGAGCGGATATCTGATGATAAGTAGCGATTCATGGTTTGGCACAGTTGTTGGGTTGAAAGTCGGAAGCTGAGGCTTGAAGTTGGGGCCGAATGCAACTGAAGTCCTACCGCTACTCGGTCCCTTGCTGCTAGTCAGCTACAGATCTTCTCTGTCTAGAGCCGTCGCCAGCACCAATACAAGACACGAGCAACTATAGACGAGGCATGCCCCAAACCAAACCCAATCGGGCTTAGTCGCGTAACTGCCAAGACCCGCCCAGGCCTGCCAAGAATCCCCATTGCCGTCGGCCTGTCCCACGCCTGCACAACCTCTTACCCTCGTTCGCGCTCTGTGCGATTGTGGGACTATGATCGACTCGTAATATCACCACCTCGGTCCCTATGTCACGTGTGATTTGGCCAGAGTTTTGGACAAGCCAAAAGGTAGACCGCGGCAATTGCGGTTGCATGTCTTCTTGAAGCTTGTTAAGGCTCATCGGCAATTGCCAGTTCTGTTCTCATTTGAAGCTTGGCCACAGAAGACATACTATTTCCGGTATACCTCTCCTTTAGTGTGAGCTGCACATCCTCTCATCTTATTATGGATGATCCATTGAATACTAGAAATATTGTCATGGCCATGTGTGCAACAGGATCCTTGGGTGACACGTTCAATGCCCTTGGGCACGATCCATGCAGCCTCAAATCCCCTTGTATACATCAAACTACCATGGAAATACCCCGTCTTTATGAACAATTCTACCCACGTCGGCATCACGCTCTCCTTGGACAATTCTCAGTGCCGTGTTTCCTGCCACCTCCGCATCCCCGGCCTTGCCCCATCCGCTCCGCGCTTCCTCGCTGCTACCCCGGAGGTTCGACCGTACGAACCCAGGACACATCATGAAGATCTTCAATGGGAGGCCTTGATCCTGCACCTCGACCCACTCTTGCAGGGCGACCATATTCAGGGCCGACTTGCTCGACCGGTAGGCCTCTCCCTTCTTTAGCCCGCGGTATGTCACCGAGTTCGGGTCCGCCGCGAGGGTAAGGGATCCGACTCCGCTTGTTACGTAGATGGAGTAGGCGTTGGGGGATTTTGAAAGAAGAGGGCGAAATGTCTCGGAGACAATGGTCGGCCCGATAACGTTCGTTTCGAGACAAAGTCGCATCCGTCGGGCTGTGTTGTCAACGGCGCTGAGTCCGCTGACGCCGGCATTGTTGATCAGCACGTCGAGTCTACCGAACCGTTGTTCAACGGTTGATGCGGCTTCGGAAACAGTTTCATGGTCTGTCACGTCGAGCCGCAAAGTCGATAGAGAGTTCTTGATGGCAGGTTCCTGCTCGATCTCTGACTTGGCTGCGTTGGCGTTGTCCAGTGAACGACAGGCCATGATGATATGGAAGTTGCCGGGTGCACGGGCAAAGACTTTGCTCGTTGCATAGCCAACACCGGAGTTGGCTCCTGTAAATATGTCAGAAAGGTTGTCTCGAACAAGAACAAACAGGACATACCAGTAATGAGGACGATTCTTTGGGCCATGGCACAAATGGTACGGTATTTTTTTCGAGAGAGTGAGATGAAATATTCTGAATTGGAACGAAGAGCTTTGCTGCTTGCCAGCAATCAAATCTGAGGAGGCTGTCCTTTATATACAAGAACTCTGTCACATTGATCTGGAATATCCGGTCGGAGTTAATCCCATTGATCGCTGAACGGATTTAATCACGCAGTACATATTTCCGAATTAGGACATACCCGCGAGGATTCTGAACTACAAAAATTGAAAGCATTTTGGGTACGCCTGTCTCTAAGTGACCAGGACTAACAGGCAAAGGTCTAGTCTGTTCCAAATATGCCTAACTCTCCCCACAGCCCTCCGTATCGAGGAGATAGGAGTTAGGCAGGAGTTAAACCGCTCCCACCGAGACGAAGTTGTGTACGTCTGGGGCAGGTCCACCACGCTAGTCCGCACCGGGCGAAACCCGCGAGAAGTTGCGAGGCAATTCTGAATCGCCTCATTGTTGGTTCTTGTCGGATTTATAATGCAATCTCGAGATAATCAAGTCTGATAAAGTGGTTGGGGCTAGTAATTGTATAAATAGGCCCCTTGACTCCCGCAATCTATTATCACTTTCACCATCGTCCTCATAATTCGCTTTGCATCCTAATTTGAAAACGTCGCATTCATACTACCGAGACCAAATCGACTATGTCTTCTGAAGTCCAACCCATCACACTCTGGGGCAAATCGGGCCCCAACCCCCTCAAAGTCGAGATCCTTATTCGAGAACTGGGCGTCGCATACACAGTCAACCCTATCCCGTTCTCCGATATCAAGAAACCAGAATATCTAGCCGTGAACCCGAACGGCCGACTTCCTTCTATCCAGGACCCGAATACGGGGCTCACGCTTTGGGAGTCTGGCGCGATTATTGAATACCTCATCGAAAAGTACGACAAAGAACATCGCCTGAGCTTCCAGCCTGGGACGCCAGAGTTCTACCACGCCAAGCAGTGGCTGTACTTTCAAACAACTGGCCAAGGGCCGTACTATGGGCAGATGACTTGGTTCAAGAAGTTCCACCCGGAGAAGGTGCCCAGTGCTGTGGAGAGGTATGCCGGCGAGATCAAACGCGTGATGGGTGTGCTGGAAAGTCATCTGCAGAAGCAGAAGGAGGAATTCGGCGAGGAAAGAATTTGGTTGGTGGGAGGAAAGCTGTCGTTTGCGGACCTGGCCTTTATCCCGTGGCAGAGGATGGCGGGGATGTTCTTGAGCAAGGAGGAGCTTGATGATGAGCAGTTTCCGCTTGTCAAGGGGTGGGTGAAGAGAATGGTGGACAGGGATGTGGTGAAGAAGACGTTGCAGGAGAACAACTTTTAGGCCCCCCCCTCCAGTGTTTGTGTGAAAACATCCTGTATCTGCATAAGCCTTAGAGTTCAAACCATTTCTCTGTCTCTGCACACTCAAAAACCCCGACTCCGACTACTCTTCCTATTCGGGCGACTGTCGATCTGAACCATGATCGCTGCTCTGGTTTTAGACGGCTGATGCCTGATGCCATGGTCAGAGGCCACGCGATTAGTGTAGCGTTGTAAGGCTTGATATCTTCCGTATTTAATGAGATGCTATGTGGGGGTGGGGATGTAAGCTTAAACCGCTCCAAAGCGAATGGCACCGTCGAGGCCAGGTCATTGGCGAAGCTGTCTAGGCACGAGAAACTGTCCGACCTTTGGTTGGATACTCCCTCCGTCGGAACATAGGTTGGACCAAGACTAATGCGTACGTTTTCAACAAGCATCTTGGTGGCGTAGTACTTGGCCCACACCCCTGCGTAGGTGGAGCTAGTATAGCTGTAGACGGTGGGGGAATAGAAGTCTTGGGGACTGAGACCAAATTGGTCAGACAGGTTGTGGCGGCGGAAGTCCCATCTCTTGGGAAATGCAGACATCCACTCATCCAGCGCCTGGTGTAGTGCTGAAGTCTCGACCAGAACATCCTCCGTAGACGTCGCGTCTTGCGCAAGCTGCCGGAGCTCCAGTATGCGTACTATGATCTGGTCGTAGGCCAGCCCCAAACCACATTCACCGAACTCACTACCATCCCGCATCCAATCGGGTAATGTTCGAGTTCTCAGTAGCGCAGAGCGAGTCATGCCACGTCTAGTATGTTTAATGACATCACTTGGCGGATGACTAGAACGGAATCTCTCCTTCCACATTTTCAAAATTGCGGCCGCGCCATCATGGTGAGAAAAGCTGGGGAGATCCGAGGTAACGCGACTCTCGGGAGCCGACGTGACCGGGTGATGCACGAGATCTTCATATCGGCTCATGAAGAAGATAGTTAAGAGACAGACATCGACAGTACCCGAATCAAGAGACTGAATGGCTGGCTGCACCTTTCGCAAAACCTGCTCGTAGGCCTTGAACGCCTGCACCTCTGCCTCGGCATGCCGATGCGTCCTTGCAAAGGTGCCAAGGGCCATTGCTGAGACGGCCGTATCAAGCAACTGCGATGAGGCAAACAATTCTCGACCGGTCATATAATCGTCGGCCAGAGTCCGGATGAAGTCCGGCGTCTCTCTCGGTGCTTGTAGAAATTTTTGAAAATAGAATGCCATCGCTTGCGCTTTGACGTCGCCCGAGCCATCGCGGTGACTTGACGGGTTACGACTGGACCGAGGTCCCCTGGGTCGCTTGACCTTCCCATCAGCAAAGGGGTTTTCGCTGTGTATGAAGGACAAAGATTGTGCGTCCCTCAGGCCATAGCATTCTCGACGAGATTTGATGCAGCGTTGGCAAATGGGAAGGGTTCCGTCACACTGCGCCCTACGGTGGTTAGCAGTGCAGCGGGAGACCAGGCCGTGGATTTACTTCCAGACCTTGATCCGCCGAGACTTGCAGGTCTGACAGCCAGCACTCGGGAAGGGCATTGTGGTTTGCCTGGGCGGAGGGTGATTGATTGTTGAGCTCCGGCAGCAGCGATGGAGACGCCGACCGACACGGAAAGGCCGGCCTTAGGCATATCGCCAGCTTCTCTCGATCGGGACTAGCGGGGAATGTCTAGTCACGTGACAGCCTCGTCCAAAGAGGGATGTTTTCGCCTCTTCTACAACAATCAATCAAGGCAAACCCCACTCCTTTTTGAGTGGTCAGCAGTGAATTTGTTGGACTCCTGGGGAATGTCTTTCTATCTTGATCTTGACAGTTAAAGATGAGAATTTCCCAAAGGACCTGTTACTCCCATCCGCCAGACGTGGATCAACCGAATGCCGACCGGTCGCAGAATGTCTCCCAGCGTTCACCACGCTCATTTGCTGCGTCGTATCGCAGTGTGACGCGATGGGATGTCTAGTTCCACCGAGCCGGCAACTCCCCGCATCACTGGAGGAAGTGTTGGATCGTCGGCCCCTAAAGGTGGCGCAGTCTGGGCAAAACACGCTGGAATGTCGTCACTTGCTTTGTTGGCTCGTTGGATGCAACTCATTCTGTGAAGGCTCCTGATATCGTTCAAAGAAGGAGCCAGATTCATGTGAAGCCTCTTTTATCATTACCACCACGCCATGAATATTCCCGGGTCTTGGGATAGTTCGGATGGAGATGCTGGGTCCGGCTCCCCAAGCAGAGCGACACATACGTATGTTCTTGTACTCGCCCTGTTCGATTGAGAAAATATCTAAACGTTAATTCGATTACCTAGACAATACTTATCACCTGATAGCCACCATGGTGATCGAGTGCGATCTCCCGACTCAGGTCAAGTTGACCTTTCAGATGAAAGCCAGACTCAGGCTGGTGTGACAGGTAACCCTCTTCGAACATCCCTGCAGTCAGTGTATCGCAGCGAATACTTCACTGACACTATCCATAGATGATGGGCGAGTCGATATTTTTCTCGACGAAAAGGCAAATCGATTGGCAAAACTCTTGGTTCCGGCTGCCCAGCCCCAACAGCTTGTAGAGAGACCACCGGCCTCGCAATCCCAGCAAGACGAGGTGACCGCCATCTCATTAAACGTTGTGATTCAAGTTGTCGGATCGAGGGGAGATGTGCAGCCCTTCGTCGCGCTGGGCAAAGTACTCCGCGATCGGCATGGGCATCGCGTTCGGGTTGCGACGCATGCCAAGTTTCAAGCGTTAGTTGAGTCCAACGGACTGGGATTCTTCAGTATTGGTGGGGATCCAGAGCAATTAATGGCATTCATGGTGAAGAACCCAAGTCTGGTGCCGGACCTGAGCGTCGCCAATGTGACCGACATCCGGCGGAGGAGAAGGGAGATGGGACTTATCTTAGATGGGTGTTGGAGGTCCTGCTTTGAGCCGGGAGATGGTCTAGAAGCCATGGAAAGTGACAGCGACACCTCAGGTGAAGCAAGCATACGTCCATTCATAGCCGACGCCATCATCGCCAATCCACCGAGCTTTGCACATATTCATTGTGCCGAGAAGCTGGGTGTCCCTCTCCATATCATGTTCACGTTCGTTTACCCGTGTTGTCCCGTTTCTGTGATACCTCTGACATATGCAGAATGCCATGGTCTCCAACTTCGTCTTTCGCGCATCCACTGGCCAACATCCGTTCCTCCGACATCAGTTCCTCAACCTCCAACTTCGTCAGTTACTCTCTAGTGGAAATGATCACTTGGCAAGGGCTTGGCGACGTGGTCAACAACTTCCGCGAGTACACCTTGGGTCTAGGACCGCTGTCTACACTGAGCGCTACTGGGTTACTATCTCGGCTAAAAGTTCCCCAGACGTATTGTTGGTCTCCGGCACTTATCCCCAAACCTACAGATTGGGCCGATCACATATCCATAACCGGGTTCTGCTTTCTAGCAGCGGGAGACTCGTATGAGCCTGAGCCCGGATTGAAGGCTTTCCTCGAAGCTGGACCCATGCCCATATACATTGGATTTGGAAGTATTGTGGTTGACGACCCGGTAGGTATGACCAGGTTGCTATTTGAGGCTGTAGCATGGACTGGTCAACGAGCTATCATTTCAAAAGGATGGGGTGGTCTAGGCGATGACAGTATTGTCGATGTACCTCATGGCATTTACTTACTGGGAAATTGTCCGCATGACTGGCTTTTCCAAAGAGTCTCATGTGTCGTTCACCATGGCGGTGCTGGTACAACTGCGGCGGGGATTGCTTTAGGGAAGCCGACGGTAATCATACCGTTCTTTGGAGATCAGCAATTCTGGGGAGAGATGGTTGCCAAAGCTGGGGCTGGTCCCAGTCCTATTAATCATAAAACACTAACAGCAGAAAACCTCGCCAATGCCATATCTACAGCTCTTCGCCCGGATGTCCGACAACGTGCTCAGGAGCTCGGGCGCTTGGTCAACGAGGAGAATGGAGACCAAGCAACGGCGGAGTCATTCCAGGGCCGTCTTGATATGAAAAACTTACGGTGCAGTATGTTTCCATCAGAGAAAGCCGTGTGGAAGGTCAAGAAGAGTCCGTTCCAATTGAGCGCGACGGCTGCTATGGTCCTCGCGCACCAGGGATTAATTGACCTGGGCCATCTGCGACCGTGAGTTTTATGTTTACTGACTGGTCAACTACCATGCTAACCAATATAGAGTTCGGACACAAGAGTACCAGACTACGGGTGATCCGATCGATCCATTGACAGGAGGAGCAACTGCGTTGATAGGTTCAATAGGGAGTATTGGAGTCGCTATTGTCGACATGCCGCGGCAGGTGGTCAAGTCAATCGTCGAACCAGACAGGTCGAGTAAAAGCTCCAAAATGGCACCGAGGCGAAATGCGACACTCTCTTTATCGTCCTCCAGCTCCGACAGGGCGAGCTTCACCAACGATCCCGGAGAGGGAAATACAGAGTCTGTGGATAGAGGTGCCGATTACCAAGGACAGGGATCTCAAGCAAGTTTCACGAACATCCGTGATCCAGCAGATCTTGTAGTCGACGACCCACGACAAGAAGGGGTCGAAAGACTGCGTGGCGGCAGGAAATCCTCAAGCAAGGTATTTCTTCTTTCTCAATAAATTGCATTCCAAGCCTCTAACCACTCGAAATAATAAGACATTCAAGTATGGGCTGTTCAAAGAGATGTCGGGGAATGACGACATCGCAGCGCACCATTCCAAAGCCTCGGAGGCAATTTATAGACAAGCCCCAGAACCCCGGGACTCAGTCTTCTCTGATGCTGCCAGGGGCGCAGGAAAAGGTATGGGTCGCATTCTCGGGAGAGGATTTCGTAGCCCTTTGGACTTCACCATGGGTATATCTAAGGGATTTCGGAATATTCCCAAGGCATATGGAGATACCACTACGCGCGAGGTGGACCGAATAACTGGGTTCCATAGTGGAATAAGAACTGCCAGCAAGGTTTGTAATCTCAGCTTTGTCCCGTGGACCCTTGCCAGACTAACGGCCCATATTCTTAGGAACTCGGTCTGGGTTTCTACGATGGTATTACCGGGATCATCACACAGCCGATTCGGGGCCTGAAACAGGAGGGAGTTAGCGGCTTTGTGAAAGGGGTAGGCAGGGGAATTGGTGGTGTTGTGTTCAAGCCAGGCGCCGGTAATTAGCCCACTGAGATTTGCCCCTGTGCTATGCATTAGTTTCCATTGCAGTTTGCTAATATACCCAATCAGCAATATGGGCCATCCCAGCATACACCTTCCAGGGTGTCTATGAGGAAGTGCAGAAATACTTCGGCAGTGGACTATCGAGCTACATAGCCACTACACGGTATATGGAGGGTAAGCTAGGGGCAGACAAGCTTACCGAAGATCAGCGCAACGAGATAGTCGACCGATGGCTGGGTCGCGAGCAAAGAGAACATGATCTTATTGAGTGGTGGCGGGCTTCACAAAGGCGGCGCCGGGAAAGAATGTCTCGAGGGCATTCTGTCTCAACGTCGTCCTCGACTGATCTGAACCCAGGCATTCCTGCACGGACATATTCAGAGCCACGCGGGAAAAGTGAAGATAACGGTCCTGTTGAGATAATGGGCCGACCTGTTGGAACGGAAAGGGACCGAATCCTCACGCCGGAGTTGGATAGCACGCCTGTTTTGTCGGGGCCATCGATTCACGATGGGCGTGTAGACACAAATGACTTGAGCACTCAGAATGTTTCGTCTGTGGAGTATCCCGTCGAACATGCCGGACTATCCTCAAGACCACAGGAGGCTCTACGGAACTATGATTTGGAGGAACTGAAATCACCAGCTCCAACTTACCATGAGTTCGATCATCGAGCATATGAACAAAACGTTCCAAGCCAAGATGGAGAGCCCGATCTCACTTCGGAGGACGAGCAGATTAGAAAGGCTCTGGCGCTTTCTCTGGAATCGGAAACCGAGCGTCAAACGCAGCTAGAGCAAAGCCAGAGAGAAGAGGATATTGTGATGGAGTACATTAAAAAGACCAGTCTGGCAGAGGCTAAGATGAAGCAGAGAATGAACTCTGATAGTTAGCTAGCTATGTTCCGGCAGAATATGAGAGATCATTAATGTAATATTCACAGTAGTCTAGATGCGTATCACCAAACATTATCATACAGGGTCAATTATACATGGTCTATAAATCCGTCTATCCCAAACTCAATAATCGCATTCGTGGTGGTTGAGCCTCGAGCATGGCATCCCACCATCCTTGTTGTATTACACCGTCAAAAGGGTGGTTGTTAATCCACCCGAACAGAGTGGAAAGGCATGACAAAACGGGGCAAATATTCTAGAAACCGTCAGTATTGAAGCAAAATGATACTGATAGATAAACATACCCCTTTATTACGTTTTCGAATGTTATTCAACCTTTCGTATAGCTTTTCCGTCTTATCCCGATATCCAGACGTCAACGCAGCGACGAAACAACACCAGAGGGGATATGCTGCTGTGTATAACGGCCCTTCGATTGGAAGGCGCATAATTATATCGAAAAGTTTGGCTTGGATACTAATGACTTGAGAGTGCAATGGCGTCGCACTAATCTAGGGTTAGTTTAAAGCTGGGAAGCTTGGAATGGGAAGATAACATACCCAAGAACACGACATAGAAGGTATAGGCGTGCAGCTAACTGATACGCCTGTGCTGTTTGCAGAGCCACTTCGAGTGACTCCCCTGGCGTCTGGTAACACCACTGGTTCATCATGACAATCTCATCATCGAGAGCCTCTGCCGCTGTGATTCGCTCCTCCTCCGGCATCGGTAGAGTGGCGAGCGTTGTGATCCGAGAGATCATGCTGAGCATCCGGCGCGACATTCCCAGAAGACCGCAGACTCGCTGCGACTCGCGCGGTGAACACTGCAACAACCAGTCCGAGGAGCTGAAATGGCGGCTTTGAATCTGGGTGGTTGTTTGCGCAGTCAACGCCAGCGTTAACTGGTATGTCATGAACAGAGCTGTCTCTGACGTTGGATCGAATCCGCTTCCAGCTCCTTGAAAACCCCCGAGCATCTGCACGTGCCATGACCAGCACATATCGGTCTCACTCTCGTTGATCACTCCGTGGTGAACCAACAACATCCCCGCTGCCAAACAGCTTTCGATGGTTGCATTTCCCTCGCTCAGGTCGCGTTGCAGCGCCTGCGCCGCTAGCACCATGTAGTTGTGGTTCATGTATCCGTATTTCATTGCGTCCGATAGTGCGTAGTCTCGCATGTAGGAAGCACTGACACTGAAAAGCGCATTTCGTGTACTTTCGGAGTGCAGTGCGATAGGAAGAATGGCCAGGTACGCGTTCTCTTCGGCGAATAACGTTTGACCCGGCGCAAACATATTAATATCTGATGCCGATGAATGTTAGCCCTCGGTCCTCTGGCGCCTGCGTCGCGTATGTTGGCTACTCACAAAAGTCTAATAGATCTCGTTCCATTTCGTTGCTCCATAATCCGCGGTAGTTTATTGTTGCTGGTCTCAGTTTAATCAACCCATTGTACGAGAGCAGAGGATCCCACGACAGCGGTTCTGATGAAGTGCTCGCCGTGTCGGAGATCACCGAACCACAACCCGCAGAGTATGGACGTTCGATTTCGGATGCAGCGGATGAAGCATCAGATTGAGGAGTTTCGAGTGAAAACCCTATGTACGAAATCGTGTTAGCCATGTACTCCGCCAGTCAGTTTGACCAGGAAACCTACCAACGAGACTGGCGCGCAGGTCCATGCAGGCCTTCTCCTTGTGTAGACGGACCCGCTCCAGGCGCTGCAGCACCAATTGAGTCGAGGAAGGGTCGTAGATAAGAGCGTGGTACCGAGGCTGGTTGTGGAGCTCGGCCCGCAAACACTCCAACTGTTCACTGTTCATATCCACCACCCGCCAGAGCAGTTGGCCCAGGATTTCCAGTAGTGCAACCCCGGGCCCATCTTCCACCATCCAGTGTCGAATCACCGCAATGCCCCGGCGTCCATTCTTCTGCTTGCCCTGAGACGGTGGCTCGACCACCGCGGACAGTAGCCGGTCGACGTATGTGAAGTCTAATGTTTGCGACCCAGATGCGGGTCTGGCAAGATATCCTAGGGCGTCGATGGCGGCACCGAGAGCCCGTTGAGCCTTGTCTGGGCGGGCCGCATCTGTTTTTCGACTCATGCTGTGAAGGTGTCCTTGTGTGTCACTGCCGAGGACTGATATGGGGTAAGAGAAAAAAGACAAAATGGTCGAGAATCTAACGTGCGATCGACCTTTGTTTAAATATGATGACGGGGCTTGATCACCCCCCCTGCCGGGGTAGAGGCTGGTGGGTAAAAAAAGAAATAATCAAAAAATAGAAGAACGTTTGCGAGGCTACATCAGGGGACCCTAGTATGACCATGCAGGAACTAGATGGCTTAGGACGCTAGAAGCCAGAAAGAAGGAAATAGCATCCTATCGAGGGGTCAGTGAGCACGCCGACTGTATGACGGATTGGCAAATCCACGTGTGAGATGCACGCCCGATGCCACTAGGGGAAGGTGAGTTTCTGAGCGATCGGGGAGGACATGGGCTAAAGCGTCATCCTATGCACCTTTCCATCATAGCTGCAGTTACTATTCAAGGATTTGTCAATCAATCCGAGTCGATCACGAAACCTCAGTGGTGAAATAGACCCTAGAATCAGGCCCGCTGCCACGAGGGATTCGCTTCTATGCATGCTCCTCGAGCTAAGCAGGGAACAGACTGAATAGGCGAAGCAAACGGGCAGTTGGAAGGTCCTGAAACATAGCTTGGCCCCCTCCTGCCATCGAGATTTCGAAGCAGACATGAAACCAACCCCCTCGTCTGGCATCTGGCAGGAGGTCGCTTACTGCATACTCTGTACGATGAATCTACAGAGACAACTTTCTTTCTGGGGCACGAGACGCTGCTGGCTGCAGTCATGACCCAGGAATTCTGTTTGAAGTCCCTACTACCCACGTCGTTCATGATTCAGGACGGACAGGTTGGCAATCGGATCTGGTTTTTGGCCCCTCCCTTGCTGAACTGTTCTTTGTTCTTCGTCTCAAGCCCTCTCTTTCCTTTCCCTGCGTCAGACCTGAAACGCAGCAGCAATGCGCATCTTGCCGAAAATAGGGAGGTGGGCAGACGGCGCTGTCAAGGGGGGAGAATTTAGCGTCTTTAGCCTCGCTAGCCCTATCGCCCCCAACCACTCGTCGTACTGAGCTGGTCCCACCGACTCCATATTGGCGCTATGGAGCGCATCTCATTTGACAGCTCTATATTGCGCGTATGGAACCTGCAGAAGCAGATGACCATGCCACTTTTTTTCTGGGGGCCGAACCTCAGTTTCCTATTGGAGATGGGACCGTCATGTATTAGTCTGCTCATGGTCTGCGCTCGTCCCGGATTGATAGATAGTGCTGATGTGATGTGGAATAATGATTAATAGTTCTTAGTCTTAGTTACTGTTCCTAGTTCCTGTCAACCTGTTCACTAATCCACGTTTCGAGGGTTCACGCGATAATGTCATAGGCGTTGTCCCGTTCAGCCGTACGGCCTAGACGAAAAACTCGAATCAGCCACACAATTAATAAAGTGCCATCAGCTTAGCTTGCATTGCCCGTTATTTTCAGAAACGAACCAGAGGAGTTTCTTGAAAAGGAAATCAAGAAATGAACGTTGCGCTCGCACGTCCATCTGATATCAGCCGCATTTTGCCACAATCCCAAGGCAAACACCGATAGACGACACCTGGATTTCAATATCCTAATGTTGCTATCCAAGACATTTAGGCCTCTAGATCACTTCTACGCTTCATTGTAGAGAAGTTATTGGTGTCAATTCTCTTAGGTTCGAGATTGCGGCGTCTCCGATCACACTCGCTAGGTGAAACATTATCGCGTCAACGCATTCCTTCTCCCAAATCCTTTCTGTCAATCTTCAATGCGTTGTAACGTAGTTTCAATGAGACATGAAACGAGAATCCCAGATCGTCGAATGGTGGATCGATTCTATTTCCTTGGTGCGGTTTAACATGTACATAGGTGGGTGTGGGTGACAAGAATTTGGAGACCGATGGGGGTCACGACAGCGATCGTGTTCCGGGAAAAGCTCCCTCGGATCATGCTGTGCTGTACCTTAATATTCTTCTGGGGCTGTGTGTGGCTCTGATCGCTCGGGCTTGTGCTAGGGGGTATGCTGCAAGGGGAGAAGCATGTAGCTGGCAGGAGCTGGAGCGCAAAGCCTGTTACAGCTAGCAAATATACGAGCGTGGCTATCTGGCCATCAGGCTGACTCGTTCCTCAGTGTCGCTACGCCAATCCATGAAGAAAATCCGGTGGGGGACAAAAAGTGGGCGTCGCTTGCTGACTGGGTTCTGTCTTGACCGACATCCTGCGTGAGCCAAAGAGAATATCAACTGATGGATCGATCGCCTGTCGAACAATCCTTCCTGTTTCATGATGTTCTAGTGCGTTCCACGCATTGACTGGCGCATGCTATTCATCTGGAGATCAGCTATTCTCCGACTTCACCGGACGAAGCGGAGTCCGTCCTGACGTGATTGCGGCATTGCACTTGGTGTCTGCCGCTAGCAGGACGCTATTCCCAGTCCCACCCAGCTGAAGGCCAAGAAACGGTCATTTTCCGAGCAGATCGACCTGTCCATTTCCTTGGGGAAGACCCCAGTGTGCTTGGTTTTTCCGGCTGCCAAATTTATCGGGCGCTCCATGTTTCCTTCTTCGGTGTTCTTGGAAAGGCCGGCCATGCCAATTATTGTTGCCGAGATTGTCAAAGGAGATGTATCTAATTGGTGGAGTTTCACGAGACTAGACCAAAGACGCAGTGGTGACATGTTATAATCCTCCATTTCCAAGTCCTTTTGATTTACAAGTCTTCAGCTGGGTTCAAGGGCGTTGATCTTCGGTTCTGGAAGGGTTGGAATGAATCCCGAAGCAGAACAATCTACCTTTCAACTGGCGCTACCCGCAGTAATGAGAGAATCAATTGAATATGATGACTTTCTTGGTAGAAAGGGATACAAGATCAAATAATGCGCATCTAAGGGAGCCGGATGCTGTTGGAAGCGCTTTGGGGTGGAAACTGAAAACTAAGAGCCACTGCGCAATTTGACAACTGTGGCTAGCGCCAGCCGGTGGGCCTGAGTCATGTTTTAAATCACATGTGGCAATATATATTGCAATTATATTGCAATCGCATGATTAGTGAGGCTTAGAATTATCCGTGCTTGACCCGTTAACTGTCATGTCGTTCTGGAGCGGCTCTGGATAAAGCAAAATTAGGTTTCGAGAGCACTGTCCGAGTTAACGCCGGAAACAAGCCAATATCCCTGAGACATACGAGGACGGTGTGATTCACTATAATTAATTAGCAACTACTTAGCCAATGCCATGCCACCAAAGCGCCCGGAGACCCGTGCAGAAAAATGTGGGAAAGGATACCTATTCCAATTTAGCCCCAGGTGTCAATAGCTTCAAAGGAACAAGTAGAAAGAATCATGAGGGGATAGCATATATGAGCTGATAGCTATTATCAAAGCCGTGCGGGAAATTCTGTGACTTCTTGAATCGTGCCTCATACACGCCCGACTTCAACCCAGGCGCAAGGAGAGCATCTCAACTTTCTCCCTCGCCAACAAGTGGAAGATATGATCACTATGAAAAAGTAATCCAGAGCATCATTCTCATTGAAGCGCCATGAATACATCATCAGGCATTCGACGGCCGTGTTGTCGTTGCCGGGAACCCTCGATAAGGGTTCTGACCTGCGAGAACAGATGCCTCGCTCCGCCTCCCCAGTCCTTCGCAGTACCTTGAGTATGGTGTATGTGCCAGATGAAACGAAGCGCGCCAATTCATCATTCAACAGCCTATTTGACCTATCGGGGACGTCCCCACAAAGGTCAGTCTACCAATATAAAGTATCTCGCAGACTCCACCTACCGGATCATATGAAAAATGGCTGTTCCAGTTGAGGGACTTAGCCTCTCGGTAAAAAATCTTCTAGATGGCGTATTTACTAGTAATTAGGGTGAGATTTCCTTTTCTAGAGGGAAGTACATATGAAGAACAGACGAGCCGATAGAGGAGGGATGAAAGAAAGGAGAGGGTGTTGCCAGGAATGGGAAGGGATCAACGAAATCGTGAGAAATCAGTTGTCACGGCGCATCAACTGTAGAATTGCCCTTGAGTAATAGATATTGACAGTTTTCAGTACAGTGGCCAAATATGCATCAGGCGATTTGGGCCGTTCTGGGTGTGTCTTTGACTCTCAGATCACCTCTTTCGTATCTATGTTGTGAACATTCCACCAGGGTTTTGGAACACCGCACATGGCTGTGCTGTTGCAAAAGAAACAATGGAGGGGCGAAATGCCTTGGGCGCCTACTCTGCCTTGTTGAAGAGAATCCAACATGGTTAGTTTGAATCAAGGAACTAGCTTGTAGTTTCAGGAATGCAGTCACAACTCGGAATATAGTCCCCTACACATCAGGATGAGGTTGGACATGAACTGTAAAGAGAGGCATCATTCTAGACTCGGCATCTCATTCATGGTTCATCCAACCAATTCACAAATGAAGGCACCCCTGTGTTGGTCTGTTTATCATCCGTTTGGAGGGTCACGAGGCTCAAAAGCTATTTGGTGAACTTTCATATCTTCCTCTTTAGAATCGGGGAAGATACTTTGATTTGACGCAATCTGAAGACTCATTCATTTATGGTGGTATTAGGTTCTCTAATAGCCCAGAAAATTCAAAAGAACTGTCAAATCCTTTGTGCCGGTCGCAGAAGTCATATTTTTCAAATTGTATATGACAATTGTTCAAGTTGAAGCCAGAGATCTCAAGGTTTGTTATAAAATCGTACAGTCTTTTGAAGACTTATAACAACATCACTCGAAGAGTTCTCGGCTCAAAAAGCGTTCTAATAACTTAAAAACTGCCAAAGATATCTGTTATGGTATAATCATGTTTCTTAGGGTCCACGAGATGATAGGTTCAATGTCTGCTTCATATCCCTCATGGCTTGAGAATACTGAGTAAAGCCAGGTGATCTTGAAGTCAAAATTTGAGACAGGCACTACAGTCACCACGACAGAGGCATATCGCTCAGTCACGGTGAAGTACGTGATGATGTTGGAATCATCTCAGATTCACCTAATTAAACGGTTCCAGGTCCATGAGCCAGGGTTAACATTCGGACCCTTTCTCAAAGCGATCTAGCAACACGGAAAAAGGCCGTATCTCTCGAAGCGTGCATCTCTGCTCTGAGTGTTGTTGAATGGCTCCGGCGACATTTTGGAACGTGAGATTTTATATCTACTTCACTCAAGTCAGCCATGTATACTCGACAGTCTTTCGCAGTGCAGAAAAACAGTACTTATCGGAATAATAATGGAGATGCGATACCAGGAGCGAGGAGCGCTGCCGACTATCAGAGCAAAGGCCGGTTATTATGTTGGATAAGAGAACAGTATGCAGCAGAAACAGTGCTCCGACCCAGAGAGAATTCATAAAGACTGTCCTGTATGCTCCTCTACCTCAGGTAACCTTTCTTCTTCAACCTGTGCCATCCATGAATGACAAGTTAGGTTTCGTTTTCTAGCCCCCGCTCACCAACCCCCTCCCACTCCTGGTGCTAGACGAGTTTCGAGCATATCTGGAGCTGACTCCCCTTGGTAAGGGATGCGATTAGACGAAAACCCCATTGCAAGAGCTGGGAGTTCTTTCCCGGCCACATGTAACACAGGTGCTCCCAGAGGCTGCCCACAATGCGTCCTACGAAAGGCTCAAGTAATCTCTGTGGTAGGTAAACAAATTATCGAAGTATTCGTTTTGATTCAAAGTTCGACAAAGGACTATGGGCGATATATTGGACAAAACGCCAATGCTGGTTCTGACTGCCGAGAAAAGCGAAGGCTGGGATATATCAATGTTATCTGGATCTATGGCTTCGTGGGGGCTGTGCACTAACAGTAACGACCCATTTCAGTTATTATCGCCCATTATTTCAAATACATTTGGGTCTCCAAAGAAAGCAGGATCCGCGCGAGGCGCTTTCACCAAGGTTGAATGTTCTGGGAACTACTCCTTCCAGCCATCATTGGCTGGTCGAGCAATTGAAAATGTTTGGTAAGAATTCTGAATCAAACTCATGTCAAATGAAAAGCTGTGAGTGGTCGTCGGTATGTTTCATCTGCTAATCCATGCAGACGGTCAAATCCGGGCTTCCAGGACAGTTGTACAGTTTTTTCTGGGTTATTTCTGACTTGCATAGTCGCCCAGACGAGCTAAGCTTGGTCATTATCCAGTAAAAGGTCACTGTGGTTATCATCTCACATAGTGTTGGTTGAAAGAGAAGGTGTGATCTATGCAGAAAACAGCTTCAGAGCAACTTTTATCTCGACCGAAGAATGAAGCTCGCAAGGGTCGAAGCTGCCGAGCTTCAACAGGAGCTGCAGTAAAAGATACTTCAACTTTCATACTGCGACCTTCTTTTCGTTGTGTTTTGCTAGCTATTTCGTGGTTGTTGATAACGGCATGAATAGGATCTCGTGGCGCGCTGCATGGCAAAACTGAGCAGCCATACGCTGGGATCAGTAAGAAGACTTGAATCATGGAAACATGTTGGGGCCAGTAGCAGGATTGGTGGTGAATGGTGACGTGTAGAACAGAAGCAGGAGCACACGTGCATTGGGGTGTTTCAAAATATAAGACGTTGCATATCATGACAACCACAGCCACAAAAGGGCAGCATAAGATAATCAGATCCTTCACACTACCCAATGAGATTGCAGATTCGACATACTTTTCGGCGCACTGACGCTGATTGTCACGACTGTTTAGAATGGGGCCAATAGGGCGAGTCCAAGGCAGTTAGCCCCCAGACTACACAGGGCTGACCAGCTCAGCCATCACACCGGGCACCACTAAGTGCCCCTGAAGTAACAGGCGAGTGCTCTGGCAGAGCCGGCTATATGAAACGAAGGCCGAATGTCTTTAAAAGCCAAAGGATTATGATGTTTGGAGCAAGTATCACCCACCTGTAGTAACTGTCCGAGCTGATACTATCATAATCATCATCAACATGGCTATCCTGACTACGCCGCCACCGGTAACATCAGTTGGTGTGCATGCCCCTTTTTGGCTCCTGTCATTATTAAATATAAGTTAACGGGGCCGAACAGATTGGACCAATTTAGAGTCAATTGTGGTGGAAGGTAAGAGAATATCTCATCACTTGCCACAGGCCAAGCCCAATCTCACACCAGTCACAAGGCAATGGTCATATCGAGTCGCGCTACAATGCTGAGACCGATGAGTGGTCAATTCCACGATTTGTCCATGGTCACAATTTACGGAGTAATGAGCTCGAGCCGTTGTTGAGCTATGGTCAGTAAAACGCGGATCATGAGCAAATGACTTTTCTGCTAACCTTACTGCTAACAGGTCAGCAAGCTTATGAAGGCATCAAAGGTAGAGAGATAGAGGCAGCTCATAGAATGAAGTTCATCGTTAATCAGTACTGTATCGACAGCTTGTCGGGACCCTCATGGAACAATCCGAATATTTCGACCGGAATTTCATGCCGATCGGTTCCAGCATACATGTTGCATCATGTCAGTTCCATCCATGTCGCAGGATCATTTCACTCGTTGCGTCGAACTGGCTGTCTCTCGGAATGCCGAGTACGTTCCCCCGCACGACAGCGACGCGATGCTGTATATCAGACCCACCGTTTTCGGCCCTGTCAGTCATAGCAGCAGCAGCAGGTCATCCGATTTCCTGTTAAGTGTGGCGGTTTGCGCCGGAAGAGATTGTTATCTCACTCGGCCATTAGATGCCTTGGTCATGGACGAGCTCAACGGAGCCACACCTCACAATGCCAGCCCGGTCAATAGTGAGGAGCAAATACGAACAAAGAAATATGGGCTCACGCTGCATGTAGATGGTCGGACGCACACAGAGATCATAGGATTCACACGCGCATCATTCATTGGCATCATGGGCGGGAAAGGGGATGGAAACATTCGTGTCGTTCTCCCGGAACACTGCAATATTCTGGACAATGCTACCAACAACAGCTGTGTTACCATCGCACGGTCTCTTGGTTGGGTTGTAGAGAAGCGTGGAGTATGAAGTCTCTGCTGACGGAACATAGAGACGCATGAGCTGACACGGTGCCATACATAGATCCACGTCGCGTCGTTATCGGAATTCAGCGAAGTCCTTGCGGTCGGAGACACCGCCGACCTGACCCCAGTCAAGTCAATCACTCATCTTCACGATAACAGTCGAGTTCAGGTCACGTATGACGCGACTGCTGAGGGTAAGCCGGGGCCTGTCGCGACAGAGCTGTGTCAACGTCTGAAGGACATAAAGAAAGGAAGAGCGCCCGATGACTTTGGATGGTGTTACAAGGTGCAGTTATTGTAGAGCGCGCTGGCTGAGCGATGAATTTCTTCTGTTGTATTAATAGATCCTCCTTTTTGCTTTTGTTTTCTGATTGGCATCCGCTGTATAACCTCTATTGTTTTGTTTTTTTTTAATTTTTTTTTTTTTTCTACTATATTTAGAACAAACACCGTGACTCGATGACTCAGCCGTCCACAGACCAGGTGACGTCATGCGTACAGGTATGTGCTGGCTCAAGACTTACAGCCCAGCTTCATCAAACCGGATCGAACTATATCTGAATGTTGTACCACAGCCAAGCTTCGTTGAGGACATTGGGTTCTGTCAAATATGTTTTGTAGTGTATAGCGGGTTTGATGGAAGAATATATATTTCGGCTCAAGTTGACAGCTTCTGTTACAAGCACTTCAACAGCCCATTTACATACAGCCGAAGTAACCAAACAAGGTCAATTTGATAGAATACCGAAGCCCGCTGGCGTTAAACTCACGTTGCGGATACGCAACGTTCAAAAAATTGAGTGTTTCTTATTAAGTCATGAAGCGGGGAGGAGTTGTAACCCTTCTCATAGTTCGGAACATAGCATGGTCATAGATTGATACAATTATAATTTATAATCCGCTGTCTACGCTTGAAATATAAGATTACCATTGACTTGTTGGCACTCTTGTTTTGGAATCACCCAAAAGATTTTCAGACTGTCCTGTTCTTTGCCCGGGTAATTAGAGACAGTCAGCTGAGATTGATAACTACCGCAAGAACGTGTATCTTACTTTGCACAAGTTGTAGTTCAGGTCACCGATCTGCTGTTACATTCAGCAGTCGGAAACCACGCAGATATTCGGCCCATTCCCCGCTTCCTTCGGTTTTTCTAGTTTCTGTAGACGGCCCGACTAGGTGGACTCCCACGGAGTGTCACGGAGTCAACTTACTCCGTTCTCCTTAGCCGTCGTCAAGTGTGGTTTCAGGAGTCGTTTAGCAGCGAACGGTGAAAGTTAAGGGACCCGAAGCATGTGGTTGGTCAAACCCTATCCTTCTGGAACAGGCACTAGAATGTTACTTATCCTGAAGGAGCAACGATGAACAATTTCTATAGTCCCTAACCACAAGAAGAGAATGTCAACCGAACAAGAAAATGCACTGGATGGTTAGCGGAGTCGTAGACAGAATCCGAAAACCCAGAGTTTAGCCCCCACACGGCGATGACGATCCCTCACGGCAAGAGGCCGCTTGTTGGTTGGAATGAGTTACTGCGAGGAACTTGCTTCCGGGCTATGTGGTATGATCCACTCTTCGTTTATTCTTTGCTTTCCTGTTTCCTACGGTGCAAATTCATCAACTCATTTTGCGTGGTGGAGGGATATCATGTGGATGGAAAAACGGCGAACGGAATATGCATGTCAGATTGTACGAAGGCGCGGGGTTCGGCGTACGGTGTAAATAATTCATCCATAAACCCTGCTTGCTGGGCCTTATGCAGCTAGCAGTCGGGACTCGGGGCAATAGTAACAAACGGGTTTGTTATAAGCAGAAAGTGACCGGGGATGTTGTCTCTTGAGCCATGCTGTACATTTTGCCATGATAACTATTCGACCAACTGCAGTTAGGGGGACCGCGAATGGAGACTAGTACGGAATAAATATGTTTCAGTGAATCGATAACGATATTAAAGTATAGTCTGCGATCACGATCGACGAATGATGCACACTACACGGTCTTATGTCCTCAGACTCCGCCTTGTAGATCGACTCATAGTAATTATTGACCCCCAGATCTCACCTCTGAAGAGTTATATCTTACGTGTGTCAGAACTGCGTAGTTCTCCTGCGTTATCGACCTCGGACGTTGCAATCGGCAGCCGGATATTGATTGCACTCCGATCATGCCGAAGAATCACCAATCGAGGCGAGATCTTTGCTTCAATGGCGAGTCCGAAAGTCAAGAAAGATAATTTGGGATGCCGATCTCCTGTCTCCATGACACTATGCTCTACGGAGTATATGCTCATGACGCACGGCGGTTGATCAATCCTGTACCGGAATTTTCGGGGACTAAGGCTTGCCGGCTGAGACAACGAATACTTATCGTTTTATCGTACCTTGCTCTAGCACGGCTCGAGGAAACACTGCTCTGCAACAAATGGCAACGCCTTGTCCTTTGAGCAGAGTCGTTTCAGGTCGTATGAGCGGGTCGAACCGCATTGGTACCACGTTTAACACCCCGATGTATGCGTATGCAGAGAAAACATCAGACTCCTTTGACACGTGGTATGCATTTCTTGCTAGCGCCTTGAAGTAGAAAAGATACCTGATAGTAATGGATAAGCCAATTCAGTTCACTTAAACTGCACCCGAGTGGAGACACGTCGGTCGTCCCATCTCTCCGATGTGCGACCGAGCTCAGAGTATAATCATGACGGAGAACGCCGTCAGAAGCCTGTTTAATAAAAAAGAGTCGGCCCCTGTTGCGTATGAGAAGGAGTTTCCTAGTTTGATGGAGCCCTCAGGACAATTCTTCACCGAAGAAGAGAGGTTAATTAATTTCTTTCTTACGATATCCCGTCATGCCACATTGTTGGAAGCCTTAATTAGTTCTAGGCTTCCAAGGGACTCACACTCTCGATTTACACACATGAACAGCCAAAAGGGAACGAAGCGGGTCCAGGAAGCCCTGCGATTGGGGCCAGAACAGAGAAGGATGCGTTCCGTGGTGCCTCTACTCGGCGTGGAAGCTCCGGACCCAGTCAATTGTTGGATGGCGCTGCAATTCGGGGGGGGGGGGGGGGGGGTCGAAATAGGTTGAGAAATACAGTCATTATTTCGTAAGATGTGGGCCTCTAATTACAGAATTATTGTTTCTATGTACAAAGAAATGCAGAGGAGCCCGCTCGCGGCGTCTAAACAGTTTTTGTCTCTTGCTCACCCTATGAAATCGTAATATCACTCCGCACAACAATTCCCATGTTTGGCGGCAGAAGGAAGCTTTCCCCAGGCAACGGGGCTAGCGGTGTCGCCCTGTGAGCAGAGACGGTGCTTTCGGCGGCCGTCGCAGTAAACGAGCACTTTTGCGACCGATCAAAAGATTTGGTGTCCAGTTCCGTTTCTTCATCTCGGCCCATCCGACTAAAATATGATCGTCCGATATCCGAGTCGGCGAGCCTTGATTTCGGGTGCGGTGGGAAACTTTGGCCCATTACTGACCGCAATCCTTCGTGAGCTATGCGCCGACTAAAGACGAAGATGCTGGGTAGGCACACGCTGACGACAGAGATTGCGATTTCTGAAAGTAGCCAGTAGACAGGTTTCACGAACTCCCCTGGGCATTGTTAGAAGCATGTTCGTAAGTTTTGTCAGTCCAGAGAGCTCACAGGTAAAGTCACTCTCAAGATTACTCCCAACCTCGACAATTGAGACTAATCGCCCGATTGATACCACGACAACCCTATCGGACACAGGTTAGAGGTTCTCGTCATAACTATAGGCGCGTTGGAGTCAGGCTTACAAGTATCCGCAGAGAAAGACTCCCATAATCAGCAGTTTCCTCATGATCTTCATCTGTAGTCGCCAGAGTAAAGGCAGCGGGAGAACCAAAATCAGGATATTGATGATGAGACTGGGAATCCCACTGCCTAGAAAGAGGGTACGAACGTCGATGCATCGCCCTGGAAGAAGCGGATTCCAGATTTTCTCCGTGGGAGTGCACTGTAGCGCGACAACGACATGCATGCCGATCATCCAGGCGATATTCATAGCATGAACCAACCACAGGGCATATTTGAATCGCGATTGAATCTGATCGAAGACTCGAGTGTAAAATAGGAGTGCGGAGGCTCTGGCGACAGATGTGCCTGTGTCGAAGATAAAGTATTCCACCCAAAGCAGCTTCATGATCAGCGGGAAATTCTCCGGGACCGCCTGAAGATGCTGTCCTACTCCCAGGTCGGCCAATTTTAGGCCGATCCCACACATCACTACGTTGAGCAACTGCATATACTTAGATCGAATGTTCTCGGTCAAGAGTCAAGGCGTGGAATAGGGCTAACAAACCGCAGCCAGAAGAGCAGTCCAATCATCCCACCAAAATCGAACGGGCGTACTCGAAAACCCGGGTAACATCGCCCTGGACCAAAATCGTAGGATAACAGCAAATATCGGCGTGATCAGCATAACTATCATCAATGCCCGGAGCGCTGGACGCTGATCATCATTGAGATTGACGCCCGTAGGCGTTGATGAGGACATAGCGTGGTGAGGGATGGAGGGAAGTCGTGAGGACAGGAGGACGTTGAAGAACCATTGGAAGCCGAGAGATTCTAAAAGCGACTGCTCGTGGATGAGGGCTGGTCCTCATGGTATCTAAAGAATGCGGCGGAACATCGCTGCGGGTCAGATTTGGGGTTTATTGCAGGGAATTCTGCAGGTGCAGGGAATCGTTCAAGGGGGCCATGAGGAATTGAGGGCCCGACTAAGCTAAGCCATGGAAAAAAATGGGTAGTGCGTATTGTATAACAATTAACAAGCCATAGGATTTGGGGGAATTAATTTCATGTGGACTGGGATTACGGCCTGATGACAGAGAGGGAAAGGCTACAAACCGGGTTGTGGGTGCGTCGTGTGTGTGCATAGCCATTCTCGGGGGAGAGCAGACCATTTCCTGTTCTCACCTGCCAGGCTCATTCTGGATAGCGTTCTTGGTATGCAGAGATTAGTGCCGGTTAGCTTCCCATCGGGCAGGTCGAAAGGCTGAGGGAGGTCCATTTCCCGGCCCCAGTTCTTACCTCAGCCCACTGCGTGTCAGCGTCTTCTGGGGGCGGTGGACTGACATGGATGTCGATCCCGGAACACATGGGAGAAGGAGATAACCATTTTTCCTTTTTACTCATTTGTCCTTCCACGCGCTGTCGGACCGAAAACGCTGCATCGCGACCGATATTAAGGTCGCATTTGGTCATTCACGATCGTATTTGGCGGCCGTCCAAGAAGCCCTAAGCAAATCGGGGTTTAAGCTATCGTCCGTGAGCCAAGTTAGCTGCCCTTGCGCCATTTCTGCACGCTTTATCCAAAACCCCTCGGCCTGAAGAAACCCCCGAAGGTTTTCCTTTCCATTATTGTCCTGAGAACTGCAATAGACCACCTTAGCTAGTGCTTCTGCATCAAAAGTCGATCTTCGGCTATGTTTAACAATATTTGCAATGATTTAACATAACGCTTGGGCCTGCTCGGGATATTTACCGCCAAGAGTGAGAGGCGCACGTTATTATTATGAGGTGACAATAAGAGTAAGAAGTAGGAAAGAAAACAAAAAGAAAAGGGCCCCAACCGGGCATCGGACGAACACACCTGTCCGAGGATCACCGTTTCGAGTGGAACGATTCTAGACTGTGAGCACTGCAATACACGTGGGAGGCCTGCTCAAACGTGGCAGAGCTTGCAAGCAGAACGACCTTAATCGCATAGTGGAACATGTCAACCATACCTGACAGTAAGCTTATCCTCCACATTTCGTCTCTGTTTCAGAAAGAAGATAGCATCTCTCTGACAGTCTGTATGCGCTCATGCCACCATTCTCGAGTCCCTTCCGGTCTGACTCGCGTAGTCCATCCTGAAAAGGTATATTCCCTCTGGTGAAGCCGGTCTGCTGGAAATGAATTGATTACGTCGAGTCATCACGGCCAGTAAGCAGCTTCGATCTGTCGGTAGAACGAAGGTTTCTTTCGTAGAACTTGCAGAGACAAAAATGATGCCACCTTCATTAGAAAGTACCGTCTCCTCGTTGACCGATAGATAGCCAATTAAGAAACTCGTAAATAGAATTAAACTCTTGGTGCTATTCACCATGCTTCTTGAACACAAGGATCTTGAACCATAACGCAGACATTATGTACATACAAACCTTCTTTCACCCGGATCTCCATTTTGGCAGGCATTTCGTTGGTTAGTATCAGGGGAAGATTAGAAAGATGGTAAATATTGATCGATTGAGGCAAATATCCCTCTGCTTACCATCTACACCATTTTGAGGTCGGGTTTTGTGCATAGACTGTCGTGGGGCTCTGACCTTCTATGTTGACTATCATCATTCGCGGCACGGGTGCTATTTATAGTAAAACTCTTACAGAAAACCTCCTTCAAGGACTTAAGATGATTCTAGTTGCTCTATGAACGATCATGGAAGCTATCGTTGCGATCCCGATTCAACTGAGCGCGTTTTAATTCCGTGCCGGCGTGAACACTGGTCATGTGGTTGCAGAATGCGCGGCTCATCTGCATCACTTGCTTGAAATGCTCCGTCACCACAATGACCGGATTCTCATCAGAGTATGCCCCCTCCTTGCTAGCTTCGTATTCTGCAAGGGCGACCGCTGTCTGCAATGTGTTGCGAATTTCGCGACCACTCCATTGCACTTCACTTCCTTCTTTTCGGTCCAGAATAAAGCGCTTCGCCTGTGAATGAATGATGAACTTGCCTTTCATGTCGTGTAGAAGCTTGACGAAGAATGCCTCCCAAATTCGATTGCTCATCTCGCCATCCAGGCTCTTGTACTCCAGAACAACGTGGACCCGGGAGAGAAACGCGTCATCGATATGTTCCACCCGGTTCTTGGTGAGAAAACAGATTCCCCGAAAGTATTCCATCTGTCGCAGGAACACTAATTTAGAGTCGGTTGCTGGTTTTGATTAACGTGTCCAGTTTATTCGCCCCATTGCGTACCTGAAACTATGCCATTTCGTGCCAGATAATAGTTGCTTTTCCGCTCCAGGAAAATATCCGCTTCATCGATCAGAAGAATTGCGTTCCATGTTTCGGCAAAATAGAACCATTTCATCAGCTCTCCCTCGATACTGTGCTCCTCCGTTCCGATGTCCGCAATGGCAAGCGAGAGCAGAGGTTGGCTAGTTGTCATTGCAATCCATTCTACGAAGAGTCAGTTGTGCGAAAGCTCACATCTACCGGCCGAGGAAGTCGGCCTTATCGACGGTATAAGTCTTGCCTACTCCTGGAGGCCCATGTAACAATGTTATCTGGCCTTCATCCTTGTCTTGGATAAAGTCAGGCCTCCATGCTTTTTGCATGTTCTCTTGACGATAGGCAAGGGCTTCGATTACTTCGATGTCACCCTGTGGAAGGACAGGCTTCTGCAACTCCTGCCCCTGAATTTCCTGAAAACACTCAACTTCAAATACACCTAGTTACTGTCAGCCGTTTTCGGCAATATGTGAGCAAAAGCGAGGGGGTGCTCATGGGCGCAACCTGACCCCATGTTTTATCTTTCAATCCAAAGGCCGCCATAACGGGACTTGCAAGAACATAATGATCCTCTGTGAGGTTCTCGAATTGATTGGGGGTGATGTTGTCGAAACTATCCCATTGAGGAATTGGCCCTGGTGCTGCTGATGGGTTCTCCCCAGCGACATTCCCATCTTTGCACTCGCCATCAAAGTACCAGCCCATACACGTCACTCACTCTCTCCAAGGTCAGCGCGGACTCCGGGTCAATAATCACCAGTCCCCTGTACTACATTTACCTCGGCCATAGGTCTACATTGACAAGAGGAGCACTTACATATTTGTCACGCTCAAAGCGAGCTTGGTCCCCCGACCTTGGCGGAACAGGACTCAAGGAGATATTGGGGGCATAGCCTTCTTACATCACCTGCTTGTATTTAGAGGACAGCAGCCAGAAGAACTTCTTCCCTCTCTCTACAAGCTGTCGTCGCTTTTCTCCCCCATCGATTGCATCTAAGTATTCGAGTGGCACGGACGCCAGCGACGTGATTGCCTTTTCGCCCTCAAATCGGTGGATTTTGCTGTATCCCCCGGTTCTGCCCACTTTAATTTCGGTTGCCATGATATTCCAAGCGTATAACTCCCAGACACGCCTCCCTTTTTTCTCTCATTTCTCCAATATCAACTCTTGCATTGATACAACACAATGTACCATTGGCTTTTCTTTGTAGGTCTCGTAAACGAATGTGCCTGACTTGAGCAACAGCCACAGATTGTCGAATGTAGCGGCAGGAACCGATTTCTTGTATCGTCGTTCTTCCGGCACGATGACTCGATCGATGAAGGGGTCTAGAAATTCGAAAAGAAGCCGGATATGCTTGGACCTGACAGCCTCCAGTGGTTCTTCTGTTGCCTGGAGAGCCCGCAGTTCATGGCGATGATAAATCAGCACTGGGTATTGCTGGTGAATTGTAACTACATCGCCAGCCAGATTCTGTCTTCCGTGCCGTTAGACTAGATCCTTTGACCGGCGCGAAGGAGCTCACCCCGGGTAGTAGGAGACAACGCTTCGAATGACCTCGAGTAAGACCTGGGAATAGATCTCGATTCTGGACTTTCCGATCTCCTTCACCTCTATTTTTCCAACGGCTTCTCCCGACTCCCATTGATAGAAGGCCTCCATCTGCGACTTCCTTCCCCCGCTCACCACACTTGTGATCACTTCGAAACGGTCTCTTCTTCGCCCTCCTCATTGCCTGCATACGCTCGTCGCTTTTCTTCGAACGATGGGGGGCGATCGTTTTTGAACGTTCTAGGCAAGTCGCTAGCGTTCTCAAAGACTTCCACTGAGTATGAAACGCTGGCTTGATTTAGGGAACAACTAGGACCACTTCGCTCGCTCGCCACATCGCCATCATCTTCCGTTTGCCATCCCCCCTTCTCGTCCGGATTAACTGGCGGTATGGTGCTGTTTGGTGAGTTCGCATCGCTGGCATTCGCAGAAAGTTCTACCTCCAGAGCATCGCTCGCGTGTTGATGCTCCTCCTAATATCACTGTGGTTTGGAAAGCCGTTCTCGTGGCGAAGGAGAGCTTCCAGGAACACGAATGGGCAAAGCGAAGCAGGCAGTCTTCAAAGCATGCGAGAGTCTCGAGGACCACAAAGAGCTGTTTCACATCTTCCCGACCGGGGACAAATATATTTCGCTTGTGACTGGGAGTATCTCCGCGATCGTCAAGGTAAGACATTGTCTCGATGTCCTCTACCGGTAGATGGTGTTCCCCCTGACACCGCGCAGGCCGCCGTGAACCACCAAGCCGTCGCGACCGGCGTGTCGAAGATTCTCGCAGACAACTGGGATGATATCAAATATCCCCGGGGGCTTATCTCTGGCCCCTTCAACAATGAACCCGTTCGACCATATGTCGCCCTCTTCTACACCGAGGTTTTCAAGGTCCTTGTGGGCATTCTTGTTCACTGGCACCAATCCCGTCTGCGGCGTGTCATCCATAGTTTTAACTTCGGTTACGTCGAGAACCTGGTGGGCAAAGCAAGGTCAAATATGAAGGAGCTGATGACCAAAGTTGAACAGCAGATGCAGCCGGAAAGATGGAACAAAGTGGCCAGTAAAGAGGACTTGCTTCCGATCGGCGAAAAGCTGCAACTCCTTTTGCGGGAGCAGGCTCGCATGAACCAAAGCTTGCAGTTACTTGCCGTTAAGTCAAAGTCCCATAATGCATTATCACTTGATATAGATGATACCAAACTTTTGCCCCAGGAGTCAGATTGTTCGTCTCTGTCAGCTGCCGATCGGACAATGTCAGATTTCAAAGACTCGGCTCAACATCTCAGATCGTATCTTCAAGACGTATACTATGCGAGCTTGAAAGATCAAACCCACAATCTCTCTGTCAGTCTCGAGGTCGTTAACATTGTACAACAATGGGTTACTACACCAGTGTCTTCCTGCCTCTGGATTGACGGGCCTTTTAACACCGCCACCCCTTCGCAGAACACCCTCATGAGCAGCTCTACCCTCGATACAATCCAGTCCATGAATCTCCCAGTCATTTCCTACTTTTGTCTGAACATCTGGGAATACGAAACGGGCCCACCGAGAGATTCCGAACTAGTGAGAATGGTATACTCGCTGCTTTATCAGCTTCTCCGATATATCCCCGACTCCTTACCACCTCCTGCCGCACTGGACTCGTTCGAATTCTCCTCGCTGGATGGGTCGACAGACTCTCTAGCAACTGCCATCGCGATCCTTGATAATCTACTACTTACTGCACCCCGAACATTATTCTGTCTCATCAATGGCATCCAGCTGCTTGATGATGGTACGATGAGTAAATCAATGGAGCTGTATTTAGAGCAATTTGTCAAACTATTCTGCTCACCTAGAGAGACTCCACCTCTGTCCAAGGTTCTATTCACGACCGATGGCTTCACGCCTCTCTTGAGCTTGCCTACCAGTCTGGATCAGATTGAGAGATGCACATATGATCAGCCCATGGGGCACAAGCGGAAGTCTGATGGTAACTCCAGCCTGATGATTACTTTGCAACAAGCAGTTGAAAGCATCCGATATGTGAGAACCAGACTGGGTCTCGTAGATTACATTAGTCCGTCTTTATCCTTGTTGTTTTTTTGGTTTTTTTTCCATTCCTCACTTCGTGCATGGTGGAATGCCTCATTGTGCCAAGCATTCCATGTTGCCTATCTAGGCCTTTGCATGCCTGAGGCAAGTGCCAAGCATTTCGCCGTCTGCACCTTTTAGATACGTAACGATACGAACACCACGACTTTTCCTACATCAATTCAATCATCAGTATTAATTAAGACATATGTTCATTCATTCCATCCTTTTTGACCACTGCAGTGCATCCAGTCCCTGCAACCCACCTACATCTTCCCCTCGTCAGTACGCACCACAGCACAGTCGACAAGCTAACAAAAGAATATATTTTTCGCGACTCTATAAACGTGTCAATTATAAACAGTAAGCAAAAACACACATGTTGAATTTTACTTCGATGCTATTTCAAAATCAAGCCTCGACTTACAGACTATCAAATGGTTATAATGAACCAAATGTCACAGAATCATAAAGATAGGTGAAGGTGGTTATTGCGTTATTTCGAGTAGTGTAGTTAGTTAGTCCGAACTCCGATGTCAGCCGTGCCAAGCCCCGTGGCATCGGAATAAAACCAGGATCGGAATGCGGGAATGCCGACATATAATCGGGGTTATTCCGCGGCCCCCTCCCGCCCGTCACTCTTTTTTGATTCTCCATCGATCTGTCTGATTTACGCCTCAGTTTTGAGACGTTTGCTTTTGAATCGGTCGGAGTCAGGTATGAAGGCCCACGGAGCTCGAGATGGTTCAGTCCGCAGGAACGGAAAGCCCACATCCTGTGAGCCATGTCGCATCTCTAAGATCCGATGCGATCATGCTCGGCCCACATGTAGTCGGTGCGCTCAGAGGAAGCTTACCTCAAAGGTAGACATGATTAATTATACCCTTCATGGTGATTCCGTAACCTGCTTGGCTGATTCTCCTAGTGCTTTTACCATCCTGCCCCTTTAACGCGACCACGTGGTAGCAAACCCCGTTCAGGGTCAAGACAGACCGAACCCACTCCGTCTAGGTCCAGGGCAGAAAGAAGCCATGACGTACAAGTTCAAAATAGTCCTGCAGTTCTATCTCAACTACACACGCCGGGTGGATCCTCCGGAATAGTAGAGAGTGAGCCCTCCACCGCAGGGCGAGGGAATTACTTGGGCCCGTCCAGTTTCCTGTCCGTGTTTCAAGACGTCAGTCCCAACCTCGAGGTCTCGACATATGCTCGATCCTCCGGCTCGTGGGGTCGCTGGAATAGTGCTTCGAATACTTTCGCGCGACGGCTGGTCCAGCTCCTTCGTCCGTTGGCGATGTATGAAGAAATGATCACCCGGAACTTCGAAGAATGCTTGTTTAACACGATCCCGGAGCCCCTAGCACTGCAACCGCTGAGGTTACTTCGGACTCAAATTGAGAGCGGAAGGTGGTTTGATGATGAAGAGGCTCTAGCCTCTATTATCACTCGCAACACGGCAGAGAAATCGATTGTCATCACCCCTAACATGACGCCGGACGAGTTCTACGCCACTTTCACCGGGGAGAACCTAAGATGGGAGTTTGTCGGAATTATCTTCACTTTGGCAGGACTAGCCACTACAACCGTATGGTATCAGTCTGACTCTTTTCTGAGCGAGACAGAGAAGGATGCTTTCACAGAGGAGATGGCTGCTGCAAGTAACGCGTGCATCGACATTTGCAATCAGCATGACAATGTTAACGATTTGTTGGTATGGTTGTACCATACACATTTCGCGCTGGTGGCCGATGCCATTGAGGAACTGAGTAAATAGTCCTGGAAATGTGTCATAACCCATGGGCTTACGAAATTTAGGTGATTACGTTTTTCGAGTCTTCGGGAATTTGATATCGCACATGTATTCCCTTGGCCTGCATCGACTCCAAGCATCTAATGCAGATATCCCTTTCTTTCTTTCGGAGACACGGAAGCGAGTATTTACTTCGTGCTATCGCACTGACAAGAATATCGCCATGTTTCTCGGGAGACCGCCCCGACTGCCGGATCACTATTGCGATACAGATCTGCCGCTAGATCTCGAAGATGAGAGTCTAGTCTTAGATCCAGTGTCTCTCAAACAGGTCCTCAGCGGGATATCTGCGGACGGCTGGAGTGATGGGCCGTTTTCTCCTAATGGGAACATCCGACCGGCAACCGCAGTACGAGTGAGATATAAGATAGCGAAATTACGAGAACGAGTGGTGGCACTTTTTCTGGGCAAGAAGACTAAGACTTTTGACGACGAGTTACAGTACGATTTCACAACCCCCGTAACATCGGAATAAATCTCTAATAAGCACCTAGGGCAGTTCATCTCGACCTGCAACAAATGTGGGAGAGTATTCCGGTCCAATTTCACTATCACGCCACCGGATTCGGAGACAAGAACCCGGCCAACGCGTCCGTTCGGGTCATCACCTCGATGGAGTATCTGCAGGCAGTCTCGCAGATAGAACGAATTAGATGCCGCCAAACTCAGGACTCTATGCACAACTTACTGAATTCATCGATGCGAATCGTTACTGCCTTGATTGAATTCATTAAAGCCCGCAAGCAGGGTGGAAATATCCAAAAGGGGTACATGGGAGTGGTGAGCTGGCTTAACTTCAAACTTTGCGTACTTATATCTGGGTATTGATTCTTTTTAGTTCCTTCTTTACGGTCTTCCAGCCGCCGGGGTGCTCGCGATCGAGCTTCATCGATGCACCGTTCAGGGGACGCCGCTTCCCTCCTCTATTCCTCGGTCCACCATAATTCGGAATCTGAGCCTGCTTGTATCATGGTTCGAAGACGTGAACAATGTCATTAGCATCACGCAGAAAAATTGCGTGCAGGTCAGCGAGGTAATTACAAGACTTCTTGACGAAACTTTGAACCACCATGCCGGGGCAGGTGCCCAAACGACGGACCAAGTCCAGCACCGATCAGGGATCGAAGGATGCGAGGGACCCCTAAATGATAGTATTACGGCTTTGGGACCCCCAGCCGACAGCCTCCTGTTGCCGGACGAGAACGCCCTCAACGTGAATACATTTGGAACGAGTGTTGAGTTTCTAGATTGGTGGGATGAATTCTGGGTGGATGGTTCCATTCCGGAGGCTGTGTTATAAACCAGGACAACCTAAGGACAACCTCAGGGCGACGTAATGAAATTATGAAAGTTTTAGGATCTATCAAGATAAAAAAAATAACATGTTCTCTATAGATACTACATACTCGTTCCAAGGTCACCGGCAAACAAACATGGGAGTCAAGTCAATATCCATACATGAATTATTAAATAAAATTAAAGCTGGGCCAAATGTGTAGTGAGAGATCGACATCTGGCCCATTAATGAAGGAAATTAGGGATGGTGGTCATCTTGGGAGTCGTTCTGGGAGAAGAGTGGGATACTCGGGCTTGGTGGAGGAAAGGCAGGAAGACCTTAAATGCCCATCGCAGCCACAACGAGCGATCCAGCAACGACACCGATCCACACGTTACCCTGAGCACTGGATGCGGAGTTCGAGAGAGGAATATCCGAGGAAGAGGCGCTGGCAGTCTATTGAAAAAATCAGCAATATGGTCATAGCAATTCAGACAGGAGAATAAACGCACAGCCTGTCCGGTAGGGGTACCCGATCCAGAGACGGGAGTTGACTTAGACCCAGTTGGGATTACCGGATGAGAGGATCCTGGCGCTGAGGCAGTGGTGGTGAAGCTCTGGGTAGCAGACGGAGCGGTGGTGCCTGGTGCGGTGGTTCCTGGAGCGGTGGTGAACTCCTCAGGTTCGACAGAGGTAGTTGCTGCCTCGGTGGAAGCCTCGGTGGGAGCTTCGGTGGCAGTAGCACTGGGCTCAGCGCTAGTGGTAGAAGCAGGTCCCACAGTGGTCGAAGAGCTGTCACCCTCATCATCATCACTCGTGTCCTCGGGAGTGGAATCTAGACCACAGGACTCAGCGGCCTTAGACACTGAGTTGCCGTAGTACTTCCAGATGTCAAACTTATTGGCACATTTCAAGCAGTCAGAGAGCTGAGACTTGAAGGTGCTCGAGTCACAGAAGTCGTCAGACCGGGAGGACGTGATCACGCCACCTTGAAGTTGTTAGTGCTAGTTTTGGATGATGTGGTGAATTGATATTGTACCGCAGTTGGCATGGCATTCATATGCGGGGGTGCCGGGTTCCTGGCGACGGTGAAGAGGGACAAACTCGGGGTAATCAAAGGCACTGGCACTGATAACCAGGCAGATAAAGGCGGCAAGGGTGGGGAAATGCATGATGAATGATAGCAGCGAGTGAACCTGTCAAGGTAATGTAAAGACCGAAATCTGGGACAAGTGGGTAATGAATGACACTGAATGAGAAGGAGGCATCTTGTCAACAGCTCATGAGCTCTTACTTATAGACCTGGGAAAGGGCCTAAATTGCCATTGCATCCTCACGAACGCTTCATTTCCCAGTCTCCGTCCGATTCATCGTACGAGTGCTCGGGATTCCAGCATCCTGTCGGGTCTCATTGCCAATTTGAGTCGGTGTCTCACTCGAATCATGCAGCCTAGACCTGAAGAGGCTTTCCGAGGGCGTTCCGAGGGCATTCTCCACCGCGATCCCTGTCCACTGGGCTGGTCAAGGAGCCAGCGATGTAACGGTCACTCGCTTATGGCAGTCAAAGTGGGTCTCCCGGCCCACAGCCATCTTATCTGATTGATCTAATCTGATCCCCTTGCCAGCCAGTCGATATTAACGGCTCCGTCGGACCCTATGAGAAGTCGAGCTGGCCTGGTCCGAGCGGTTTTCTCCGACTGATAAGTTCATCTATTTGGTCTTGGCGGTGTGCTCGGGCTTGCAATAATGCCACGGACTGAGTTGCTAAAATGTCACTCCACTGGTTGCAGGGAAGCGAGAACATCCGGTTGGTTTGTTTCCTGCACCAGGAGGAAATCTCTGATGGTGGCCCTGATGGTGCCTGTCGCTTCCTGGCTCAGGACTTAGCTCATGTGAAAACGGTGAAAAGTATGACACATTTGTCGCCGAGAGTAGTTCGGGTATTCGCCGCCCTGGCGTGCAACGCCGACTCGACGAAAGCGCAGGGATATAAAGAGGGGTGATCGGGTCCAATATAGGTAAACGAGATACTCTCTTCCATCTATCCCGTTGAAATTTTGTCCTCTTGCCTTTCCGGCTATAATTTGCCCATCATGAAGAGCTCTATCTTGTCCCTTATCGCTCTGTCCGCCACCGCAGCTTGGGCTCATGGAGAAGATGCCGCGAAGGAGATGGGCGCAGTGGCATTCATGTGGCCGCCAGACCGCAAATGGGGAGAGAAGTATGATAACAACGCGCCCTGTGGCTCCAATACCGGACCAGTCAACAGAACAGACTTTCCCTTGAGTAGGTTAGGGATTCCATGCAGCCAGTTCCAGTCTGACAATCAACCATAGTCAACGGAAAGTTAGCTCTTGTTGTCCAAGATGAGTCCTGGAACGTCCAGGTTGCCATCTCTCACAAGAACAGTATGCACCATCCTGCTCCCCTTTACGAGAAAATGGACTAACACCCGGTAGACCCGACCAGCAACGACGATTTTGAAGCGTTCATCGAGAAGTCCGATGTTTCCGATATCAAACCCGGTCACGAATGTTACTCTGTCCCGAATCCTACCATTGATGCCGAAGCAGGGCAAAACGCAACCTTCCAGATCAAGTACACCAGTAATATGGAGACAGACAAGAACGAGACCTACTATGCCTGTGCCGATGTGACCTACGTACCTACCAGCCAGTTCACGTACTCGGTTCCTTGCTTCAACGTGACGTCGGATGAGTTCACCGCTGTAAGTACCACAACAGCGGGAGCGGGATCCACCGCCACGGCTGGGTCCTCGAAGGGGTCCGACGACAAGAGCAAAGCGGAATCGGACTCGGATTCTAGCAGCGGCGGTGGGGGTTCCGGTCTTTCGGGTGGTGCTATTGCGGGTATCGTGGTCGGTGCAGTGGCAGGTGTGGCCATTGGCATTGCGTTGCTGTTCGGATACCGGAGACTCTTGCAGAAGTACCGCTCAGCGAGGAACCAGGCTTCTGTCAGGAATGTGGACTGGGCGGAGAGTGCCAAGGGAGAAGTTGATCATACTCCCTTGGGATTGCGGAAGATTAGGTGATTGTGCTCTGCGATCATGGTCCTGTGATATTGTCCTAGTAGAGTCGATGATATGAATATGGTAGGTTTTGGGTAAGAAGCCGGACAGCTGGTGGATGTGGTATGATTATGTGATGTATGCTTCATGTTTATGTTAATGTCTTTTATTCCGAAAAATCAATGCCTCTCCTATGTCAATAACTCTGCAAGCTGTGAATTTTGATATACTTTGCCGAATGGCAAGTTTTCATAGCCTTCCATAAAGCAACATACTCATCTCCTACCATCCGGCATCATCACACACGTCAAAATACAGAAATAAAAGTTTAGTTCAGGCAATAGCGAGACTATTCTCAACCTCACTCTTCTATAAGGAACGAAATAGAGATTCAATGATAAACTAAGCTACTATTATATAAGAATTTCGTAGCCAGAGTGCCATGTACAGGAAACAGCATTCGCCGCTTCCTTTCATTTCGAAGCCCGATTCCCACCACAGACTCGCCTCCAGACAGTGCTCAATAAAGCACATGGAGGTCCACAACACACGAACTGTTCACTCTCCAGGTAGCAACACATCCCCCCACCCCCTGCCATCACCAACGCCACTCTCACTGCCATTCTCCCGGATCCCCTCCCACTCGGTCATATTCACCCACCCAATCAACGCCCTATCGCCAAACCCCCCCACCCAGAACACCTGGCGAACGACCAACCTGGCCCAGAATCCTGCATGCGCCGCGCCCTCCCGACCGGGCAGCCAAGCCCTCGCGTCCGGATGAGCGTTCAGAAAACACCGTTCCAGACCCACTCTCGTCTCGGGGTCCGCGGTTGGGTACGGTTCCAGGTACCCCATCAGCACGGCGCGCGGTAGCGCCATGCGACTGTTCGATAGGTCTCGGAGAGTGATATCCGTGCCAGAAGCGATGTGGTCCCACCAGTCGACGGAGAGGGAGACGTTGGACCCGAAGGCAGCGTTTTTGAAAGTAGTGCCGAGGTGGAGGCCTAGGATGGTTGGGTTACCATCCGGGTGGCACGAGGCAAAGTATTCCGGCAGGCTGATAGGGAGCCCCGAAACCATTTCTGGCGGATTGTAGTGGTGGACTGGGTCAGGGATGATGGATGCTGGGAAAGTGGTGGAGATACGGCCGACGGTGGACTTGTGCAGGAGACGCCGTGCTAGAATGGTGGATGTGTACCAGGTCGGGAGAGTGTGACGCCCCCAGGAGGGTTTCGGGGTCTGGCTTTCAGTGTTCAGGACTTTCTGGGTGTTGTCCTGTGCTAGAAAACTATTCGATCCCAGTGATTGCAGGAAGGAAAGTGGCGTTAATCCTAGTGCCAGAGGGCTGACAAGGAGCAGGATGGCTGGCAGTAATTGCATGTTAGGAAGTGGGGATCAGCAAAAATCCAGATAACTTCCAATGGTCTTTTTGTGACCCGAACGAAAGGTGGGTGTGGAATGATGAAGTCTTTATACTTCGATGGCAGTTCAAGTGGATCACGGCGAGTCGAGTCGCTTTTCACGGCACCGACTAGTATGCCCACCGTACCATTCGCGGCCACCAGCACCCAGGACGATGGGCCTCGGAAGGAAGAGGTCCGGGACTGGCCATTAGAGCATGCTCCGATCACTGCACCACTTGAAGTAGGCCCATATTTGGGTCTGTGGAGGGAAAGATGAAGATGTGAAATCTTTCAGCAAGGCATCAATATTCTGCCTTCGGTCATTCAAAAACGACCGAGAGAACCTATTACTGAGAATTCAGAGCTATCAAATTCTCGGAGTCAGGCTTGTCTGCTCTTTTCCCCTTTGCTGCGCCTGTAGTGGCGGCTTTACGCGACCTCCAACATCCCGGCACGAGTCCTGCGCATGTATAGGTGGTGACCGCTAGCATTTCCATGACCACGGCCATGCCGATAAACATGAGCAGACAGCCCTTGAACCAGTGGAGCGCCATATTGTCGAGGGACACGCACAGCGCCGAGTAAACGACGCGCACGAGCAGGAAGGGCAGAGAAGCCACGGCCGCCATCAACAGTCGCTTCTCCGCTGACGGGACACATTGAGTGTAGAAGCACAAAGACACCGTGCAGACCGCCAGGGAAAAGAATGCGATCAGATCGAGGATTACGCTCGCGACGAGAGCAGACGGAACCTTGGTGGTCGTGAATCCCGCAAAGTCGGAATCAGGCACCGACGTCGCTCCAACGATCCCCAGGATGAATGCCCCGACGAGAAGAAGGGCTTGAATGTGCATGACGAATGATCGGACAATCGTCTGGCGTTTCTTGTGCACACTGTTTCGAACCACCAGGATGAGACCCAGCAATGTGCCCAAGAGGAGAGGAAGCCCAGCATGCGTCAGGGTCGCAGCGCCCCGGTACAGAGAGAAATTCAGCGGCGCCGCGAGGGTCCCCAGTTCCATTGCGGCCCCAAGAATCCGCACGATCGCAAAAGCGACTAATGCGGGCCAGCACGGTTGTTTGCGCCATCTGCGAAGAGAGTCTGGTCAGAAGTGGCTTTCCAGTAGTGGAAGTTGAACAGAGAAGAGGCCTACCCATGTCGGACGGTCAGCGCGACCGCGAGGGATAACGCGACCGTATAACAGACCACTTCGGCAGTCGCGATCGTGTTCTCGTAGGATAGTGTCATTGTACCGGCTGAAGTCCTGTTTCAATTGGATTTTATTTTATTTAATTTTTTTCATGCCGTCTATGGCGACCGTCGCTCTGTATTTTAAAGGGCCATGGATTTGGGTTGCCTTCGAAAAGACGCGCAGGCATCAACAATCCGAGGATCCGCATTACGTATGCCTCCTGCGTGAGCCACCCGGGGGGATCTAAGAAAGAATTAAAGGGAAAAAAAATTAAAATTAAAAAATAAAATAAATCATGGGAACGATATATAGAGAAACAAAGAGAAACGGCATCTAGAAGGAATGTTGGTCCGAGTCAATCCAAGTCGACATCCCCGCGCCGTGGAGACTCTTGGCTAGAACATTCCTCTTTTCATATACAAACATACCTACAGGTATTCAACCAGATGAAAACACGCTCTGCTCGCTGCCCGTCGAATGCCGACAGACAATCCTCGGCCATCTGCCCGATCTGCAGGCACTCCAGGCCAGCATTCTGGCCCATCGGTCCCTGCACGCGGCCTACTTTTCCCACCAGACATCCATCCTCCGGCGTATCGTGCTGCAGCTCATTTCCCCCGAGCTTCTACCGGACGCCGTATTGGTGCTAACCTCGTCGCGATTTAACGTCGAGCCCTGGACCAGGGCCAAGGTGTTTTCGATTCTTAAGGAGCATCGCCGGGCACTACGAGGCATCCCGTCGCCCTTCCGTTGGACGTTTCGCACCGCTAGCCAGTTGCAAACTCTCCATGATCATATTAAATTTATGGCGAAGGTCTTTGTCAATGCAGCATCTGCAGAATGCCTCAGTCTAAGCCTGGCTGATCAGCCCCCATCGAGACTCGAATGGTTCCGGGTCGCCCGCAGCTTTTATCGCTTTGAGATATACCGAAATCTGTTTCGAGGGAGATATACGCCAGCAGATTTCAAATATGTGGAAATTTGGAATGCTTACTACAAACGATTTGCTGCCTGGGAACTTGAACAGATTGCCACTGTCGGGAATATTTATTCAGGGTCATCGCAATTCATGAATTCCCAATTACCACTGGAGCTCTCATTTAGTATCACTGACCGGTGCATAGCATTCAACGACATTGCCGAACATGACATACAGTGGGCATTTCGGGGTATCGCCTATCCATTATTCGAAGACTGGGACTACGAATGGGCCTCCCATATAGCAAACATTGTCAGTCTTTTCTTTCCTTTACAAGATAATCCAATCGACACACTAACAGCGAAGCTATAAGCTCGCGCAAGGGGTCGCTTTCCTCCATAAAGTGATGATAGCAGAGACATACAAGGAGCGTTATCGTAAAAATAATTTCAAAAAATAAAAATAAAAAGTCAACAAACGACGTCCGTGATCGAAATATTCCAAAACAGAGTGGTTCTGCTCTTCTGTTTGCACGAGGCGCAGGGCCAGAGGGCCAGGGGGGACTCCACCACCCGTAAGAGGGTCTCGGCGCTACCGGCCAACTCTTCGAATCAATCTGGTCAACCTCAAACTTCTGTATACTGTAGAGGCACGATCCATATGAGTGTTTCTGGGGATATTGCGCAGGTAGATATGCTCATGAAGCGTCGATGCCTTCCATGGCTCCCAGAGCCAGGCAAAGGAAGAACGTCGGCGGACAAAACGCGTCAGTTGAGCGTGAGCGTTCAAAGGAACGATGTAACATACATATACTGCATCATATGATACATCATGGGGTATGGTATAGATGTAAAGTGCGTGTAGCCGGACGATGGAAGCGACGGGGGCGAGAGAACCGGTGAGGAAGATTGCGACGAGAGCCCCTGTTGAGTTCTTAGCACTACATTCACATCCATGGATTCACTCATTCGAAGGCGAAAGGATTGAACACCCACATTTTCTTCTTAGCCGCAGATTCAATCGCATCAGCAGCGGGAACGGCATCACCAAGATCGTCAGATCTGTCAGGATGTTGATGCCCGTGGTGGGAAAGTAAATTCCCGATAGGTCATTACACCCTTTGGGGAACGCCACATCCCATGCGCGCCAGGGTTTAATATGACATTCAAAAGCCTGTATCATTAGTTCCTTGTTGCCCCTTTGAAGATATCCTGAGAGCTCACATTGACAAAGACCACGATGATAGTGTAGATCAACACGAAGGCTCCGATGCCTACCACCACGTGCCGGAACTTGGGTTTGACGAAGATGCGATGATACTAGGCCAAGATGCTGGATTTTACCAGGCCAATGGCCACAGGGTAGACGATCTAGAAGGCGTATCTGCCCAACAAGTCATAGTGTTGCCCTGGATGCAGCCGGCCCGTCGGTGTTTTCGCTCTCTCCGAGCTCATAAGTCGTCCGATCTCCCCTGTCCAGGGTCTGATTTGAGTTTGAATTTGTTCCACGTACGTGCACAATGCGTTTAATCAAGCTTCTCCTCTGCTTGGCCACCTTGGGGTTGTTCTGAACCATCGAAACCGCGGACCGGTTTCTGCAGGTGGCAATCTTATCGCGCCAAAACAGCAGGAGGAGGGGCCGGGGTCTCCGTACTGCGTCGTGCGTTGTTACGGTTGCTAGCAGTAGGCTGGGTTCTAGACGGTTATCGGCCGGTCCTTGTTGGTGTCGACGCTATTCGGGTGCGTAGCCGTAGTCGCAGTTCCGGTTTTATTGACCTCTGGAGTGAAGATAGCACTAGGTAACGGCGAGGGGACTATACTGGTCAGTTCAATCAACCTCAAACTTGGAGATAGAAGAGCCATACAATCGGCTCGAGCCTTACGGGCCATATACACGTGCTGCTCCACGGTCTTCGCTTGGAACGGTTTCAACGGCACCGGTAAATGCTGTTGATGGCTAGTAGCCCTCGTTAGCCAACCGTAATTAAGGAATGAGATCTACGGCGTCTTAGGAACTCTCCTGCGCTTGATTCGGAGTCGAAGCCAGCAACAGAATAGCACTGACAACGCGGAGAAAGCAGTATCCTATGGATTCTGCCTTGCTCAGGCCCGGTATGCAGGTCTTTACCCCCTCCTTCAAGCAGCAACCGTACGGGAAGCGATAGTTGTGAATGTCTCCGTATGAGCCATGCAGGGTAACTAAACGGTAGATAGTGAATAGCCAGTGAATATCGATTGGTAATACTAGGTACTTGTGATGCTATAGATGACTATGATGATGAGATGAATAGCAAGTGGCTCATTCCCGAGATCTATTAGAACCTTACTACGAAGACTCAGGCACGCCATCTCCCACCTGTCCGCCGGTCGGATACTTTCCGAAGCAGGCGTACTGGTACTGAGCATTCTTCTTCAACTGGTCGACACTCCCCAAGAACCCATCCAGAGGGCAGAATCCATTCTTGGCGTCCTTGCAGCCAACAAGACCATCCGTCGGCAACGGAGCATCGTTCAGCACAAACCGAATGTGTTGCTTTGTATTCTTCTTCTCCAGTCTTGGGTTGACGTAGAGGATAGGATCGAGCGACTGGAAGGAAGTGTTGCTCGGGCAGGTCCAGATCTCCGACATGAAGCGCGCTCCGAACGGCGTCAGGTCACTCAGCGTGAAGTTTCGTTTCGCGGTCGCGTGCTCCACGTCATTTGGCAGCCCCTTCGGGCCGTGATTGAAATGGTCCAGGCCGAGAGCCGTGATGACGGAGAGAAGGATGTCGTCATGGGACATGTCCATATAGAATGGCTGGTTTAATGGGAACGACTTTTCGTTATTGTCGTAGGTGTAGTTGATGCTGGTGTCACTGGAATGGATCAGCTTGCCCTCCAGTCGGGCCGCCAGCTCCAGGACATAACCGATCCCCTGGGCGCGACCGGTAGGAGACCCAAAGGCAAAGTTTCCGTAGTACTGAATGTCCACGTTGTAGGCGAAGTCCTTCCATTCCTGTTCGGTGAACAGGGAACAGAACGAAGAGCCGCCCAGGCTGGTATGTTCGTAGACGCACAGGTTTTGCATCGCCAGCACGTCAGCAGAGGTCAGATTGAAGTCGGACGGGAAATAGCTCGACAGTCGACTGATAGCGTTTTTGGTGTATTTTTGGATGAACACCTCAGCAGCCCGGTCCCTGATACCGTTAGTAGGGTCCCATCAGAACATAAGGGGATGACACTCACCCAGCGGTCTGGTCACCAGGGCAGGAGTCATAGGATGCCAGAGTGTTGTTGAAGAAGCCGTTGCCCTCGGGGATCACAACGAGATCATAGTGATCCTCCGAGTTATGCGCGCTGCTGTTGCCGAAGAATCCACCTAAACAAAGAGATTAGCATCACAATCTTGTGCGTCTCTTCGATGAACGTACTAAGCCACCACTTGGCACTCTCGAAAATGCGTCCCTGAGATGTGGTCCGAAAGACTGGCTTCGGGCGAGACGTTCCGTTCTCGTAGACGTTCAGCGACTCATTCCACGCGGCCACCGTATCCCGGTCGGCGCGGTACAGGAGTCGACCATACTTGACCCAGAAGTTGGCGCCCGAAGTATCCTCGGTCGCGGCACCGTTCTCCATGAGGGTGTCTTCGCCCACAACGTATTCCCAGTTGTTCAGGAATTTGAGCGGTCCGCTGGCCACGTCCTTGGAGGAATGCTTCTTGGTGTAGTTGACCAATTTTGAGGCGAAATCACTCATGCCCTTGCCGTCCAGCGGGTTGCTGGTCGGGAAGCGCTCCGCATGACGGTGCAAGACATGGACTTGCGACAGCTCGCACCCCTGCGGTACACCCTTGGACACGCCGAAGCTCTCCGCGTTTTTATAAGGGGATAGATTGGCCCAGCTCTTGGTCATGTCGAACCCAGAAGCGAAGCTTGTGCCCGTCGGAGCTGCTGCTGCGGACGTGGACGAGCCCTGAGGGGCCGCCATTCCCACGCCGGCCAGAGCCAGGCACACAACGAAGTTCTTCATGATGGAGGTGTATACGTAGAGAGAAAGTTTGGGAAGACCGTGGCAAGACGTCGTTTATATGTCAGGGTTTGACCAGGTTTGGCGACATGACGTTGAACGGGGACGCGCGCCGATCAGGACCGGATTCAAATATCCCGCATTTCCATTAATCACCCCTTGACTAATGAATTCAGGATAGTTAGGACCGATTGCGCTGAACAGTGGCTAGTACTTTCTTCGGTCCAGTGAGAGCCGTTTGGTTGTGATTTCAATATGCGCGGCGAATTCAAGCTGTTGCGCTAAGATTGCCAACCTCGTCGCGGTTCATGTTGACAAGCTACACACTGAAGCAAGGGAATGTTGACATCCTGACACCCTTGCTGCAACGGATCGCCGGCAATCAATCAACTCAGCTGTTGGCACTAAGCCCTAGAGGCTGCAATTCCCCGAGGACAACCGCCGACTCCACGGGGAAGACCAGGGAACGATGTCACTCAAGTCAGATAATACTGCGTAATGGAGATCAAAGAACAATCCTGCTTTGTCGTTTCCACAACATCCCGCATGTGAAGGGCACAGAGTTTGCCTAACAGATTAGCGAAGAATTAGCGGGTGGGATATCGAGGCATTGGGCCAACGAGAGAGGATCGGACCAACGCTAAAAAAAGGACGCAGTTACATTGGAACTGGGGCGACACTAACGCATCCTTCGGGAAAAAGCAAACAAACCAGTGCGGCATCATGTGTCGACGTTGGTTGCGGCCGGCTTTAAAAGTCGTCCACTGAGGCCATGGCCAAATGAGATCCGGCAGGGAACAGAAGTATTGACAGTCCAAAACATTAGATTATGTACAGAACGCGATGCGATGCAACCGATCGCATCATCCTCAACCTGCCGCCAGGATTTCCCCCAAATCAGATTGCTCACTAGTAGCTCGAGGGCACCAGAGAGTTTGCCCACACTTCCAGGTTGGTATACCCACTGCTGTGCAACTCCATCGAATCCGCCTGGTTAGGATCCGTGCCCAGCTTCTCCTCGGCCTCGTCGGGAATGCCATCGCCATCGGTGTCCTTCGGCGACGAGCCTCCGTCGAGCTCCCCAGCGCCACCCATAGTTGCTTCGTCCGAGATCAGCTCACCCTTGTTGCCGTAGGACTTGACCTGTGCGATCAATTGCGTGTCGACATCATCGCGGACTTTGGAGGCACCGCCGGCTATTGTACGTTAGTCGCGTTCATCGCTAAAAACGCAGTGGAGACACGTTACATTTAAGGATATAAGCAACGGCCTCGTCGGGGGTGAGTTGCTTGGCCACAGCAGGGTAATCATATCTGGTCGACACAAGATCCATTCCTCCGTAATTAGATGAGGACTCGCCCAGCTTATTCCCATTCAAGTTGCCATCCTTGTCGGGGTCATAGAAGTTGTTCTCGACGTAACTGTGGAAGTTCTCGTTGCCGCGGGTGAAAGCCGTCACGCTCGTAGAAGGACCGCTGATGAAGTAGTTGCCGACGACGTTCACACCTAGCGCCCATGGAAGTTAGAGATGTCCGTAGCTCTCTGGGTGAAAAAGACGACTTACGAGATTCGGCACTAGAACCGCCGGCAATGTAGCCTCCACCGCCACCCCAGTTGTAGACGACGTTGTTCGTGAAATCGTTGACTCCCTTCACCTTGGGGTTGCGCGTCTTGTTGTCAATGTACAGATTGCGGAAAATGGAGAGTCCTCCATCAGTCTGCAGCAGTCCTCCGCATGAATGGGTCTGCAGCCCCTGCGCGATGATGCTGTTCTGCAGGGTGACGTTCTGGGCGGTACCACTGATCGAGAAGGTCTCGTCGCGACCCCAGGAGACCGACAAGTGGTCGAAAATCATGCGCTTGCCCTCGGCGATGGTGATGGCGTCCTTTCCAGAATCTCCGCCTTTGCCCATGCGACTGCCTTCCCGTTAGCTCCAGGGACAACTCGACGCGACCGAGCCAAACTTACACGCGGATATATCGCACGATGGCATCGTCCGCGTTCGAGAACGACCAGCCATTCCCATATACCGTAATGCCGTCACCCGGGGCCGTCTGGCCCAGGATGCTCACTCGCTTGGACACCACAATGCGGTCATCGATCTCAATCACGCCGCCGACCGAGAAGACGACGATGCGGTCCGTCTTCGAGACGGCATCACGCAGCGACCCTTCGCCAGAGTCGTTGAGATTGGACACCACGTAAACTTCGCCCTTTCGGCCGCCGACCGCGTTGGCGCCAAAGCCCTCTGCGCCGGGGAAGGCGATCAGGCCGCACACAGGCTGCAGCAGAGCAAGGAGGCCGAGGAGCAGCATCATTGTTTCGCAGGCTAACTGGCAAATGCCTACCACGACGCCATCACCCGTCGCAAGTACTTCAGGGGATTCTTATACGGACCGCCATGTTCGCAAGCCAAGACGGATGGTGATTGCTGCAGAAATGCTGGTTCCGAGTAGATTAAAAGCCACTGTCGATCGCGTCGCAGGCGCATCTCCACCTATCAGACAATTTCCACAACTGGCGGACACCTGCGTTTCGCGACGCCGGAGGATTGCCTAACTTAGCCGGCATGCATCCAACGCTTGTCGCAGCTGTCTCACTTGGTCCTCTCGCACTTCGTCCTCGGATGGCAGCAGAGCGGCGGAATGAAATGCCGGCGCTTGCGTCCTCTCCCACAGCGAAGTCACATTGGACGGTCGCACTCCCCCGCCCACAATTATGTTCAGCCCATGCCTCCTTGCCCCGGGGACCAATCGCTCCCCCAGGGGTGTCAGGCAGTCGGTGGCATTTCGTCCGGAGGGTCCTCCGCTTGTCAGGATAGAAGCGAACCCACACTTGGCAATATCCGTCAAGGCCCTTTCCCAGTCAGACTCGGGGATCAACTCAAACGCGCGATGGAAAGTGCACGGTCGGCCCTCTGCTCGCGCCACGAGCGCCTGGTTTCTCTCGACGTCGATGGCGACCGGATCTGAATCCAGTAACATGCCGAACACAAACCCGTCGATGCCCGCCCGTTTTAAATCTTCCATGCTGGATTCCATCGCGGCGTAGTCGGTCGCATCGTAGCAGAAGGTGCGTGCGTGCGGTCGGATCATGGCGTAAACGGGGATCGAGAGCTGGGATTTCACGGTCGCAACGGCGTCTAAGGAAGGGGTGAGGCCGCCCGAAGCGTAATCATGGCATAGTCTGTGACGAAGCAACATCAGTGAGATCCTAGGTCGATGGTTGTGGATTGTTCGAGTCGGGGATTGAACTCACTCGATACGGTCGGCGCCTCCATGGGCTGCCGTGATAGCTGATTGGGGAGTGAAGCAGGCGATTTCGAGGATAGTCATGCTATCGTGGGATCAGAATCATCAGATTGAGTTTTGCGCGGGGAATTAATCTGCCGATGCTGGGGGTCGATGTGGTGGCAGAAGAAGAGTGCAGGAAGGGAAATATATTTTGGTGGACGGTCGCTCTTGAAAGTATGAACGGTCGGCCGGTCGGCCGGTCGGGAGTCTCAGAATCGCCATTGCAAAACTCCTACATCTCCAGTTTCTCTACATTTCATCTCGAGAGACAGAATTATGACCAATTAACGAGAACACTGATACATCAGTTAACACTACTCCGTACATCAGATACAGATGAGGAGTGAACATGAGGCTGTCCGATAACCCGCGTCACGACGCGTCAACCATCAACATACACAATCAACATATGGAGTTGGGTCGAAACCAATATCAAATAAAAGAAGGATGAGGAGTAATGGAATCATATTATTGTCCATTCTGTTCTGATGATCTTGGTCTTGTTTGTTGCAATTTACAATGGCAGTATAGGGGGACTCCTAGAATAACAACAAATGACCACGGATGACGCTCCTTGTTACGCCTCCAAACGTACTACCACAACGCCTCAAATGCAGATATACAGGGATGAAAAGGATCACCGGAGCGAGGAAACCAGGATGGACTACCCGGAAGTCTCCAACAGCCACGCCGTGCGCAGTCGGGCTTCGACGCTCTCGGTCGGAAATGCATGCTCGCGACGCATCACCCCCAACACGTCCAGGAGGGCCGTCTGTTCCCACGCGTCGTCAAAGTACTCGCCACAAGTGATGATGCCCATCAGGGCCTCGAAAAAGGTCGACGGCGAGTGACGGTTACTCAAGGCCACGCCGCATAGCCGACGCACGATAACTCGGACCGACTGCATCGTCTCCCGCCGTCGCGCCGCCGATCCGGGGCCCAGCGGCGGTCGCGTGGGATCGCAAACCAGCAGCAGCAAGCGAGCGAGGTCACCATGGTTGGTGCCCGTGACGTGACAGCGGTCCAGATGCCAGATTTCCGGGAAAATCTGGTCGGCACGAGCGTCGGCGTCGCGGCAGTAGAGCGCGTCGAAGGAAGGCGGCCGCGACGCATGCAGCTCCTCCTGGTACGTCACCAGCGCCTTCCAGCGTTGAGCGGAGGCGTCGCGACCGCCGTAGCAGTATTCCAGCACGTCGGCACAGAAGATGATCATGCGATTGGCCCAGACGGCGTCGGAGGCGGGCGACAGCGACCGGACGTCATGGCAGTGCGCCAAGGGGAAGTTGACAGCGCGTTGTTTCATGAAGGAACTCAACACCTCCTGGCGCAGAGCCACCCAGAAGGCCGCCTGACGTAGACCGTCGGCCGGGGAGGACCAGCGCGACTCGACACAGTGCACCTGGGCCGAGATAAAGACATTGAGCATGCGCAGGAACACCTCCTGGTCCTCGGCCTCCTCCCGCAAGGGAGCGTCCATCTCCTCGTCGGTGCGCAGGATGATGGCGGCGGCCAGCAGATTCTCGTTGTGGACCTGGTCCGGATCCATGCTCAAGGCCAGCAGGTCGCGTATGCAGGTCGTGTGGTAGTCCAGGGCCGACTCCTCCGTCAGCTCCGGCAACCGATGCCCCTGCCACTCGACCTCGCCGGAGCTATTCCGATGCCTCGGCAATCGAACCAGATGCCGCGCGGAGGTTGTCAGGATGGCCATGCGCAACGGCGTCGACGAACGGGCGCGATGCGGCACGACCCGAGCAAAGTGGCTCTGGGGATCGCAGAGGTCGAATCGGGCCGCCAGCTCGTCGACATAATACCGCAGCAGAATGGCCGCCTGCCGTTCGGGATCCGACACCAGATGACGAATGTGCGGGCGCAACGGAGTGGGAGCAACAGCAGCAGCAGCAGGCAGCGAGGGCGATGAAGCCGACACCGGGCGGGACGGCTCTATCACGGCCGCATCATCGCCCGAGTCGATCGCCGCCTCATCCTCCCACCAGCTGTTGGCAATGACGTCGGCCGTCTCGTCGACAAAGCGCCAACGTCGCGGACGAGAGACTATCCATACTTGATCCGGCTCGAAGCGACTGGAAACCGGGCGAAACTGAACGCGGGGGGATCGTAAACAGGGTAATCGGAGCGATTGGCAACGCTCGCACGGCACGGAAGCATTGCATTTCAAATGCCGGGCTGTGCACAAGGTTAACGAGGATCGGAGGGGGAGTTCAACACGATGCAAACCACTTATCTGCAGGATAAACATGGGGGAAGCCGGGGCATGACCACGGACAGTCGCCGAAAATTGCGCCTTTGGGAAAACTGGCAGGCGAGATCGGCGGGGAGAAGCAAATGGCGTCCTCTACCCGGAATTCAATGCGGGCCAAATCGCTTTATACCTCACGATGGAGTCTTTCCCCGCGTCTCCACTTCGTCTGGGCGCCAATCATCCGGGACTGGGGATGACGATGTCAGCCAGATTCCAAGGAGGGGGTGATAGAGGGCATCATGGAAAAAAATACAGAGATAAATACCCTGGCGATGGCACAGGGTTAGCGGTCCTCGAACGATTGACATCCATCACTCTCACCATCATGGCTAAACCAGACGCTTCCGCCGATCACATCGAACAGGTCCCAGACCAACCTGCTAAGCAACTCGCCAGTGACCAGGAAGAGATCAATGCCTTGCCCGTCAGTCTGTTCGTCTATGTAGTGGCAGCCACGGCCTCAATTGCGGGTTTGCTGTTCGGATATGACACCGGAATCATCTCGGCGGTGTTGGTCTACATCAACGATGACCTCAACAATCGCGCCCTGACGCACAGCGAGAAGGAGATGATTACCTCGCTTTGCTCCGGTGGTGCCTTCTTTGGCGCCATTGCTGCGGGCTTATTAGCAGACAAGGTATGTTCAATCGCATGGTCGACGCCTCCAACCGACTCCCTGTTGACCCCCAGTGCAGTTTGGCCGTAAGACATGTATCTATGTCGGATGCTCGCTATTCACCGTCGGAGCCGTGCTGCAAGGCGCTGCATACACCATCGCCCAGATGACTGTCGGTCGGTTTGTTGTCGGCTTGGGAGTGGGATCGGCTGCCATGGTAGTGCCCCTGTATGTGGCCGAACTGGCACCGGCCAAAGCACGCGGTCGGTTGATCGGCCTGAACAACATCTCCATCACGCTGGGCCAGGTCATCGCGTATGCCTTGGGAGCAGCCTTTGCCTCGGTCCCCAACGGCTGGCGCTACATGGTCGGACTTGGCGGTCTGCCGTCTGTGATGCTGGCCTGTATGCTGCCGTGGTGCCCGGAATCGCCACGTCATCTCATCTACCAAGGGCGCCACGGCGAGGCACGCCTGGTTCTCTACCGCATCTACAGCCAGGCCTCCGAAGCGCAAATCGATTTTCTGGCCGACTCCATCGCATCGGCCTGTGATGATGCCCGTCGTAACAACGAGAACGAAAGCCGCTGGAACAAGATCAAGCAACTGCACACCGTGCCGGCCAATATGCGCGCGTTGTTCAGCGCCTGCGGTCTCATGGTGATCTCTCAAATGTCCGGATTCAACACCCTCATGTACTACTCCTCGACGTTGTTTGCCATGGTCGGGTTCACGAACCCCACGGCCGTGGGACTGGTTGTGGCCGCTCCCAACCTGGTCATGACCTTCGTCAACATGTTTCTGGTGGATCGACTGGGTCGACGGCGTCTTCTGCTGTGTACAACCTGGGGCATGTCTGCCGGCTTGATCGCCGTAGCCGTGGCCTTTCGATTCCTGCCCGTTGACACGGAAACGCTCGAGGTGCCCAGGAGCTCGTCTGCATCGGGTCCGGCCATCGTGGTTCTGGTCTTTGTCCTCTGGTTTGTCATCTTCTACGGCGTGTCGGTCGGCAATACCGCCTGGATGAGTGCCGACTTCTTTCCTCTGGAGGTTCGTGCCATGGGCACAATGTGGCTGACCTGCTCGAACTGGGCGAGCAACGTGATTGTGTCCAGTACTTTCCTCTCGATGATGCATAGCATGACGCCCTCGGGAACCTTTGGCTTCTATGCTGGCATTTGCGGCCTAGGATATATGTGGATCTATTTCTTCTACCCCGAGGTCTCCGGATTGCCGCTGGAGGAGATCCGCCAGGTATTCGAGAACGGATACGGCTCCAAGATGAACAGGAAGAAACGAAGCGCACAGAACTGATCTGGATATCTGGATGCACTTGATGTGTATATTAGTCCGATGCAATTTTTTTTTGATGACTGCATGAAGCGAATGTGTAACATTGTGGGCGTTGGGACTGCATCGGATTTGTGTGATATGATCTCTGTATAGGACTGAAATTAGATTCCGATAGAGATAGCAAATTCTATTGATTTCTTTGACATTCTCGCCCACCTTGCAGAATTGGATGATAGACAGCAGCGACTGAGAGGAGGACGAATTCCGGAAGTGCGTGTCGAGTGTCAAAGAGGTGGGCACGTACGTGTCCCTTTCCCCCTTTCCTTCTTCTCTTCGTTTCTTCTTCCTGTCACTATCACTTCCGCAGGCACCTTCCCTGACAAATTCCTCTAATGTCGAAGCCCAACCTCTGACCATTGTTCGAGTCGGTTTCTGTCAGAGTGTCACCTCGTGGACAAATGCTGTGATTCGTCCTGGGTTGCTAGGCCGCACAGATCATTGCAAACAGCAAAGAACGCAAGTCGACAATTCGGGTGTCTATAACTCGCAGTTAAGCCCTTTCTTCAATACGCAGTGACAATAAAGCACGCTCGAATGGTGTGCGTTTCCCTTCCCCTTCGAATGGAAACAGAGCTGACCATGATAATCCAGGACCCATAACGCTGGAATGATTAACGGGCTTTAGAGACGATTCTTTCTTGCCCCATCCCTTAGCGCTCTCTACATAGCATCTCCGATCTGGTCTCCCTCGTGGCGACCTACCTACTGCATCCCGTTTCTCGCATGGCGATCGGCGATCCATGGAATGATCCACCGGAACAACCAGTGGGTGGAGTGCTCACACCTCATTTAATCCACTCTAGAGGGATATATTGATATGGCCGTTACGATAGCGGTTTTGTGATCAATGCGAATTCTATTCTCGCAGCCAAGCTCGCGAGTATGGGGTGCTGGTGATAGAGATACATCCCAAAGGAACATTGTTCAAGAGACCCGGGCAAGACGCGCAGAGCAGAGGCCGGACAATGAGGTTCAGCCAACGGTCGCAAATTTGAAGAACATTGAATGCAATGTCCAGGTCGCTGGATAATATTTCGCCTGCGTCGAACTACTCGTCTTTTGTCTCGTGAAAGAAACATGGGGTTATTCCTAACAGGGCCTGGCAACACCCAGGCCGTGGAGCAAGCGGCATATTGACCCCAACCATGCAGAATTTTAGCCCCAATAACTTGGCTTTATCTTTTGGACCAAGACCTCGCTTAGGTTCTAGTTGCAGTAGTACCTAACGTGTCTCAACTAAATCATATGGACCGGTAAGTTGATCGGTGGCCGGTGGGCAAGCGCTGCGGGTATACGGCCGATTGATATTGAACCATAGACCTGCATTTACCCAAGCTCACACACAAAGTTGAACCCCAACGTGTTTCTAGCTGCCCGAGGAAGTGCGAAAACTCGGAGATTAGACGCATTCAGCGCAAGTCATCCCACATCGCTCTCACGGCCTACGAGTGGAGACCGCATCATCTCGCCGATTGCATCATCAGCGCTATGTTGTCGCGACTCACCACGGCAGCTCTCCGACAAGCTCGTCATCCTGCCACAATTATCTCTGATGGATTTCATTGGAACGTCCAATGTCTTGACATGTGGGGATTGCGTGCGTTATCGACACGCCGTAAATTTATTTTCATCGAGCCTGCTTGCCCAGCAGGCATATTTAAAGGAAACAACATGTCAATTGAGAAAGTATTCTGCCCTGAAAGAACTCCCCGCACTTCATGAAGAGCAACAATATGGCCGTGAGCAAGCCTGTAGTGTCTGACATATCGGAGAAAGACGCTGCCATTGCTGACGTGAATGATGCGGTTTCTGGTGACCATGATCTGGGTGTTGTGAAGGACTGGTCCGATGCTGAAGAAGCTTCAGTGCGAAGACGGTATGAATAGCCATGATTCGTCCTGCGTCACCGGTAGCTGATATCTTTCGTAGAACCGACCTGATCCTCATCCCCATCCTGGGTTTGGCGTTCTTCGCCCTCCAGATCGATCGCGGAAATATCGCGAGCGCATTGACATCGACCATTACCGAAGACTTGAACATAACGACCAACCAGATCAATGTCGGCACGCAATTGCTATCGGCAGGAATCGTGGTGTCGGAGATCCCTTCCAATGTCTTACTACAGATCGTCGGTCCGCAACGCTGGCTATCGGCCCAGCTGTTTGCGTGGGGCTTCGTAGCCACCTTTCAGGCGTTCGTCACAACCTATCCTGCCTACCTTGTTACACGTCTACTGCTGGGCCTGCTGGAAGGTGGTTTTATTCCTGGTATGGTATTCTAATTTCTAGTCCCGATTCTCCAGACTGACCTGACAGGTGCTCTGTACTATCTGTCCCAATGGTACAAAAAGGGGGAGACGAGTCTTCGAACAAGTCTGTTCTTCTTCGGTCAGATGTTTGCTTCCGCAACGTCAAATTTGATTTCCGCAGGACTGTTGCAGCTATCTGGAAAGAGCGGTCTTGCCGGGTGGCAATGGATCTTCCTTGGTATGGTCTCGTTGATACTCGGAGCTCAAGCATCTTCCATACTGACTAACTCGCACAGTGGAAGGACTGATCACAATATTTGCCGGCATCGTGTTTGTTCTCCTAGTCCCCCGCCATGCAGGGGATGGCAAGCCTCTGTTGAGTCGCATTAGCGGTGGACGCTGGAGCTACTTTACTGAGCGCGAGTCCCGGATAATTCGCCAGCGTGTGCTCCTTGACGACCCCCTCAAGAGCCAGGGCCATATCAAAATCACCGGCCGAAACATTTGGGACACCATCCGCCAGCCGCGCATCATCCAACATTTTTTTATCACCTTACTTTCCATTTGCACGTTGCAGGGCCTAGGCACTTACGTCCCGTCGATGATCAAGGGATTTGGGTTCAGCGCAGTCCAGGCAAACGCGCTGGCTTCTGTGTCGGTGTATTGTGGCATGATATTGTTATTGGTCCTGTCCTTCGCTGCGTAAGTCATGACTCCATGTATGGCCTTCCTCACCCGCCGACTTTTCACTGACAACTTACAATAGTGATAAGACTGGTCATAGGGGGCCTTTCGTTCTCATTGGTATAACGTGGAATGTGATCGCCTTTCCCTGTTTGAGAACACTCCCCCAAAGCTCTGGCAAGTGGCACAAATATGGTGCCCTTGCGGTCAGCTACGTGTCATACGCTAGTACACAGTGAGTTTCTACCCTCTGACCAGAGAGCTGATCAGGACTGACACCGATATAGCGTGCTGAACATCGGATGGCTTTCCGTCAACTGCAAGTCTCCTCAGGAGAGGAGTGTGGCAATGGCGTAAGTTTTTTTTCAGAACTCACCGCTGATATTGCTAACTTGCGATCAGGCTCATCATCATGGCTGCAAATGCTGCCGGCATTGCTGGCTCGCAGATATTTCGCACCGAAGATAAACCTCTCTATCATCGGGGTCTTACGGCAATCTGTGCAATTGCTGCTGCCTGCTGGTGTTTAACCGTGATTCTCAACGTTCAGTATTTCTTCCTACAGAAAAGGAGACGAGCTGCATAAAATATGATTTAATCGGATCAGCAAAAGATGTATACATATGTGCAAGTACTTCAAGTGCACAAAGGAATAGATACGAGTACCCCTAATTACATTTTTACATATAATATACCGTTGTTTAAGCTAATTTCCGGGTATTCAATCATTCAAATCCTCACAGAGATGGCACTGCTTTGACTTCACTTGTTGTGGCGAGAGACTCGCCATTTTTGGTGAAAGCCTCTGCAAAGAACCTGAAAGCGGAATCTGTGGAGTTTGACGTCTCCCAGACGAAAGAGCTTTCAAAAGAACTCCTATCCACCTCCCCAATTTGAGTTTTGTGGCCACCACTGACACGGTAGAACTTCCAGGTGCTGGCCTCGGTATCTCCATTCCACGACACGTATAATGTAACGGACCTGGATGATCTGACTGCAACAATAGCCGGATCTTCCCTAGGGGTGCCCGTCCAGTTGCTTGCAAAGGCACGATAGCTCACGCCGTCCTGGATGAAAGCATGGTACAGAACCTCATTGGCGGGGCCGAATTCTGTATATGCTCCTTCGGAGCCCCAGCCGACGAAAAGATGGTTGTTTGGCAGCAACTGCGCATTTCCTTGGGAACTAGCGGACAGGCCATACGGCGCCCGAGCCTTGCGCTGAACAGTAGCCGTGTTATCCGTGTGATTCAACTGCACGATCACGGCACTCGAGACGTTGTTGTAATGAACAACTCCACCGGCCGAATTGTCGAAAAACGAGAATCGCTCGATTGCGTTTCCATGCTTGTGAGGCAACCAACGAGCATGATGCTGGTAGCCGAATGTCCAGTTACCGACCTGCTTGAACGTGGATTTGTTGCCACCCAGTCTCCAAATGATTGAGCCGTCTGTGCCGTTGATCTTGTAGATCGTGCTGGTATGCCGGGCTGACAGCAGATAGTTCCCGTCGGCATCTTTGTCCACACTGTTGAGGTGGACGTAGTCCCAGGACATCGCAGACGTCAGGCCGGCGTTGGATTCGGAAGACCCCAGCGTTACGAGGCTGTCTGCCAACGGGTCAACATCCCAGCGCATGGGAAATAATCAATAGGAAGAATCAAACTCACCAGCGGGATCAATATGGTCGAGAGCGCTCCATTCGAAGATTACATCACCAGTCTCAATGTCAAATTCTGGAACGTCAACAATAAGCATGATGTTTTCAAAAAGTCTCTGTCGAAGACGCACCCTGGAAAATTCCATCTCCAATCCACCGCTGAGAAGAATTTCCACCGTACGGGGTCAAATCAGCGGGTGTGGTCTGGTAAATCTCCACCAACGCAGTCTGCTCATCAATCACATTGAACTCATGTAGCGATGCAATTCGATGATTCCCCGGCGAAGCAGTCACGACGTGCTCGTAGTTCTGGTCCAATAGAACATGCTGTCCGTATCCGGTCCCCGGAACCGTGTTCATGGCACCCTGGAAGGCCTGCAGGACTGGTTTTCCATGGTACTCGGTGGGATGAAAGTTCCCCACGAACGCGGTGTAGTAGCCGGTGCCAGCCCAAACAAGGTCGCCACCTTTGCGATAGATGTACGCACCGGGTCTCTCGAGGGAGCCTTGGTAGGGTGCAATGAACACGTACTCTGTACCATTTGCATCTGGTGCCTGAACGGTGATGTTTAGCCTCGGGGGAGCCAGGTCTGGGCGAGACTGAAACTGAGTATCGGCCGCAGAGATGGGCAGGGTTGCTGTGGTGGCCAGAGATACCAGTAGTGATTGACTTAGGACAACCATCTTGCCGGAGAGATCACGGTAGGGTTCTGGGGACATCAGAAACGAGCATATTTGTTCCGAAAGGGGTCTATATATGAGCCATTAGACATGCCATGGGACAATGATGAGGAGGAATGACGCGATTCTTCTACAGCATCTCGCTTACATCGATGGCGATGATCCACTGCCTCTTTGGAGCTAGACGACCTGAACTCCTGCATGCTGACTGTTAGCGATGATGGAACCGCGGCCCTCGATCACGTCAGGCCAATCTCGGATTCTTGGCCGTTGGAGGGAAGGAGTGGATGGATGGCGAGTTGTGACAAGACTGTCCACTAGACATCTTCTCCGACATCATTCTCGAATGCAATGCGTTATGCACAACTTAGGTATGCCAGGTCTAATGTATTGCTGACATAGTCACTGTGTTTTCGGAGGGAACTTAGTCTCTCCGACCTCCGAGGGGGGTTCGTCTGACCGAGTCTCAGCGAGAAGTCGCCGTTGGTCACCGCATCAACAGACCAACCCAGATCCTTCCTCCTCATCCAGGAATGTACGGAGTAGGACTCAATTGGGACGCGTCATGGCATCAATCGTGAAGCCTAATGCAATTTGGGCGCCCAACGCCCGGGGTATAAAGCCGCCCATCCGACCGCGCTCCTTGGGCACGGCGCTTCAGTCTTCAACTCCAGTTGCCCGTGAGCTAGAAATCCATCTCTATGCTGTAGGATCATGTCGACGCGGTAAATCTTCCTCCTCTCATCGCGCCATACTCCCTCACAACGTGCCCATTTCGGCATTTTTGTTCCGCTCGCAATGGACCCTCTTAGAGGCACCCTGATCAACGTGGTTAAGGCCCCGATGATGGGATACGGATTGCTTTTCCAGAGAAAATATACGCCTGCGACTACTGGTCACGGTGAGTTGGTTTCCATTGGAAGCGTTGCATGCGATCATGTCGTGGACACGTCTGCCTCGGGAACGCCATCCGAAGACTCCACGCCCCGGGGAACACTGGAGCTCTTGGCTGCTCAAGTGCCGCCTCCCCGGATCAGCGAGAATTTCATGGCTCCGGTCAACGATGTAAGCTTTTTGTAGCTGTCGTCTGGTTGATCAAACTAAGCTCATCATCACCGCAGACAACCAATAGACGATGTCAGGAATGGACCATAGAATATCTCCGTCATCTGGTCCAGCAAGGCATCATCGGCGCTGAAGCGATTGAGGTCGTACAGTCGAAGCGAGACTCGCCAACTCATGGGATGGGATCGGTTTGCAACCAATGGCGAACCGTATGGAGCCGTAAACTCGCAGGTCTTGGGGTGGGACAACTCCGTTAGGGTGACTGCAATTCAAAGAAACGCTCGATAAGCCTCCATCCTTCATCAGAGCACCAGGGGCAACACGAGCAGGCCGGGCCGACCCACCACCGTCTAGAACGTGAGCTGAAGGTGGGAGATGATAAGAATGTATCAATGATATTGGTCTGCCAAGAGAGAAAACCGGGGCCAGAACCCGCTCCCCGGCTTCGGCTCGCTCGCCGATTGCTCGCCCTCACTTTATCATGTCGTGAATAATCTGATGGATCATCCTGGTTGCTTTTGCTGCCCCTCATGTCCAGCTGTTCGATCGTCGTGACTCATTTTGTCCATTATATTGCTCGCTGCCTCGCTCGAGGGGAGTTGTTGTCTTTACCTCCTGACTATTGTCTTTAGACTGCTCCGACAATGGCTTCGGACTCAATCCCGATGGAGCCGATGGATCGGCCGTACACCAAGACTGCCCGTGTGCGAGATGAAGAAGTGCCCCCAGAGTCAGCGTTTTCCGTCGTTGAGCCACCGCCAGACTTGTCAACGATCACTTCGCACACTCATATTCCTCTGACGAATGATGACACATTCCCCGATGGTGGGAAACAGGCATGGTCAGTCATCATGGGCTCTTTCTGCCTCTTGATGGCATCATACGGATTGATGAACTCGGTTGGAGTCCTGCAGAACTACTTTGCAGATCATCAGCTGTCACACTACTCGGCGAGTGACGTCGGATGGATTCCTGGACTCTTCGTCTTCCTGGGACTTAGTCTAGGCGTCCAGGTCGGACCGATCTTCGATCGTTACGGACCGACAGGCGTCGTTAGTGCGGGAACATGTTGTTACGTCGTCGCCCTGGTCCTGCTGGCTGAGTGCACCCAGTACTGGCATTTTGTCCTGACATTCGGTATCCTTGGAGGTTGCAGTGCTGCTCTGCTGGCGACACCGGCCATGAGCACCGTGGCGCATTGGTTTCAACGCCGCGTGGGATTGGCCATGGGAATCGCTATGGCCGGAGCCGCCTGTGGCGGAGTTATGTTCCCGCTCGTCCTGCGCGCGGCCTTCTCACGGTTCGGGTACAAATGGGCGATTCGTCTTCTCGCCCTGATGGTCTTTGTGATCTGCGGGCTGGGGGTGGCCTTGCTGCGATCGCGCTTACCTCGCGGAAGGAGCAAATCGGCCATCAACGTACAATGCTTCCAAGATTCCCGATTTAACTGGCTCACGCTAGGTATATTCAGTAAGTCCTTTTTTAGCCCAAACGCGGGAACTGTAACTCATAAAGAACAGGCCTTGAATTGGTTGTCTTCGCAGGATTAGGTCTCTACCCAACATACGTGATGATGCAAGGCTACAGCTCAAATACTAGCGCGATTCTCCTGTCGATTCTTAACGTGTGCGTTTCTCAAATATTGCCTTGTTTCACAAACAGATCTTTTCTAACCTTCCCAACGTCTAGCGCATCGTTCGTCGGTCGACTCTCTGCCGGTGCCGTGGCCGATTCGTACGGTCGTCTGAACACGCAAATATTCCTCATCGGAATGGGTAGCATCATTATCTTCGCGGTCTGGCTTCCATTCGGTAGTTCCCTGGCCGGTCTTTACGTGTTCAGCGTGTTATTCGGCTTGGCCTCGGGCTCGTTTCTCAGTCTAGCTCCGGTCTGCATTGGCCAAATATCCCCGGCGAGTGAAATTGGAGGGCGTTTTGGAACGTGTTATTCAATCGTGAGCTTGGCGTATGTTCGACCCCCCGACTGACACATTGACACCAGCGCTCACCCTGCATGATCTAGGACGTTGATATGTATCCCCATTGGCGGTGAGATGCTCGAAAAGGTCGGCAAGCAGGCAATGGTGGCATATCTGGGTAGCATGCTGATTCTTGCTCTGGGTCTCTTCGTCATGGCACGATGGGCTTGTTTGAACTATCGGTGGAGCTGGGCAGCCAAGCTCTAGTCTTGATTTAATTCACCCTCGTGGCCCATTCCGGGCTTTTCATGGTCTTTGAAAGACACAAGGCGTCGACATTACGAATTTTTTAACATATCAGGTTTTGTTGAGGACAAATCCCACGATGAGATGCTGGCGATGGTAAGACTGTCAGTTATTTTGGGCCTCGGACCGGGACATATGCCTGGCAAAGAAAAGTTAATCTCGATTTACAAATGAATATCTACCCAGCGGTCTGCTTATACAAATTTCTGCACGAGCCCGTCTCCGTTTAGCAACCTCCAGGTGTATAGATTATGACAACGAATCGGCCCCTTTGAAAATTCCCACGCCGACCGTTCTCTCCCACTCACTGCCCTCGCTGTCCGAGATATTGACAGTGAAGTAGTCAACACCAGCATCCCCACTCGACGTGTAAGTTGTCAGCCCACCAGATTTCTTCACAGATCCCAACTTGCCACCGGAGACCTTGAATGAAGGGTTCTTGAAGCCCGCGGCGAGCTTCCTTAAGTTGAACTTAACCGATCCTCCGGGCATCACGAACACATGCGGCTCAGCCATAAAATGAAGATATCCCTCAAGAGCCGTGTATCCTTCGCCACCAGTCGATCCGTCCCACCAGTCGGCAATTCCGTCGTTGTTGGAATCCCAGGTCTCCGGCCAGGAGGCCTTGGGGTAATCTTCCAAGCCGCCAGCGTCGGCTTCGCTGTCGATCAGACCCTTCTTGCCGGATTTCGATCCGCGGTAGGTGTAGCTACCGTTGAGCGTCTCGTGGATGATGCGCTTGTCGTGGTCGTCCAGAACTGGCTGATTGGCACCGCTGTCGGAGAGAACTCGCTTGTATGCTTCGGTCGAGGTATGCTCCTTGATGTAGGACGGGAAAAATCTATTCACTTGTAAGGTTGTACTGCTAATCTAGCAGATTGGTTGGGTACTCACGGCTCGTCGAAGAACTTCTGGTATTCGGGAGCTGGATCAATACTGACGTCGGCGTAACAGGCAATCTTGGGGTTCTTCGAGGTGCCGTCCCCGGATGGGTATTGCTCAGAATCCTGGTCAAACACACCGGGCATCGAGTTGCCTGCGCAGTAGTATTGTTGCTTTCCCGGCATATTGTCCTCGTACTGCGCTCTCAGAGCGTACGTGAGTTCGCTGGCCGGGCCCTGTTTATAGAGATTTCCAACGAAGTTGACTTCCATCGCACCACCGTCCGTCACACGAGATCCTGTTCCTGTCAGTCAAGCTTTCACGTGGGAGAGGGGCCAAGTGGATGCATACCGAAGTTGTATACAACATTGTTGCGAATATCCAGTCGCCCGGCAAAGGTCGAATTGTCGTCAACACCACCACCCATACTCCAGCTGCGACCTTCGGCATGAGCGATGAGGTTGTGATGGATTGAGCTGATGTCACCTCCAATGGTCGCAGCATATCCGTGTTCAGTTCCCGCGGGATAGTTCTTATGGCCAGCAACGTTGAGTGGCTCAGATATCATGTTGCGCTGGAACGTGATGTTCTTCGCATTGCGCGATGAAAAGGATTCGTCGATCGACCAACCCATCGAGCAATGATCAAGAATGCAGTAATTGGATCCCGCCATCCCCATACCGTCCACGGTCTCGTTGGAACTGGTGCCCGGACGGGTGCGGATGTGTCGCAGAATCACATCGGACGCACCTGAGAGTCCGAAGGGCTGGCCTTGCACTATAATTCCTTTACCGGGAGCAGTCTCTCCGGCGACGGTGATGTAGCTGTCGGTTATTGAGAGTCGCGACTTGGTCGTAATGACGCCGCCGACATCAAACACCACAGTTCTAGGACCGGTCACATTGGTCAGGGCATGACGAAGAGTTCCCTGGGCTTCGCTATCTTCGAGAGAGGTGACCTTGACGACCTTACCACCGCGACCGCCGCGAGCGAAACGACTGCATGAGTCAGCTATCTGATCCCTCCTCGCGCAGCGGGGACGACTTACCCATATCCCTCTGCACCGGGGAATGCCAAATGCGCAAGCCGGAAGGTGAACGTGCGACCAGTGTACGTTTTTCCGCCGGACAACACGTCAACTCTCCAGAAAAAGGTGTCCATGGTGTTAAGTCCTGCAAATAGTCAGCATGGGTTGCGCAGGTTTGAGTCATCACCGACTTACCAGACAGGCTGGTCTCCGTCTTGTTCAGGCCCTTGGCTGCCAACTTCAGCTCATCTGTCGCAGTGCCTTGGTAGACATTGTACGTAGTGCCCTTGGCAAAAGATGGCGCCCGCCACGATGCGGTAATAATTTTTCCATCCTTTGGTCGAATCCGTTCGTCGCGGTGATTCGGTGTTGGGAAGGATATCTGGTTTCCGATCGCGGGCGTGTCGATCTCGAATCCGTTCAGGATTACGCCAACATCATCGGAGTTTCCGGACGACGCGTAGTTAACCTTCACTTCGTCGCCTTCCGAGTTCACACTAAAGGTGACATATGAGGTAGCGGCCTCCCAGATGTTATCCATGCGCACGGATTGTTTGACCTATGGCGTTCGTTAGAGAGAGTCATTAGGAGGGAACACCCAACGAACCGAGGTTTTCTTCTCGCCATTCACAGATACGGACACCGATCCGATCGAATCAACGGCGTCCCAGGCATTGTGCCAGGTGAGAAGCGAGTGTTCCCCTTTGGACAGGCCTTTGATGGAAAGAGCGATACTCCCAGACTCATCGCCTGCTGTGATTCCTTGATTGACGACACGCTCTCCGAGGTGCGAGATGGCTCGCGTGTACTGGTATTTGAAGTAATTCCCTTCTAGTTCCGAGTCGGCAGACAAACCGAACGAGACATCATCAACGGTCGTTGACACATTCTGGGTCTCGCTCTCGATTGTCCAGGTGTGAAAATCGGGCTCTGCCAGCGAGCGCACGTTAGATGGATTCAGACGAACTCTGATCTGGGCCGACGCAGCCGTTAGCAGCGATGCAGTCACAGCTGCTATCGACAAGAATTTCCCCATTCTGTTGCTGGTACTTTCAATCCCTGGGGCTTAGTGGCGGGTGATAAGAGTCAAGCTCGCCATATCTTATACGACGGACCCTGATTCAAGTGATATTGCGAATTTCGCCAATTTCCGGATTGCAGAGTAAGACCGTTGGTCCCTGTTTCAGCTTATGTATCAACGGGCATCCCATCTGGGACTTTTTCCACAAATGGAGGTCATGCCATGCGGGCTTAGATAGCGATCGGCATGCCCAGAGTGTCTGATTTAGCAAGATCTGCAGTTAGTTCGGGCTTTCACGCGACATCGGTGGGACCCTGGCATGAATGCAACAGTTCGCGAGCGCTTTTAATATCGGTTTGGTCCTGGACTGTTCTCAATTAGAATATCCGAGACGCAACTCCGCCACACTACAATCTGCTTGGATGTCGCGCGGTGTGTCGTGCTGGTTTAAGGCCTCGGACCACGGCAGCCTTGACAGTTGACATCCCTGCAGACGGTGAACAACCCCGCTGGATCACAGTGCGCGGGAGGATTGCGGTAGCGTCCTTCGAATTGTTTGCGAAGAGGATTCAACCGGCCCATATCGACAACATCCATACATTAATTTACCCGCAACGCCGTGACGATCAGATCCGGGAAGATAATAAGCACCCGTTTTGAATAGAATCGGTGAGCCTCTCAAATCATCAGGATTCTCCTCGGGTTCTGTTAATTTTCAGGCTCGCTTTCCGTGGGTTCTTTGCCTGAAAGACTTCTTCCAGCTCCTCTAGCGTGCGATCTTTCGTCTCCACGAAGAAGAAATAGATAAACGCGAACTCGAAGCAGTCCCAGAAGACGAAGAAAACATAAAACCAATACCCAATCTATGAGATCATGAATATCAGTTAATCCATGTTTGCCTCAACGAATAGCCGGGCATATACACTTACGTTCGTCAAGGCCACCGGCGCCGCAAAAGTGTTCACGAAGCCCGCCGCACCGGCCGTGAGCTTGAATGTCCCCATGCCCTTGGCTCGCATATCATTGGACATGACCTCTCCGGGATAGATAGGTTGCATAGAAGTGAAAGCGAACGCAAAAACCACCCCGAATATGTAAATGAAGACGATTGCCGCCGTAGAAGCCGCTGTATTTGCCGACTTCACGAATACCGCCGTCGTGGCGGCTGTGATAGCTAGGCAAACCACCATACCTCCAGTTGAGCCTAGGAACATCTTGCGGCGACCGACGATATCGTGGAAGCGGGTCCCAGCAGTAGCTGCAATCCATCCGGTCAACGCGTAAATGATATTGAGGAGAAGCTGGGTGTTTGTATTGGTGATTCCGACGTTCTTCAATAAGGTTGGCAGGTAGTAAGATATCACACTATGGACACAGGAGCTCTCGTCAGCGCCTGTATCAAAAAGCGTAAAATACTTTAACCTACTTGTTACCCGAGAATTGCCCAAACCAACTGAAGGCCAGATTCAACATCAACCGGTAGCGACGCGACCGAGACTTGACGAGGACTGACAGATCAATAATGTTGCGCCAGCCGGTGACCCCTTCTGACTGTAGGTTTTCTGTCATTTCTCTCATTTCTAGCGCCACCAGAGGATGTGCGGCGTCGCCGTTGGCGTGGCACTCGACAATGAAGGCCTCGGCCTGGGCATGTCGGTCTTTAGAAATCAGCCTATAGGTGTCAATAGATCAGTATGTTTCGAGACGACAAACAACTGCATGGGAAAAAAAAAGGCTAACACTCACCATCGAGGTGACTCGGGACAGAACCATATCCCCAGGCAAACAATTCCTGGGCAGGCCATCTGAAGCCACAGAGGTAATCTCCAGTCGAGCTGACCGATGTGACTTAGATGCAAATGAGCGCCATAGACGGCCGAGGTAGCCAGGATCGATCCCTTTGGCATGGTTACTATCAGTTTATGATTAGGCAGATCAGGCAGGAAAACATACGGCATAATATAGAGTGTTGTACATTCCCGCCAAGGTACCTCGATACTGCGGGGGTGCCAATTCTACGAGAAGCAAGGGGGAGGCAGTATGCGCGCAGGTCGCAAAGAAAGAGAGCAAAAATCGCCCTGCAATGAAAACTGACAAAGTTGGCGCGGTGCTCGTTACGATGGTTGCCACGCAAACTCCAAGGCATCCCATAAATATATGAGCACGTCGACCAAGCCAGTCCGCCATCCAGATGAAAAGAGCGCCGGCCATTTGACCTATCTGAGCATCCTTAAGCTTGTGGTCCCAAAGGCTGCAGACACGATCATGGAATGCATACCTGAAAGATGGCGAATACGATGCCTGTGCTCACATTGCCATCCTCGGGGAGATTGTAGTATTTTGTATAGTTGGAAAGTGCGTTGATGGAGCCCATCAGGCTGCTGTCGAATCCTAGATTTGAAGAATCAGCAGTCAAACGTAGCTTCTGGGACCATGCCGAAGCTCACCATTCATTGTGGAGCATAGGAAAATCAACGATGCCATGAGGTACAATTTGCGATATCCGGCGCCTCGTGGATTGACCGGATGTCTCTCGATTAGTTCTTTGAGGGACATGTGCGGCATACCATGAGCCTTTGTCTCACTGCTGGGCTTTGAGTCCATTTTTAGTCATTGATGTTCAAATCGTCGTTAGTTAAACGAACTAAACCATCACGAAAAGAAGACGTCCGGGGTCCAAATATATACCCCAGATGCAACCCCGTGGAGAAGCTGCGGCAGGTCGATCCGCAAGGAGGATGGGATGCGCCGCCAGTACTAGCCTCGTACTAGTCGTTACAGGTCATGACATGCCCGGGGTGCCTCGGCCTTATATCCCTGCTCTGCTCTGTCCGGGTTGAGCGCATTGCATCACAGTGATCCGTTCAAAATGGAAAAACGTATCACGTTGAGAGAATGTACGCAATAAAGTTCCCTGCCTCCGTCGCGCAAGACTAATATTCTCAAAATGCAGTGCAGCAACATGTCTCATATGAGAGCTGCTGGGTTTCTTTGTACGGCAGGGTCTACGATGTTTGTGTTTCCTGGCTTGGATGCAGTTTGCGAGCTAACGAGGTGAAGATCACCGGCTTTTTAGACGATCATCCGGGTGGCTCGTCCATCCTGTTAAATGTCGCGGGAAAAGATGCGACAAAGGAGTATGACCCAATCCATCCTCCAAGTATCATGGACGAGCACCTGTCATCATGTTGCCTTGGGGTGCTCGGGTGTGGCACTTTGGCTTCAAGGGACAAGGCTCCCGAGTCAGAACCAAGCAGATCAGCTGCAGGAGACTCTGTATCACAGGCACTCAACCTTCATGAAATTGAGACGTTGGCAAGGCAAAAATTGCCTCATAAAGCTTGGGCCTATTATCTCTCCGCAACAGATGATAATCTGACCAAAATGTGGAACAATTCGGTCTATCAATCTATCCTCTTGCGGCCGCGAGTCTTTATCGACTGCTCTCAGTGTGACCTGAGCACGACTGTTCTCGGTCATCAACTTGGGCTGCCGGTCTACGTATCTCCAGCGGCGATGGCACGATTGGCTCATCACTCGGGCGAGGCCGGAATTGCCAATGCATGTGCAAAGTTCGGTGCCCTCCAGATTATCTCGCACAACGCATCGTTAGACCCAGTTGACATAATACGTGACGCTAGAGAGGATCAAGTCTTTGGCTGGCAGCTGTACTGTCTCAAGGACGTGCGGCAAAGTGAGCGACGAATCCAGAAGATCAATCAGATCAAGCGGATCAAATTCATCGTTCTGACGCTTGATGCTCCTTTCCCTGGGAAGCGCGAGGTCGAGGTGCGGTCCAAGATGGACTTCTCGCAACCGAATTCACCACCTCAAGTCTGGGGGACGGATGCCTCGTTGACCTGGGAGAAGACTCTACGTTGGCTGCACAAGCAGACCGATCTCCCGGTTGTTCTGAAAGGCGTGCAGACATACGAGGACGCTATTCTTGCCGCGCGATACGCTCCGTATATCCGCGGAATCATTCTCTCCAACCATGGCGGACGAGCGCTGGACACCGCGTCGACACCCATCCACACCTTACTCGAGATCCATCATCATTGTCCGGAGGTATTCACGAGATTGGATGTCATGATAGACGGGGGCATCAAGCGAGGGACGGACATTGTCAAGGCTCTTGCGCTGGGTGCCAAAGCTGTCGGTATCGGTCGAGCGCCTCTCTGGGGACTGGCGGCCGGCGGTCCCGTCGGTGTGGAGAGAGTGTTGGAAAGTAAGTTGAAAACATAATTCTGGCTGGGCTTTCGGGTCCGTTCAGACTAATGGCGCATTTCGCAGTTTTGTCCGAAGAAACAGCGACGGCAATGCGATTGCTGGGAGTATCGAATGTGAGCCAACTCTCGCGACAGCATGTAAGTCACCATTTCGTGGTCATCGCGTCCGTAAGTTTTTCTAACGGGGACAGATCAACGCGCGCGCTCTCGAGTTGGGGGGATTCAGGAGTGCACCGGACACTGGTGAACGGAATGGGTCCAGATTGTAGAAGCTCTGTATCCAAACATACCTACCTATCAAATGAATGAGCAAGTCGAGGTCAACGCGTGTTCCGTAGGCAGAGAAAAGAAGTAGACGCGCTCTCAGCTCGAGTGTTGACAGTTGAGTGTAATCAGTGCACTGGAGTAGACCAAGTTGTCCGAGACGCGTCGATCATCTCTGCACGACTCCGAATCCGGCCACGTGCCAAGAGGGAGCCTGAGGCCAAATACCGCTAGTAACAGAAGTGGATGCCTGAGAGCCACCGCGACAACAAAAGTGCGTGCCTGATCAGGTTTAGCCTGACGGGTCAGGCCACCACCTTGCCCCCTTTGGGCGCGGAGCCGTCAAAGAGCGGACCCAAAGGGGAGGAAGCCTGGGGTATGCCACCTCCAAGAACCTCTGCTTGGCTGTGTTGGAGAGAAGAGAAAAGGCAACAATCATGCGTGGCCTAACTCATTTTGGACGGTGGGGTGCTGGAAACGCTGGTGGGGTTACTGACCATCGGGGCTGTTTATGTCTGAAATATATAGTTGGTGCCCGTGCAGCCATACTCTTCCGCCACGAAGTGACCAACCTGCCTGCACTTAGAAGAAAGGGCAAGAAGCAACTGGGGAAGTGAATGACCAAGATGGCTCATTTGAGACTGGAAGAGTTGTCCCATGGCTGGAGGGTCAGAGATGCGACGGACACGAAGCCAGAAGCCTGGTATGCCGTCGAGACTGTACCCACGGTGGTACATCTCGACCTCCTTCAGAACGGGGTGATCCCTGACCCCTTCGTCGGATTAAACGAGGAAAAGGTCCAATGGGTTGCGGAGCGCGACTGGCTCTACCAGACGACCTTTGAGACTCCATCTGTTGGCCCACGAACCCGACACTGTCTAGTCTTTGAGGGTTTAGACACGTTTGCAACGGTCACGCTGAATGACACAGTAATCCTGCGCAGCGACAATATGTTCATTCCCCATCGCCTTGATATAACGGGTATTCTGACCAATGGCCCTTCGAAAATAAACACGCTGGAAATCCTTTTTGAATCGGCCCTGTTGCGTGGTCGCGAGGTGGTCAAAAACCATCCCGAACATCGGCATATCGCTCACCAAACTGAGGTGGGTCGCTTGGGCGCACGCAAAGCTGCTTATCATTGGGGATGGGACTGGGGACCTATTTTGGTCACAGCTGGCCCTTGGAGACCCGTCAGACTGGAGTCCTTCGTTGACCGAATTGCCGACCTGTGGATTGAAAGGACCGTGGCCGACGACCTTCGATCCTGCTCAGGAAAGGTACACGTACGCACAGAGGGTCACGCAGCAGACCGAGCGCATATCGCATTGTGGCACGAGGGCACAGTGGCCATCGAAGTTGACATAGAGCTCAATTCTCAGGGAAAAGCAGATGTCTCATTCAGCATCGACGACCCGGCTCTCTGGTTTCCTCATGGATACGGACCGCAAAGCCTCTACGAAGTCCAAGCTCAGTTATTCTCACGGGACGAGCTGCTGCACGTAACCTCAAAGCGAACAGGTTTCAGACGAGCTGAGCTCATACAGGAGAAGGACGAACATGGACAATCCTTTTACTTTCGAATCAACAATATAGATGTCTTTGCGAGCGGGTCGTGTTGGATTCCTGGGGACAGTTTTCTCCCCCAGATCTCAGATGCTAGATACCAAAAATGGCTGCAATTGATGGTTGAGGGTAATCAGAACATGATCCGGTAGGTTGATCTTCGTTTAATGGAGAGACTGGCGTGCTGATCCGGAGTTCACAGTATCTGGGGCGGTGGCATCTTTGAGCCAGGAGTCTTCTATGAGACCTGCGACGAATTAGGAATACTTGTCTGGCAGGATTTTCTCTTTGCCTGCGCATCGTATCCAACGTACCCGGAATACCTCGACTCGGTTGAAGAAGAGGCACGAGCGAACGTCCGACGTCTTCGACACCATCCTTCGATTGTCATATACGCTGGGAACAACGAGGATTATCAGATACAACAAAAGTACGATCTGACATATGACTACGACAGGGATAAAGACCCAGCTTCTTGGCTCAAGTCGTCATTCCCAGCCCGCTATATCTATGAGTACCTATTGCCGAAGGTAGTAGAGGAAGAGAATCCCGGAATGGCATACCATCCCAGCAGCCCGTGGGGTGGTGGTAGGCACACAACTGACCCCACCATCGGAGATATCCATCAATGGGATGGTGAGTTTGAGTAGCTTGGACTATCAATTGCGCACTTCTAACAATTGATGCAGTTTGGCATGGAACTATGGAGCCCTACCAGAGACTCAGTTCAATGGGAGGCCGGTTCAACAGTGAATTCGGCATGGAGGCATTTCCTCACATACATACAGTCGATTCGTTCATTGATGACCCCGAAGACCGCTACCATCAGTCCTTGACGATGGACTTTCACAACAAGGCATCCGGCCATGAGAGACGACTGGGGACATACATACTGGAGAATTTTAACGTAAAGCAGGATCTGGAGGTAGGTCCTTGATTCTTGCAGAAAAGCCACCGGATTTACGCTGCCGTTAACCTAACGCTCTGCAGTCATACATTCATCTATCTCAGATAGCTCAATCTGAGACCATGTCTTTCGCCTACCGCAGCTGGCGGCGCGAATGGGGCCAAGGCCGGCGGTGTGGAGGAGTGCTCGTCTGGCAACTCAACGACTGTTGGCCCACGATTTCCTGGGCCATTGTTGATTATTTCCTTGTTAAGAAGCCAGCATTTTATTCTATCGCACGCGCGTCACAACCCCTGGTCGTCGGCGTGTGTCGACGCCACAAGGAATGGACATCGGGCCATGCGCAACCACCTCGCTCCGTAGAATTTGATGTGTGGACTGTCAGTAGCAGGACAGTAAGAGTGAATGCCGTCGTGTCTGTCCGTTGCATATCTGTCGAGACTGGGCACGACTTCCTGCCAGCTTCCGTTCACAATGTTGAAATCCTTCCGAATGGGACTACCGAAATCATGAACAATACAGTCGATCTCATTAGAGAAAACCTCGCTGGACAACAGGATATCCCACACTTCGTCATTTTTGCCAGCTTAAGAGTGGACGGCATTATTGTGAGTCGAGATTTTGACTGGCCCCAACCACTGAAATACTTGAAATTCAAGGAAAGGGGAGTGAAAGTGGAATACTTAAAAGACCAGAGCGCTATCAGAGTTGTAGTGTCCAAGCCCACGAAGGGGCTCGTGTTTCAGGAAAAACCTGGCATTTGGTTTGGGAACAATGGAGTTGACCTTGTGCCCGGTGATGAGCAGATTATCCCGGTCAGGGGAATCGAAGGGGACAATGCAATTCCCAGCTGGACCTATATCGGGGATCAAAGGTCTTAAATGGGCTGACAGATAGAAGAATCGACAGAGGACCGCCGAGGTTCATGTTACCTCAGTTTCCGGTTACATTCTCCTGCTCGTATCTGTCCAAGTCATTCATCGTATCGTAGTTCAGCAGGAAGTCAAAGTCTAGGCCCACGTTGTTCAAATCCCAGAACCCATTGACATCCATGTCTAGCAGGTCAAAATCAGTATTCTCCAGTGGATCGCCACCCGATCCTAAATCTTGGGTAGCCTCAAAGATGCTTTTCACAATACTGTGAGATCTCTTTGCCGCCGGGGTCCAAGGGATCAGGGCTTCAAACGTCACAAGAGCGTCCTGGAGTTTTGACCTGCAAATCACGGCATCATTGTGTTGTGGATCAGTGGCAATGATGAAAAGCGGAACCATACATGCTTGATAGAGATACCAAGTGCTATTCCACGCCCAAATGGTGTTGGGCGTAAACGACTCGGCGATGTTGGCGATTGCTTCGAAACTGAGTTCGCGGCAGGTAACAATGGCCATGGCCATCGTATCTGACCGGGCCATGACTGATTGTGAGAGCTGCAAAAGGAATGGGCGATGAAGCAGGATTCGCAGATTCAAGTATCGGTTTCTCAGATAGGCCTGAGCTATGGCGACGTTTGTTAGGCCACCATGTGATAGGTTGACAATTGCCGGAAGCGCGCTGTACCAATCCTGCACGCGTTGGTCGAAATGGAACATTTCTTCCGTTGCTACTGGGGTGGCTTGAGCGAAACGGTCTTGAACTTCGGTGGCAATGAGACAGAACTCGACACTAGCCCGTAGGATAGACACCGCAGGATCAGGGTGCTGTTCGCTAGGCAAATTTGTATCCATAATCGACCTATCCCAGCGTCCGAAGCTTGGTCGCCCTAGCGTCATCGAGGCCCAAGTATCCAGGCAGAAAAGGCTCCACCATGACCTTCGTTTAATTTCAGCTTCTGGCTGATGGGATGAAGTTTGCCTGCTAGAATGCGTGATAATCGCCTCCTTGTGTAGTCCCATGGCCGCTGCCATTCGAAACGCGGCGCCGAGAACGGCATTAGCCGTGTTTGGAGTACTTCGAAAGTGCAGATAGTATCCGCCCAAAAGACACAGAGCTTGTAGGCTTTCAATTTGGACCGACCCCAGAATTTCCAGATTTATGAAGCGTCTAGCCTGGTGGAAGGAGTTTCGAATCAAGTCGCTTTTCCACTGGCCTGTGGCCACGGCTCCCATCACTACGACCATGTTCAGCACAGCTTGCCAGGGACCGTCGTCCGCATTATTTTCTTTGACCCGGCGTCGGAAATCGGCCTCATCGAGCATCGGAGTAATGGCATGGACATGTGCGAAGTAGGCATCAATACAAATCTCACTAGTGAGGAGTATTTCCCGATTAGGGGGTATGTTCCCATCGTCCGGGGCAATAGATAGATGGGAGGCGTGGGCTTGCAGGTCCTGTGCCAGTTTGATTTGGATTTTAGGGGAGAGCTCGAGAATGCTGTGGAGAATAATGCCGACCGAGGAAAAGCCGAGGTAAGAATGCGACCGGTCAAAGGTGAGCGAGAGGTTGTTTACATCGTCATAGGCCGAGGCATGCTGCATAAGTTTATCAGCCTCGTCCCATGCCTCGCCATCGTCGGTTCTGTCTCGAAAGTGAGAAGCTTCTTGAACTTCCCTTGACGTTTCCTCCCCCTCCCCAGGGCCCTGGCATTCAATTAACTGCCGCAGCGCCTCTCGTGACAGGCCCCGGAGCGACTCCGGGGATACTGTGGGGAAGAGCTGCTCGAGGATGGCATCGCGGATTTCCAGCGACCGGGATAGTTCCTGGTGGGACCTTCCAAGACGGTACGGTATATTAATGATCGAACGTGCGCGACGAACAACAGGGGTTTTGCTTACTGACGTGACACCGTCCTCCTCTTGGATCGCGCCGGAAAGGCACAGCGCTGGGGCACGCCGTACCAGTGGCAGCTGCTGCAAGGATGGCCCCCATCACAACGAATTCGACGGCGGCGACATTCGGCACATGATTTGTTTGTCCTTGGTGCCTGTGAAGGCTGGGAAGAGGAGTCGGACTGCTGGGATGGGGGCGCCCAATCCGTGATGGTATGGAACATCGTGGAGGAGTTAGTTGGGCTGTGGGGGTGGGGAAGTAGCAAGAAAAAGAAAAGAAACGAGCGAAGGATTTCCCCCGTCGACTTCGCGTGCGGTCACGAGAATACTCCGTAGCGCCCCAGGCAGGAATCGACCTATTGTTACTTCGTATACCCTCACAGCTGCTTTCAGCTGGGAGCGATCGTGCAGCTTACCTACTTACTACCTGTCCTCCGTCCATTCGACCTGCCACACACATTCCTTAGACCTGGACGATCGCTCAGCTCTTCGAAACTAGCTCTGCAGGAACCACCATTCATCCCCTTTCGCCCTCACGCTCTCGCCACCGGAGATGTAGGCCAGTGATCATAATAAAAAGCAACTAATTGCCGCCGACTTGAAGACTCCGGAGCACAAAATCCAGAGAGGCCAGCCTGACATCTAATATGCCCTTTGGTTCATTAGCTGTCGGCGCAACTCCAATTCCTCAATATGGGACCCATACTTCACCAAGGGCAATGAATATAGCGACGTGACCACGTTGATTTTCACCTATTGCACCAAGGCAGATCATGTCCGTCCCTTTGTACCGGATATGCTGGAGCTGGAGGATGAGCCCTTGGTGACTGCAATGCTGTTGAGCCATGGCATGAGCACTTTCGGCACGTACTAGGAGTACGTTCACGCGGTCGAAGTCACGTATCGAGATTAAAAGCTCGACTATAACCTGTCACTCATTCGGGAGAATGAGGTAGCGGTCTTCTACGGCCGCGAATAACTGGGGTATCCCAAGAAAATAGCTCCTGTGTCCCTCACACTGCAAACGGGATCCAGGGTGATCGAGGGCCACGCAGAATATCCTGCAGGCCACAGAGTGGTGCAGTTCAACTACAGCCCCCTTCGAAGACTCAAGGAGGTGGTCTTCCCGGCAAAGCGATCGTTGAATCTGCGTGTCATTCCGTAGGCCATACCGGATCAGCCTCCGTCGGTCAAGGAACTCATTCCATTCACGGTGGACTTTGCGTCTGACGAGGCCTGGGAGGGCGCTGGGTCTGTCTCTTTCCCCGAGCCGTCCGAATTTCATCCGCTGCATCGCGTGGAGGTCCTGCGATACGAACCCGCTGCTCTAGTTCGACATGGGACGTGTTATCCGTGCTGCAACGGAGGTCTTCCCTATCTAGTCATGAAGGAGGTGACAGTGAGGGTACTAGTTGGAATTATCATCAAATGCATAGGATCGCCAGGCGTCCCGTTAGACCATTCTCTGATTTCATCTATCATCTGCTTGAATACACAAATTTACAACAATGAATATTCCCGACTAGCATACCTACTCTCACACCGTGATAAACCCTCCCCAGTCCTGTAGAGCCTGTCGACAGATTTCCTGGTATATGACCAACCCGGCGGGATAATTCATCGATTCCCGCTTCTTGCCGGGGATGTTGGCCCCCATATACCATGAATCCGCCTTGGAGAGAATGCTTTGGTCAATCAGCTGCGTGATATGGTCTTTCCACCCCATCTCGGCGTCGATTGTCGGTTCAACATACAACAGCCCCTGGCCGTCGATCTTCCGAATGGCGTCAATAATCCATCGGCCTTGAACTTCAATGGAGGACGGCCCGTTGCTGAATCCTGTGGGCCCGTGAGCCCCATACACCCAGAACATATTTGGGTACCCGTGACTCGACATGCCCAGGTATGTGTGGATGCCTTCTCCCCACTGCTTGGCGAGCGGTTCGCCCTCGCTATCGCAGATTCCCATGCTAGTCATGCCACCCGTAACGGAGTCGAATCCCGTGGCGAGCGCAATGACATCAAACTGGTGAAAGGCGCCGTCACTGGTGGCGATGCCCTCGGTCTCAATGGCCCTAATTTCCACGTTTCGAAGATTGACTAAATTGACATTCGGTCGATTGAACTGCTCGAAATAGTCCTCTTCAAGAGAAGGCCGCTTTGCGCCGAGCGGGTGTACTGGGTCTATGGGAGCCAGAATGTCTTTCGTCTTTGCATCATGAAGTCGAGCACGGGTCTTCTTAGCCCAGAAGTCATAGGCCGCGCGATTTGCCCTCTCGTCGAAAAGAAGGTCCATATAGTTTCCAGCCATGAATGCGAGCCCTCCCATCTGCCAGAGTGACTCAAATAAAGCCTCGCGCTCCCCGGGCGAGGCATCGAGCGCCTTTTGCAGCTTGAAATCGTGTATATATCCGGTAAATGTGCTCTCCCGGAGTTGGAACATCTCGGGTAACGCTGAGTGAACCCTGGCTTGATCCTGCTTTGATCGAGCATTCTGCTGCATGGGAAGAGCGATATTAGGCGTTCGTTGGAAGACCGTGAGATTTTCTGCTTGCTTCGCCCATTCCTGGACAATCTGCACTCCGGTGCACCCCGTACCAATCACCCCAACCCTTTTCCCCCGGATATCGATCCCATCCTTGGGCCACGCCGACGAATGACAGATGATGCCCTGGAAGTTATTCAATCCGGGGATATCAGGCACGTATTCCTTCGCTGCGAACCCAACACACGGTAAAAAGAAGCGAGCTAGAGTGATCCGTCCATCGTCGGTCCGAATCTCCCATCGAGCACGCTGACGATTGTATTGCGCACCGACAACCTTAGTGTAGAACTCGACATCTTCCTTGATGTTAAGCACGTGGTCGAGGTGATCGAAGTACTGCAGGATCTCCTTGCGGTCTGGATATCGCTGAGACCAGCTCCATTCCTGCCACGCTTCGGGGATCGACAACTGGTAGATTTCACTGGCGGAATCAACCCGAGCGCCGGGATAGCAATTCCAGTGCCAAACCCCACCAAGTCCGCTGGCTGCTTCGTAGATCTTGCAGCGGTATCCTAGCTGGCGTAGATGATGCAAAAGATAGATCCCGCTAAACCCCGCGCCCACAATTAGGACGTCGTAGTCCAAGTTCTGTGTGCTTTTTGATATCATGGCGTGCGACTGACTTGAATTCCGGGCCACAAAGCTTGACAAACCCTGGGATGAGCCGGATCTTAATAAAATCTCCTCTCCGATCAAGATTCCAGGTGGTCCAAATAGGTAGGAGACAGCGTCTCACCCAAGCTCCTAAAACACGGCCGCGAAGCTCTAGATGTGACTATAACCCCGATTGACTTTTGCTGCAACCCGGGTTTGGTGAATCTTTAACGGGTAAGAGCTCGCATTCCGCTGTGATCCGAAAGCCATATGAGCCGGATGGAACACTTCACTTTGGGTCATGTCCGTACTGGAGTCTATGATCTCGAATACGATCTAGAATGTTCCCCATGGCTTGCCTCAAAATTAATGGCTCAAGGGCCCTTGCCCGCTACTAGGAACGGCTCTCGAAACGACTTGTGTTCTCCGTAAATGATTTGATATCAACCAATGTCCGATGAGCCAAGATATTGCATATGAAAGAGTCGGCTCGTCGCAGGAGGTACGAATGAGATTTGAAAGCTTGCTTCAAAGTCTGTCTGCTCGAGGTAGCTGTGAGAACACCGCGTTTGATCGAACGAAAGTACACCCATCGAACATCACGTGCTACTCGGTCAATTTACGACTTTCAAAATCGTACATGGAAATCATTCATATCAAAAGCTGCGGTGGGAATATGGGAAAACAGACAAAACGGTATGTAGGCAAGAACAGCAAGTCTCCCGATCGTTGTGTCCCATCTGTCCATTTAGACCTTAACAGAGCAATCCATACTCTTCGCATTGAACCCGAAGTTCGCACCACGCTCATCATAGCTCTTTCTCTTGCCCTTGATCCAGGGACAGCCCTTCTGTGAATACACGGTGCAGATGCATCCACCGTCAGCCGAGCCGGAGATAAACGGCTTTCCGTTCGAAGAAACAAGGTTTTTGCACCGTCCGTTGGACTTGACATGAAAGCAGGTCTTCTGGTTCTTCTTCTTGCAAACTCGACCGCCGCTGTCAAAGATTCCGCGCTCGTCCAGGTGGCTGGCGGTTACCTCATCCTCGTCTGTCAAGCCGTTAATGTCATTCCTTCAAGCGTTCGAAAAAGACGAGATTACCATCCGCATCCTCCAGATCAAGAAAGTCGTCATCGTCGTCCCCTTCCGATGCCAATGCGACAGGGTCACGTTTGTCCAGCTCTACACATAGAGTCAGAACGAAGATATCGAGACGATTGGGAATCGTCAATCCTACCAGTCGGGCCGTCAATCGGAACGAGCTCAGCATTCTCTGCGGGTGCTTGAGGCACTACAGAGGCCAAGGCCGTGGCAGCTAACAAGGTGGAGAGGAAGTAGGCAGCGCGCATCTTGTGAGGATGAGGACTCCGGAGATTCTAAAGAAGCACGGTGCAGGTGTGTGATTCTGGTGATTGCGATTATTCGGCTGGAATCATGACGACGAGGAGCTGCTGCCCTTTTATCCCCAGATTCCGGCTCATACTAGACCATATCCTGTCGATGTAGATGCCCGCGGACCGCTAGTGATGATTATCATCGCTCTTGACACTAGGTGAAGTCAAAGCAAGCGCTTAGGGGCTAGCCATTTCGAGGAGGATGTTGCGAGGATTGTTGCAGTTAGCCCTTGGCATTGATACTGCGATTCATGGACACGAGTTCGCTGTGCCTCGTTTCTGCGTCCATCGAGAAAGGGGCTCCGTGGGCGTGTCTGCTGCCATCGTGGAGACTCAATTGAGAGGAGGCAGTGATCGAGCAGCTACTGGGGCGACCTGAAAAGGAAAGGCTCGTGTGTCGTATTTTCCCCGCCGCGATGCTACCCTTCGTATCATTCCACCCGCAGAGAGTTCGTGTTGGAGTGTTGACTTATTTTTAGTCCGCCGCCCGCGATGCATGACCTCATTTCCCGTGGTCCGCTAGCCCCGAATAGGCTAGCGCTCCTCCGTAGATTTCTCCCTCCTCTGCCACTCCTCTCCAGCTTTTCTGCAACCCACGCCGATCATGCCTTCCAAATCATATTCTGATGTGCTCGATTTCTGGTTCGGCCCCAAAGCCTCCCCGGACTATTTGAAAGAAAAGTCTTTTTGGTACGGTAGCCCCGCCGACGATGCCTACGTGCGCACCCTTCTCGGGGATTCCCACCAAGCCGCGAAGGACGGTCAGCTCGACGGATGGACACGAGAGGGCAACGGCGATGGGGCGCTAGCATTGATCCTGCTACTCGACCAGGTGCCTCGCAACATTTTCCGTAACACACCCCAGGCCTACGCGACGGATTCGAAAGCGGTGGAGGTGGCTCGGTGCGCGGTGGACAAGAGCTGGGATCGAGACATGCCGGCCATTCAGAGACGCTACCTGTACTCGCCGTTCAATCACTCGGAAGATTTGCAGGACCAGGAACTGTCGCTGAAACTCTTCACGGACCTCGGCGATAGTTACCATCTGCACTGGGCTAGAAGTTTCTACGAGCAAATCAAAAGGGATGGGCGATTTACTCATCGGGACAAGGTTCTGGGTCGGTGAAGAAGTCTTTGGGTCTTCATTCTGTTGGATTGAAATTGATTACTCGTGCGTCTCTCTCCTATACATCACGTCGGTCCTCGCCGTATACTTCACGCCGCGAAAGACGTCGTCCCCGCCGTGGAACAGATTCCTCTGCTGGAAAATGAGAGCCGACCCTCTCTTCGGAAACACCCGAACCGTGTCCTTGCTCCGATAACCATCTGTGAACGATGTCGCGCCCCCAAGAAGTGGTTCTTGATCATGGCCGGCTCCCACGTCTCGGCCAGCGCTGGCGACGTCTGAGCTCCCATCCGCCGATGAGACTTCGAGGCCGTCGTTGTGGTCATCATGCGACGCAATCGCGCCCAGATCAACCTCCCCATCCTCCTCAAACAACCCCATCTTCCGCTCCGACTCCTCGATTCGTCTCTCCAACTCTTCCATGTCTTGTTCGCCTGTTCCATTCAGGTATAGATGCACTGTAAACAGAGACATCTCACCCCCATCCTCTGTCACGTAGTTTCCATCCCAGTGCGGTCGGAAATACTCTCCCCCTTCGTATCGCAGGAATCGGATGCGGCCATTGAGCCGCGATAGTTCGAACGTCTCCCCGCGCTTAGCTGGTCCACGACCCGTCACGAGTGGTTGATTGCGGATCGTTTCGATTCTGCATTCTGTGAAGAATGGTCTCAGACGACGAAGAAGACGGTCGGCGATCTCGGGAGTATCCCACAGGATGCGACCGCAGTTCCGCGTGTCGATCGACATCGCCTGTTGTCCATTGCCCGCGTTGACCATTGCGCGGTCCCATGTTGGTGCGGTCAATTCTTTGTTGGCCTGAACTGTCGAGTCTTCCGCCAGACGAAGCAAATCCCGGCATTCGTCTGCAGTAAGAAGATCATCCACGGTCACGGCGAAATGCTCTCTGAAGGATGGGATAGGCGGCGACGTCTGGGTGAAGTCCAACCGGCGAAGGCAGGCCTTAGGACATTCGCCCCTCAAAAAGTCCGGCGGAATATTAACAGACGCCATTGTAATTATAGTCGATGGAAGTTGCAGCTTGCTGTCAGAGAGAAGGCCTCACCAGGTTTTATCTATTCGGAATTGAGGATTGAGTCATCGGTGGAGGCGGTTTTGGGTCAGGTCCAGGCATCAGCCCTGCGGGTTAGGGCCATTTCTAGCATCTCTCGCTCAGCCTTCGAAGTTGTCTGTCCACTTTAAAGGTAATGAAAATCTTAACGTAAGCATATTGTTGGTCGTCTTTAATCAATCTGCATTTTGGTGGTGGGGGTTCTTGCAAAATATATATTCAGTTGCCGTTAGGAGTATCACTATACAGGAACGCAAAACCCAAGGGTGCACTAGAGCTCTCCGGGAGAAGTCCGACGGCGTGATTTGAAGGGATTGGTGTCAACAAGGGGCAAGAGAAACAGCCAGAATGCGTTCCTTCTACAACTGTAGGGAACCGATGTTATTCTGAACCTTTATACTCCGGAGCTGGAATGGCGGAGTGCCTGAGTGCCTGAGTCCTGACGGAACGGGAGAGAATGTGATTGGTTGCAGAATCCGCCATGTTGCATCCTCAGGCTCTCAGGCTCTCAGGCTCTCAGGCTACCAGGCTTTCGGCGGAGGCACAGCCGTCACAACAACTCCGCACTCCGTCCACAATTCCACCGTCTACACCCCGTGGTAGCTTGAACCATGGAATTGCTAGTTGATTGTCTTCATCGGCCGGCGCGCCTGAGGGTCTCCAAGGCCTGTCAGGCCTGTCGGCTCAGAAAGGCCAAACGCGTTGTGGTACGTATCGGCCTTCAATACTCGCTAATGTGTACTGAATACTAAGCATACTGCATTATCGAATCGTTCTCTACAGAGCGATGCTGGCTCGTTTCTACTCTATGAAATCCTATTCGAGAACAACATCAACACAGGGCCACACACATAGACAGGACGAACAGTCGACCGAAGAATGCGCCGGAATATGCATCGATGCTACGCAAAGGCTAGCATCACTGACCATACAGACCATCGAACCCTACGAGCCGATGGACCTCCTGCCGTGGAGGTACCAAATCTACTATCTATATATCGCGGCAACGAACTTTCTGGCGGTCATGTTTGGACTGGACCTTTTCACTGAGTCGGTGTCGCAATTCTGGCAAGACGTATTATCGACCCTGTGGGCCCATGAGCATCTGAGTGAATATGTTCCACAATACATACAGAGCTTTGAAACGCTTTCTTCGAGGATTCTGAAAAACGCAATATCCCAGTCCAGATGACGCCAAATACCACCAGACAAGAAGACAGGCTGTATCACCTTCGACAATATGTACCAGGAATTCGATTTCAATCTCGACCCCTTTCGGCTTGTTTTGGACGCCTTAGACGGTTAACTATCGTGAGAAATGGAGCTGTAATTGGCCATCAATTGGTATACAGATTGGCGCCGAGAAGTATGCTATGTCTCCTTACAGATGGAAGGTTGGGATAAAACCCTGATACTAATTTGTTATTTTCTAAACTTATAGTACGCTTGAGCCTTGTATTTACCTGCCCAGGATTTTCAAGCAGTGCTCTCACGAATAACGAATAAAAAAGCCCTCCCCTAGGCCAGAGTGCATGACCACAAGCAGGAGCCTTGCGGGCGCGGAGAGGTCTCAACACAAGTGAACAAACGAAAACCGAGACACTAAACAATTTCACTGACCCTTGGTGACGCTAGAGAGCGAGATCTCCTCTTAGTGCCCGCGTTTCATTGGAACTAGGTTCGACGAAGCCTCTGTCTCCAGGGGCCTGGGAACTCCAGCCGAACGTCTCGTCAGCAGTTCGGCGATGACCTCCTCGACCTCGCTCTCAATACGAAACTTCATGCATCCCGTAGATGCCATCAGGCGTAGTGCCGTGATCCACTGTGCAGAACAATGGACCTCTAGGTCGGTGTCTTTGCCCTCATACCGGACGGTGCACATGACGCGATCATTGTTGCGGTAGCCACACTGTGCCCCAATAACGGCTAACCATCGATGATAGTCCAAATCGACACAGTCTATACGACCATCTGGAGTGTATCGGTGGAAATTCCTCTTGAAGCAATAAAGCTCAAAAATGCCAAAGCGGCGCGGCTTGTCGACGTGATAGACGGAGACAAGCCAATTGGGAAGCGTTCCGGCTGGCAAGCTGATGCTGCGAGAGCTGTTATCTCCTCTTGTGCCCATGGTAGGCCCGGGAGATGAAGCTGATGGTATCAAAACACGGAGTAAAGTTGGATTGAACCAGCAGCAAGTGGGATGATCGAACAAAGACGACTAAGGAGGGATTAGTTGCCTTGAAGAATGTAGGTGCATTGTTGTCTTTTATACTTCTACCACTCCGATGAATCATGTTAAACACTTGAGTACTCCCAGGATAACGTCTCAATGACAGGGAGTTGTTCGTCTGCTCTTTAATGGAACATATCACCTCTTTCATTCCCCGCTTGGAAGTCCCATTTACCCTTTGAAGATACCGCGACTTGCCCGTATCCATTCCCTCATCCACTTGCGAATCCATTCATCCTGTATTCCCGGGACCTCCGAGAGTAGGGCACTTCTGCACGTGGTTTCGCTCGTCTCCGGGAATGCAGGATCATCCTGGCCCCCTAGGACGGTTTGATAAAAGGGTGTTAGCCGGCTAAGTCGGTCGCCAAACTCGTTCCATTCGTCATGACCATTACGGTCTCGTGTAAAGAGCTGCTCTTGCAAACGAACTAAGTCGAGCCATTGATTTAATGGTACCACGTAGATGTCACTTAGCGAGGCTCGGCGACACTCTTCCAGTATAATAGGTAGCATGAACCTCCAGCCCGAAGGCTGGAGATTGACCGGGTGATGAACGACGGGCGTGTCCCTGTGCACGACTTTACCATTCAAGCAAAGTTCAACCAAGATACGTGATAACAGGTCGACTGGAATCCAGTCAATATAACTCATTCGAGGGCCGAGCGAGTCTGGGAGAGCTCCAAGATAGAAAGAGCCCACAATCAGGCTCGGTAACCATTAGTTGAAGTCCCAGCGCGATGAGAGCTGCGTCGGCTCCGGGACATAAGTCAGGCGTGCAATGGATGTGCAGATATCTAGTCGTTTAGTTGCATAGTCTAGTAGATGCTCGGAGATGTATCGGCTCTCTCCGTAGCCATTGACAGAAGGTCTATTCAGGTCGATGACTCGCTCTGGAACTCTCCGTGCCGGATCCTAGAAACTAAGAAGAGCACCGATCGAGGACAAGAGCTGCCGTTGACGAACAGAACCGAATGAGATTTACTAAGCCGTCGAGCTAGGCGGAGAAGGTAGCAAGGGGCCTATTCAGATCGATGGACCATTCGTTATGAACGATCAAGGTCACCGTTTGGTAAAGTTCTTCTAGAACATTCCGTTCAAGGCCCATGTTCTCACGAGATAGATCAGCTTGCAAAAAAGTCAGATGACGAGCGTCTAAATCGGTGCCTAAGCCATGATGTCTATCCTCCGGGATTTGCGCCGCACACTCGCTGCTGATACCCGCAGGGCAGTAAACATGACGCACTGCAGGTGATTGAGGAAATTCGTACAGGAGATAAACACCAAGTGAATCCGTGCCTTGTGTAAGAAGCACGAAGTGTTCGGTGGGGGTCTGTCGGTCTAGAGGCGGGCAAGGGATATGGTCAATAATGTCCTGGTACAAATTCAGGGTGACCCTGCGCTTCGAAAGTAGCTCGCCATCATAGGAGGGATCAGTCCGCAGTTCAATCTCGTTAATCCGACGTATCAAGGCCTGAGAAAGGGAATTTACGGTGGGATGACGGTAGACCAAAGAAGTCGGCAATTCTTCGATACCGAGACCGTGTTTGAGCTCTCTTGCGATATTCAAGGTCTAGAGCGAGTCCATTCCACGTTCAAAGAAATCGTCGATCAAGGTCAAATAATCCTATCCGGTATTTAGCTTCATGGTGTCGAGGATGAATAACGAGACCAATTCAGGATCATGTACTTCGGCCCGAGTGAGTACACAGTCCCTAACAGTGTCGGCGTCGTTATACGTCCTGTTGATCTCCTCTTTGTACAGTTCAGTCGTAGCACCACGCTGGATTGTACTCTTCCCCAATCGCCTCATGGGAGCGGAAGGGTCCGTGAAAAGGATATGTGACTTGGTGATCCGAGCATACGCCGGACAATTGTTGTTCGCCGCTTCAACGCGTGGCCATACCTCCTCCGTGAATGCATTCGGGTTGAATTGAGCTTGTTCTGTGTTTACCTCGAGTAAAAGAGCTAACTGTAACCGATGGACACCAACGACCAAAGCACCGCTGATTTGCGGGTGACGCATGATCTGTTGCTCCATTGAAAGAGGGTTGACTTTCTCCCCATTCATCAAAACAAGGATGTCATCACTGCGAGCGACCCATTTCCAGCGCCCAGGATCGCTTGGGTGAGTTACAAACAAGTCCCCCGTAGGGTATTGGCAGCCCGGTGTACTGACGTTATGTAAACGTCAACTGCTGCCTCTCGAGTCGAGTATTTCGAATTTCGTATAGCTCATGCTGTTCACCCAGGACTGGCCGCATTTCTAGCCCAAGGTCAGGATGAAACTCTAAATAGCTCCAGTCACTGGGTTTGCAAGGCGTCTGGGACATTAACAATGGAACCAATCCGAGCTCTGTCGAGCCGAATTGGTTCTGCAGCGGTATTTTCGCGGCTACATGATCCCCGATGTGTTGGGGCAGATCTCCGCCAGCATAGAGTATACATTCTAGCCGTTTAGCGCAGTATGTTATAAGATCCGGGGCCTGTGCTAATTCCTCGATAATCGAGGGAGCAAGAATGGCGACATTGAAATTCGTCTGTTTTAATGCCCGAGCCAATCCGGCTGCCCAGGGAATCCCGGAGGAGGCAATTGGCGCCACCATGACCGTTTCAAAGGGCACTGCATTCATTAAGTGACATGCAAGATAGGCGCCCTGCAGACTTTGTCAGTATCTAGTAGGGTTCGTATCAATCCCAGGGTCGCTTTGGTCACGACATACATGGGAAGGAGGCAGCATGGAATACAGACGCCTTCCAGTGATGAGATGATTCTGTCCTCTGCGGCCTCTTGGGGTTTCATCGAGAACATTCTCATTCCAGCCACAACTGAGGCATGAGTGAGGGTCATCAGCCTAGGCTGTCCCGTGGACCCGGAGGTGTGGATGGTCAGCAATGGTTCCATGAGGGCCTGCGACAGTGTTTTTTTCGTACAGGACGGGCGCGGTATCTGCCTGTAGGAGGTCTTCCACTGCAGGAATATTCAAAACACGCAGCCCTCCTTGTTTTAGAACGGTATGAGCGGCACCGGGACAAGGCGTGGGCGTTATCATAGTCTTGCACTGCAGCTCATCCAAGAGTTGTGCATGGGCAGCAGCACTGTTCCTTGAGGAGGGAAAGAACGTCTGGAGACGCAATTAACTTTCTATCTTAGCAGTACCCAGTAGAAAAGTCCGAGTCACCAACTGTATAGCCAGCTTTGATAGCCCCCAAAGCGTGCGCAGTATATCGAACATCATTAGGACCGATGTACGCCAGGGCTTCGAACGAGCATCCATGCCCAATGCTGCCAATCAACCACCGGCCGACAGCATTGGTCATCTTGGCTAGCTCGTAGTATTTGATCTTGTGATAGCCCTGGCCATAGTCTCTTGAGCATCTTGGAAACTCGCGTAGATCGCGTCAGGTTTGGACGCCGCATAGTGGTCCACGATATGACGCAAGAGGTGCTCTGTTGGCTCAAAATGATCACATGTACTCTCAGTCGTCATGGTTGACTATTTCTACGGTTAACGGAACACCGACAGATCGCGAGAAATCTTTCCGCCAAGAAGAATGTACCGGCGTAAAGCAACCAGAATTTTTCAACACTCTGCCAGGTACTCTTACGACCGGTTTGGGTCTAAGTCTACACTAATAGCGGATGGTTTTTACAGCAGAGACTGCTGTCAAAGGAGACCAAGGCAAAATAGTGTAAAGTTATGGATTGAGTTTCTCGCAGCAAGCGTCGGGAAGATGGAAATGCCTCGTACGTCACTCACTAGTATATTCCTGCCAAAAACGTAGACACGCCTCCGACAGTAAGGGATAGTGCACGCCATTACCAGAGTGGAAATTGGGCCGTGGCTTACGACAGTGTTGGCGGAAGTTCACGCCCATTCGATCAGCCATTCAAGGTCTCGCCGACAGCCATGGCAGTCCTTGATCTCGATTCCCGGGATTATCCTCTTTCGGCGAGGGCCTGCGTCGAGGCTATTCACATCCCTTGGGTGAGTGATGGCTGCCTGAGGCAACAACACGACCAGCGAGCTTCAACGGCGGAGTCCTTCGGATCTGCGACGGAAACCAAAAGGAAGCGCTGTTATAATTAATGCGCACCCCGAAGACACGCGCAAGAATGTCAGGTGCGACAGCAGTTATAGTTGGTGAGTAATACTACTGCATCAGTTGCGTGACCGAGATTAATGCCTGGCAGGTGCTGGAGCTGGAGGGATCGCAGCTGCCACGCAGCTTGCTCGAAAAGGCTTCCAAGTGCAAGTTCTGGACCGCCATGAGAGTGTCGGTGGTCGATGTTCGCTGCTCTACAAGGACGGGTTTGTGAGTCTTGCTGGCCATCATCCATCCGACTTCCAGTCGCTCACGCAATCAGCGATTTGACCAAGGACCGTCGCTGGTGCTGATGCCCGAACTGTTCCGCAGAGCCTTTGAAGACCTCGGGACTTCGTTGAAAAATGAGGGTGTCTCCATGCTGCGATGTGAGCCCAACTACTGTATCTGGTTTGCGGATCATGATTCGATCGAGCTGTCAAGAGACATGCCTCGCTTGAAGGCCGAAATTGAGAGACATGAAGGCGCCGGGGGCTTCTATCGCTTCTGTGCTTTCATGGCAGCGGCTGGATATCAGTACGAAATGTCGATGCAAAGTGTTTTCAACCAAAGCTTCCCAACGATGTGGAGCATGATGCATCTATCCTTGATCAAGGCGGTCCTGGCTCTCCGGCCGTCCACCAGCTTCTACCAACAGGCGGCCACATTCTTTCGCTCGGAGAAGATGCGACGCGTATGGAGCTTTACGAGCATGTATCTGGGTATGAGTCCATATCGCGCGCCCGCAACCTACTGCATGTTACCCTATGCCGAGATAAGCGACGGCATCTGGTATCCAGAAGGAGGCTTTCAAAAAGTGGGTATCCCCTTTCCTACGATAGCTCCATGGTTTTGATAGCCTAGGGATAGGTCCTGCAAGCACTCGGCGAGGTCGGGACGCGCCTCGGGGTTAACTATCGCCTCAATACCCCGGTAAAAAAGGTGCAACTTTCGACCGATGGCCTCACGGCGACAGGAGTTCAACTCGCGTCAGGAGATGTCATCTCGGCGGACCTGGTGGTAGTTAATGCTGATCTTGTGTACGCATGCAATCGCCTCCTGCCACCGTCTTCCCATGCCCGTCGCCTGCAGGATCGATCCGCTTCTTGTAGCAGTATCTCCTTTTACTGGTCATTCGGCGAGGAAATCCCCGAGCTCAAACCACACAATGTGTTTCTAGCCGACAAATACCGCGAGAGCTTTGACACTATCTTCGACGAGCAGGGTATACCGGAAGATCCGTCATTCTACGTAAATGTTCCAAGTCGAGTTGATCAGTCGGCTGCACCAACAGGGAAAGATGCCGTAATGGTGTTGGTGCCAGTGGGCCATCTGCCAAAAACCACATTCACCGACGTGGAAGAGGAAAAAGCAAGATGGGAGTCCCTGGTAGCCCGGATGAGAGACACGGTGATTAAAACAATCGAGGAACGTACTGGGACACGGGGCCTCCGATCCAAGCTCTTGAATGAGCAGGTCAACACACCCTTGACCTGGCGCGACAGGTTTAATTTAGATCGCGGCGCAATCCTTGGGTTGTCGCATTCATTTAACAACGTGGGATGTTTCCGTCCGCACATCAAGCACCCTCATATACGAGGATTGTACTTTGCCGGGTGCAGCACCCAGCCAGGAGCTGGAGTGCCGGCTTGCTTGGTGAGTGGCAGGCTTGTCTCCGAGCAAATCGTGAAGGATTGGAAAAAGAGAGACGAAGCGCAATTCTTCACCAGCTGGAAGTTCCTGATGGGTCTTGCCATGCTAGGCTTACTGATGGCAGTAATGGCGTCTTTTCCTCGTCGCGTTTGATGGTTTTTCAGTAAGGCAACGTGACACAACAGGCTATTGAAGCAGAACAGTTCATGTAAACGATCGGTTTCTATCAAATATACCTTGCTGATACCAAACCTAGTCCTAGGTCACAGCTTGGCTCTTGTGTCAGATACTGCTCGTCCGAGAAGAGGAACATGCTTCTTCCACAACTCGTTGACCGTAATCTTTTCTATCGTACTCTTCTAATCCCATGCCGCTCTAAACTGGCGATTCTGCTCCTGCCATCGCTTTAACTCCGACGCGAGCCAGAGTAAAATGCAGTCGGCACACTCGGCGACCGCCTCCTGGGGCGATAGGTGGCCAAAGGGTAGTAGCACTTCGCGGACTCGGCCTACAGGGACACCACCGCTGCCTCCAACCCCGGTGCCCGTCATACGCAGCTTGTCCGCCCACAGCTCGAGTTGGCTCACAAATGAGCGCCTCCCATGCTGTGTCCAAGCCCGGGGGTTATCAACTTGTTCTCCAAAAATTAGTGATAAAGAGACTTACTATATAAAAACTCACATAGAATCCTGCTTATCTGTTTGGAAATGACCCTCCCATTGACATCAGATGTTTAGTCCCTTACTTCTATTGAATAATCTCCGGATACCTCCTTCCCGAGGCAACCCGGCGTGCCATGTAAGGAATATCGGGTGATTATTTCGTAGGTCCTAGCACGAGAAACTTGATTCTTCGTCTGACAGGCTCGCGATGCAGCTGAATAAAAGAGGCAATGGACCCGAACCCCGGTCCGATCAATGGCAAATTTTGAATTTTTTTTGTATTGCCGGCTCATAATCCTTGTCATAGTCTTCTCTAGGAGCGTAACGCAGCGGTTTAAACGTTACTGATTTTCAACAGGGAACAATATTTAACATTCCATACCATCAGATATCTTGTGGATCTTTTGGCAGCTTGCAGAAGTCTGATATGGGTTTAAAATTTCAATGTTTGAAGCTTTGTAGAACGCTTTCTGTCCAATCTGAGCCTTTGCTGATACAAATCCACGCCCAAGACTAACCGTATAACCTGTTTGTGCCAACTCTGGATTAGCGACTGAATGGGTATGCGGCAAACCATCCTGCTCCATGAGCGAAATTCTCTCCAACAAGAGAAATAAGACTGTTCCGTTTTCCGCCTGCGACTGGATCGAGGCAAGGACCGTCAACGTTTAATCCCGTCGACGAATGGAGTGCTTGCGTATAATTCTCCTCGTCAACTACGGTCCCCAAAGCCATCGCAAATGAGAACGTAACCTCCTATGTCACCAACAAGTCGACCTCCATCTGAAAGTCTATCCGTAACCCTCTTGCCTTTCTAGAGTCTTGCCCATCTCCAGCAAATTGTAGCTGCAAGGGGAGAAGATAGGGATCTGCTCAGAGGGGCAAATTCCAGGTATGGGCACAGAATTGAATGCAACTACCCGGAACAGGCAGTCCAACCAACTAAAACACATGTTTAGAATTCCGAAGAACAATTCCTGCTCTACAACACTTCTCGGGCCTGCCTAGACTGCAAGGATGAGCTGATCAATACTGGCTCCCTGCATGATTTGCATGGAACGGAAAGATTGTAGTAATCTTGATTTAGGTGATCGTTTAATCGGTTGACTGGGTAATATTCGAAGCTACCACGGGTCCACGCCGACTGACTTCGAGATAACTATCTGGCTACTTCATCATTTTTCAAACTTCCCTTCTCTTGTATGTTTGAACGACTTTTATCTCGTTCACAAGAAACAATGGCCGGTCCTTCTGTCATCGTCATTGGTAGGTAGCATCAATGCACCGCCAGTTGCCATTATTCTAACTATTCCAGGCGCTGGGGCCGGAGGGCTCGCGGCGGCAGCTCGGCTTGCCCAACAGGGTGCCAAAGTGAAGGTGATTGAGAAAAACGACTGTGTTGGCGGGCGGTGTTCGATCATCCATGATAATGGCTTTGTACGTGGCAGCAGAGGAATTGGAAGTCTTACTCTAATGGCCACAGCGCTTTGATCAAGGCCCATCACTCGTTCTCATGCCGGAAATTTTTCTCGAGACTTTCCAGGATCTTGGAACCTCAATGAACGAAGAAGGCCTGGATATGCTTAAATGCGAGCCGAACTATCGAATCTGGTTTGCTGACGGCGACACGGTCGAACTATCATCCAATCTGTCTCAGCTCAAACAAGAGATCCAGCGTCACGAAGGTCCGGACAGTTTTCCCAGATTATGCGCGTTTTTATCGGAGGCAGGGACATACTATGACTTGGCTCTCAATTATGTTCTTCGCCGAAACTTTCCGTCGATACTGAGTCTGCTGCAGCCCAGGGTTCTACTGGGGTTGCTGCGCATGCGACCATGGACCACTGTCTACGGTCGGGCCTCGCAGTATTTTTATTCTGATAAGATGCGAAGGGCTTGGACATTTGCATCGATGTACTTGGGTATGAGCCCCTACGTAGCGCCCGGTACCTATGCTTTATTGCAATATACAGAGACAGTTGATGGTATCTGGTATCCACGAGGGGGGTTTCAAGCTGTGGGTTCCCCTTCAGCGTCGATCTTTGGCTGCCAAATCTATTTTCACGAGCCCTAATGATGATTTCCTCTCTAGATTCTTCAAGCCCTTGCCGATGTTGGCAGCAGATTTGGCGTCCAGTACCGGCTGAACAGCACAGTCGAATCAATCATTGTCTCCAAAGACCACCCAAAGTCGGCCCAGGGAGTACGGCTCTCCTCTGGCGACGAATTATATGCAGACATAGTTCTAGCCAATGCGGATCTCGTATATGTCTATAATGAACTTCTTCCCCCCTCACCTCAAGCCTGTGCCCTTAAGCGCCGGCAGGCCTCGTGCAGCAGTGTGTCATTCTTCTGGGCCATGGATCGCACATTGCCACAATTGAATGCACACAACATTTTTCTGGCTCACAAGTACCAGGAGAGTTTTGATGCCATTTTCAAACATCACAGCATTCCTAACGAGCCCTCATTCTATGTGAATGTTCCGAGTCGTGTCGACCCTACAGCTGCGCCGGCTGGAAAGGAAACCATGGTTGTCTTGGTTCCAGTGGGAAATCTCACTTCTGCATCGGTCGATGAAACACAGACATGGGAGCAAAAAATTCCAGCTATTAGGAACTTCGTGTTGGAGGCACTTAAGATGCGAGCAGGACTAGGGGACCTCAGCTCAGACATCCTATCAGAGAGATATGAGACCCCGGCTACATGGCAGTCTAAATTCAATCTGGACCGCGGTGCAATCCTCGGACTGTCACATAGCTTCCTGAATGTTCTCAGTTTCCGTCCAAAGACCAAGCATCCCGATATAGAGAACCTTTATTTTGTCGGCGCAAGTACGCATCCGGGGACTGGGGTACCCATCTGTCTAGCAGGGGGAAAGCTGGTGGCACAGCAGATATTGGAAAACTACGACAAGGCCGAGGAGGGTTGGAGTTCATCAAGCTTTCAAATTATCATGGCCCTGGTTGCTGTCCTAGTCGTGACGATATCGCTCCTTGCAAATAATTTGTCTAGTAACGGCTTGTTCGTGTACTTGCCTGAACACTAGCATCTGTTTCTCACAGCCTCATATGACCCTGGGCTTCAGTTTGCACTTTTTCGAACGTGTTTCTGATACGCTTATGAAAACCAAATGTCATTCAATCTGCTGCTATCGTCTGAGGTAGATATCTACCCCAATCCCCCCCCAAAACCAAAAAATAAAAATAAAAAAAGCTCGCTTTCACTCGGTCCGCAGTTCCCTGTACGATCGTTGACTTTTGATCTGATCTTCCGGGAACCAATTGCCGTGCATGCCGTACGGCACTCTCTGGGGCAAGATAATTCTGGCCACAACATCTTTCATTGACCGTGCATCGATGATCCACAGCTCGCTGCGAGAGTCTGGCTTTGGTTGCCCAGATTCGTCCAGCTGCGACTCGTCAAATACATATGTCACAACCCACCCGTCGTCCTCGCCGTGGCCTCGATGGCGCGGTACGAAAGAGCATTCCTGTGCATACCAACCGCTTGGAAGCTTGAAGACTTGAATCGGGTCATCGGGATCCGTAGACTGTATGATCTGGTGTATTGATCTGGTGTCCACTGCACCATGGATCTGAAGAGGTGGGTCTGTTTCACCCCGTTGAATTAGTGCCTTTACGTTGACCTTTACCAAGCAGTCAATTCTGATCCCAGTTACGGAGGCAGAAGCGAAGTTTCCTTCTGTCATTGAGCTTCCGTAGATGAATTGAGCCGCTTCCATCTCGCGATGCCGGGGAACGTGCGGAAATTCGAAAGGAATTACCGACAGAGCCCACTGTTGTGTAATCTCATCCGAAATTTGATAATAGTACAGACGAGACTCGGGTTCGATGGCGCACACAACCTCAGGGGGCGTCAAGCATCCCATAGTGTACAACGGAGCAAGACTATTCTCGCGACAGAGCAAAAGATGAATACGTGGACCATCAGAACATTCTTCGTCCCAGGTGTTGGCAGTGTGGATGACAATGCACGGTGAAGTCTCATGCCAGCGGACCCGCTCGGGGGCATGTCGAGGAAACACCCCTAGTCTTGTTCGTCCTTGCGGGTTATATTCAACAGCCGACTCATTGTTACGAACCTTATACGGGTCTAGAGAGACCGGGCAGTCGATGAACACGGTGTAATGGGAAGAGACGCCAAAATCGTGCATCAGCTTTCCCGATAAAAGCCCCGGAACCGGCTGGTTGAGACGCATCCCTGACGGCGACATGCCAGCAGGGACGATGGAATACTGGACAAAAGGGGGCAGGAAGGTGGAGTGAAAGAGAATCAGCTCCCCTGTTGCGTGGTCCACACGAGGCTGATATACCAATGCTTCATCAGTATCTGCTTTATGTTTCAAAATCATGCACGTCATACTAACATGTGCCGTGGTCATTTCCTTGTAGAAGCCCTCGATGCCCTGCCCTCCAAAGTAGGGCTCGCATGCGCTGTCATCCGTGACCTTTCCTTCGCCTTCTGCACGAGAGCCCGTAAACCATCCAACTGTCTTTAAAGACGGCAGAACGACCCTCATCGGAGGCCCGATCTCATTCGTTGCCAGCACTCGCCCATCATGATGGACGATATTGGTATTCGCGGCTCCTACCCTCTTTATTGGTCGGGCGATCAAGTTCAGAAGAGACGCACAGACAATTACATAGGTACGAAGCATCTCAAACAGGATTTGGAACCGAGAAGGATTGGGGTCGACCAACGTCGCCATGCTCGGTATAATGGGGTAAAGGGCTTGGTTCTTTCTCGTGGCACAGTAGACATCGGTCAGAACATATTGGTTGGTAAATCGCGGTCGCGCACCCTGACAGCCCGCGATTCGTTCAAAGAAAACTCCCGTCAGCATTCCATCTCCGTCAAACCAGTGGAGAGCGCCGTGGCTATTGTCATCTGCCAGTGGATTGCTGCCGTTGCGGACATATTGACCACCGATAAATTCGTCGGGGATCGACCCTTGGAATTGACAGGGAACAGAGGAGAGGGTGGTTCTTATCGGGGTATAGTTGCCTTTTAGATACCTGGAAATTGTCAGTAGAGAGAAGACTAGATCCTATAAACCATCTCGTACGGGTGTCTTTCACTGCGTTTAGGCATTCTTGTATGTGGTGTCTCTTAACGGAGGTCAGAGCAAAGGCTAGACAGAAACATAAGTCCCCAAAGGGATCATAGGAAAGGATCAAGGGGAGCAGCGAATTGGGAAAGAGATGTTTTTATGATGATTCCATGCGTCTAATGGAACCTCATTGTAACCTGGAGAGTTTAGAATGACTGGTTTGCGGCAGGTTGCCTGTCGATGACTCCATCGGGGCGAGAGGAAGCAAGTTTCGATCTGCGTAGAGACAAGAATGTCCAACACATTAGAATTTCAAGGACCCAATGGAACATGCATCCTGAATGTTGGTGACCCAAAATGGCAATGGTCCTATGGACGCCAGACTCACTCCGTCGCAACATAAGTCAAAGGATCCACATTCAGGCCCAGAAGTGAAAGACTATCGCTTCATTACTTCCGCCAGGGCATCAAATAACTTACATTCTACGAATGTCATCATGGGTCTAGCCTACGCTATGGTGTATGTGACCTACCTTTCCAACTGAATCTTGCTGATAGGGTCAGACACGTCCATTACAACATACCCTTGGCCATAACATTAACCTTGCTCTCATGGCCTTTCCTTACGCGCCTGGACTGGACCAAAATCTCAATTCTTATCGCAGTAAGGAATCCTCTAGAAATTATTCGCTTCTTTTCTCATATTGCGATAGGTATCAGTGCTTGCAACCATCCCTTGGGACTCATACCTCGTGCGCAACCAGATCTGGACGTATCCACAAAACGCAGTCCTTGGCTATACACTGTTCTCCATTCCGCTCGAGGAGGTCTTCTTTTTTGTTATCCAGACATACAATACCAGTCTGATTTACATTGTGCTAACCCGACGATTGGTCTTCTCCGCGTATCTCTGTGGACCCTCTCCTGTCTGGAAAACCGCTGGATCTGTCTTCCTCTCCATCCTGACGCTGATGGGTGTTCTTGCCATGTTTGCGACAGGGCACTACACCTACCTAGGGCTGATTCTCTCATGGGCGTGTCCGTTCCTTTTATTACAATGGTATTTAACCGCTGTTCCGGTCTTCCAGTAGCGCAGACTTATGATATTTCGAAGGACTTTTTCTTCCGGTTTTCTTCTCGCCTTACCCTCGCGGGAGCTTGTATCATCTGTGGCAATTCCCACCATTTTCCTGTGGGTTGTTGATACTCTTGCTTTGAGAAATGGTCACTGGGTTATTGAAAATCCCACCAAACTAGGCATTCAACTCTGGGAGGGATTAGACATCGAGTATGTATCTGGCCAATGTCATGCGGGAAGGCACATTCCAACTAAAGCAACCAGAGAAGCAATTTTCTTTCTTCTTACCAACGTCCTGGTCGTGAATGGTCTGGTAGTTGCTGATCGTGCTATCGCCCTCAGGCATTTCCGACAGGCTCATTCCACAGGAGATGTCTGCGATGGTCCATTATTTACCCGCGTTTTGTTCAACGATATTGCCCGAGCGGGGATGCCTGACGCATCCTTGGTTTCCCATCTCTCTCGCGCCGTCAATTGTCTAGCGCACTCAAGTCAAAGCATGTATATGGGGAGTGCGATGTTCCAAGGATCTCTCCGGATAGACCTGATTTACCTGTGAGCGGTAGCCCCCCTGCTTTCTGTAGAAAACTGACACCAACTGGACAGTTATTCGTTTTGTCGCGTGGTGGATGACCTCGTGGACGAAGGTGAGGGCAAACCGCGTGCACGCGCCGTGGTGCAGCAATGCAATGACTTGCTTCTTCTCAAATTCGCTCATGCGCGCGAGTTTCGAGAGAAGATCGGTGCCTCGGCGCTGGGTTTAGGTGGCCCTGCTGAGCTAATCGAGGCTATCGACAAACTGCCAGTATCACGGCTTACGATCCAGCCTCTGCAGAGCTTACTCGAAGGCTTTCGCTTTGATCTGAGCTTTGATGCAAAGACAAATACTTTTCCCATTGCTCACGAATCTGACCTAGACCGCTATTCCTACCACGTTGCCAGCACCGTGGCCCGATGTATTCTTGACCTCGTATTTCACCATTTCTCCACACATCCATCCGCTACAGACCCGTCTCTCCGTCGTAAAGTAGCCTTTGCTGCTGAGCAGATGGGGAAGGCGTTGCAGTATGTCAATGTGGCTCGGGATATTGGCCGCGATGCAGCAATTGACCGTGTCTACCTGCCGACGAGTTGGCTGAACGAAATTGGTCTCTGCCCTGCGGATGTTATTTTTTGTCCTTCAGACCCTCGTATGGAGAGACTACGATACAGACTTATCACCCGAGCTAAGAGCCTCTATTCTGAGTCAGAAGTGGCGTTTCAGTATCTACCGATACAGGTTCAGGGGCCTCTGCGAGCAACGGTCGCAAGCTATATGGAAATAGCGACTGTCTTGGAAAAAGGCGTTCGGCCACGTAGGCCCAACCAGAAGCTGAAGCTGTCGTTCGGGCGACGACTGGTTGTCGCCTATATGGCCATGAGCAATATGGGACTCTCCACGTGTCGCAGTTAGTGGCTATCGATTGATGTCATGTCGATCCTCCATATGGGAACAATGTAATTGAATACAGAATGCCAAAGATACTCTCATGCCTTTTACTAGCAAGGCCAGCGTTTGTAGCGAAAGTATCATTGTCTGGAAACTTCATGTACCTGTTATTGACCTATGCGGTCATGGCCATCGCTCGGCGGCACCGGCTAATCGTCTGAGGATGCCGCCATGGCCTGCACCTTCACTTGCCACGGACGCATGTAGGTGACCATCGTCCAGCTCGGCTGCATCAGTCATCCGAGAGATGAAGAATTTCACGGCGGTCGGCCAGGGAGGCGCGCTTCTCATCTAGTACCACGCACTCGTCGTATGCGCAGAAATTGTACACGATTAGGGAGCCAACCACATCCGGTTCCCCCACGGCGAGGTAGATCGCTATCAGTGACTTGATCTGGGGCTTGACGCCACCCTGTCGGTTATCCGAGTGCAAGCCGTCGAAACCATCGACGATCGGAGGCGCCAGATCCGGTAGGCATATTAACGTGCTTGACCCCGTAGCCGACAAGGGACGTCTGTTCCTGTATCATGTTCCGGTGGACACTGCCCACATGGCCAATGTGTTTACGCCCGGCCCACGAATGGCTCGCAGCGGCCGGCTGTAATCGAACATCTACGCCAGGCCAACGTCCAAACACATGTCCAGTTTGTGCCAGTGTAATCCTCTTCCTACGCTCGGACGCATTGTGGATTCTCGAGAACGGACCGCGTTATAACAAGGAAAGGACCAGTCTCCAGCTGTTGTTGCTGGCCGTCCATCGGTCCTTGTCGAATAAGGAGCTGGACGTTGTCGTTCGAGCGGTATTTGCGTTCTGGGAGGGGGGGGGAGGGTGTGGTTTCTGAAGAGAAGGAACGGATCTATGTCTAGTTAGCTTTGATAGATGGATCAATCCGGTTAATACTACATACGCAGTGGTCGTTGCAGTGGGCGATGGTTGACTTTCTGGAGTTGAGCAGTAGAAGTTGTGGGGAAAGTCCAATGATCATGCACGCTGAGTCATCTGTGCACCATTTCCCTGCATAATTCAGCTCCTACCGACTCGGGACTAGTGTCACCTTGGCAAGCCCGTTACTATCAGGGAGGATCTACCTCCTGTAAACATCTCGATCACCGTCGTATACTATCAATTTCTCACCGGGCCAGGTCTTTTGAAGTACCCCCACGGCTATCTACGTCGAAAACTGACCTATGTCCCAAGGGAAAACCTCGAAACTTCGATCGCTCAGGTACATTCATACGTCTACCAAATTACACCAGATATCTGTCAACGAGAACACCGATCATCTACGGTTTTATCAATACCTCCAAATGCTTCTGAGTCCTGGGCGCATATACGTCGTTCCATTCCATGTCAGCGCGTGTGGTGTCGTATAGACTGAATTCCAGGCTGCGGAAGATATGCCCGAGGACCAGATATAGCTCTGCGTAGCCCAGACTATGAGGGCTAAGTTAGCTGGAGAATTCACCATGGGGTTAAGAAAAAATGAGCCATACTTGATACCGAGACAGCCGCGAGACCCACGGGAAAAGGAGACAATATAGCGGTCCAGATGATGAAAGTCCTGCCCAAGCCACCTCTCTGGCTTGAATTCGAACGGATCCGGGAAATATCGGTCATCTGTATTGTATAACGAAATGGCACATCGAGACGATCATTCGTCATTCTGCGCCTGGCAGCTTTCGCGCTCTCGTGTTGTCTTCGAACCTCGGCTCATTCGATCGTGATCCATCTAGCAGGGATTCTGTATAATAACACTCAATTCCACCGGTCACTTGTCGCTCGGAACCTGCTCTGTGCCTTTGGCTACCTCCTCGCTGGCAGTGGCTGCAGCCTTGCTGCAATCAACACATACCGGCTTTCAATGGATTCTCAACTCTATGTCCTTGAGGGCAGTCTCTCACTGGTTAAGAGTGATACGTGGAATTGGCTGTGTATTTTTGCCTGTGTGGCCCTGTCGACGGTTCATATATGCGATCTTTCAGACACCGAAGGAGATAGAAAAGTCAACCGTCAGACTCTCCCGATCGTCCTGGGGATAAGAAAGACATCGTCGCTGTCATCGGTGATTATTGCCAAGTGGAGTCTGTTTCTGGGATTACCTGCGTTGTCTTCCCATCCAAAATGCGCCGCCGTATGTGTGGCGCTTGGGACACAGGTCGCCTTACTGTTATGGCGGAGCAGAATTGATGAAAAGGCCGTCAAGCAGGTCTATTTCTCTTACACGGGCTGGTTGTCACTTGTCGCGCTCTATCCAGTGCTTTTACGGTTCTAAGCATTGCGTTTGCGCGCGTAGGGGTCCTTTCCCTTGACGCACGACAAATGATGTTTCCTTTTCATTCTTGCTTTCTTTCCCTTCTTTTGTCATTTTTCTTTTCCCGTTCTTTCTCTATCGGAATGCTGTTCTTGTTCTTTTTTTACGATTTTTTTTTTTTTTTTTTTTTGGCGATTGAGCAGACACAGAGCCCCAAAATAAAGATTTTTAATGATTTATATCTACTGTATGTCTAGAGGGTAAAGGTGGAAGATTACCCCAATTTAACCCATAGTGACTGACCTTGCAAAGAGAGATTAAAGGCGCTGTAACCTAGTCTTACCCTGTTTGTCTCTAAAAAAAAAAAACAAAAGGCAACAGATGGATGGATGCCAACCGGAGATTGTTTACCCGCGGCCGATCTCTGCCCGATTCCTCAGGCAGCAGGGCACCAAGGCACCAAGGCCCTAAGGCTATCACCATCTTAATTTTGCCCCCAAAGAATCGAGAAGCTCTTCTCCTGTCGTCCTCTTGTCCTCTTGTCCTCTTGGCCTCTCCTCATTCCTCTCCCCTTCTTCGCCCCGCCGCATCTTCCTTCGTCGTGTCTTTCCAGACGATGGACTTACATTAATTGACTCTCCCCTAAGGGTTGCTCTACCAGGCCGCCATGTTGGTGGGGCGCTCCCATTTCCTCGATGAGTCGATCGGGCCTCTGAGATCCAGACGAGGTTGTACAACATGCAAGTAGGTGGCGATTCCTTTGTCTCCCTAGTTCTTGGTCAATCGTTTCTGATCGCCGAGTAGAGCCCGTCGGGTCAAATGTGGCCAGGAAAAGCCCGCGTGCGTGCGATGCAGCCGCACCGGTCGCCGCTGCGAGTACAGCCGACCGACCGCGTCCTTTGCTTCTGCTCCGGCCACGCGGACGGTTCTCGACCATCCCCTGTCCTCCTCGCCCAGCACCGTGTGGCGGGAGCGTCGCGCCTTTGCCTACTATTTTCACGAGGCGGCCGTGTCCGTGGGGGGTGCGCTGGACGTCGACTTTTGGCGTACGATCATCCCCCAGGTGTGCCGGAACGAGCCGGCCGTGTGGGATGCCATGATCGCGCTTAGCGCGCTGCTTGAGAGCCCCGATCTCTCCCCGGACGTGATCGCCTTCCGTCGACACCATGGCCTCGGTCTCAATGAAAACCAACGAGACGCGCTGGGCTGGTACTCGCGCTCAGTAGCGGCCGTTCGTCGACACATTGAGCGGGGCGGCGTCGACCTCTTCGTCGGCCTGGTGACCTGTGTTTTGTTCATCTGCATTGAAGCCCTCATGGGAGGCATGCGGGAAGCCGTGCAACTCTACGACCAGGGCGTCCAGCTCATTCTCACATTGCGTGGTCAAATCGCAGGTGGCGTCGTGACGGGGACCCAGGCTTCCTTGCTGGAGGACACCATCGTTCCCATTTTCGTCCGGCTCGGGATGCTCTCAACGCACATCATCGCCCTCCCCGTGAACGCCCTCCTGGCTGCGACCGAACATCCCACGGTGACGCGCTTTCCGTCTCTCAAGGCGGCCCGGGAGGCGATCGTTCTCCTGGCCGCCGAGGTCCAGCTCTTTGAGCAGACCTGCAACGACTATCTTCTCATGTCGCAGGCATCCCGGGTCACGGACGAACTAATGCAGCAGCAGCAGAGTCTATTTACGAGGTTGCAAGGCTGGTACTCGGCTTTTATCGCTTTGACGGAACACCCATCTAATCCCGACCCTTCGTCACGCCCGCTGATGAGCACTCGTGCGTTGCTCCTAACGTATTACGATATGTCCTTCGTGATTGTCGCAGTCTGCGTGATGCAGTCACGGCTCGGTCATGATGCATGCTTACAGAACTTCCGAAATATCGTCGAGCAATCGCGCATCGTTTTGCAGGAGCTGTCGCCCGGGGATGGGACTCCGCCGCTGTTTACTTGCGAAATCAGCGTAGGCTTTCCCCTCTGGTTCACTTGCCTTCGCTGCAGCGACCCGATCACCCGGCGTGCGGCGCTCTCTCTGCTGCGGCGAGCGCACCAAGTACAAGGCTTTAGTAACCGCGACCACGGGGCGAGGGTGGGGGAATGGGTGATCATGCTGGAGGAAACGTACGGGATGGCGCTCAGCGCAGCCCAAACCACGCACCAGACGAGGACACTGGAAGCACACACTGCCGTTGTCGGGCACTCCTCCCACACTCGTGATATGGACGACCTCAGCCACCTCCTGAGCACCCTGGATCTCCAATTGGCGACCAGTCCTAGCCCCCCATTTTCGGAGATCGAGCCCATAGCGCCGTCGGCAGAGCTCGTCCCGGAAGAGGCACGCATCCGGCCGCACGGTGTGTTTCGGCCGCGAGATGGCTTTCCGTTGGGGACCACCGAGGCAGACCTCACCAAGTGGAGTCGAAGCTCGGATCAAACGTTCTTACAGTTTTCGAGAACGGAGCGTGATCGGTCTAAAGACACTTGGCGGGTAATCTACAGCTATATACCCGTTGATTTTTAGCCATCATGAAACGGATCCCACTGCTCATCCGGCTAGGCCGAGCAGGCACGAGGCAACGCCTCGGATTGGATGAACACCGTCTTCTCGCCCCGCTGGCATGAGTTATTGCCAAGAGCGAGATGCTTTTGTGTGTTTCGACCCGGCTGTTTGGGGGTTTCCGACCATTGATGAACCTTCGCTCAAACCGCAGCTGACGGTCGACCAAGGTCACCCCGTAGAAAGATCCTAGATTGGCGAGAGTGGCGAGGCGACACGGGAGCGATGAAACGATGAAACGTCTCCCTGTGGTTCCGGCCCCTTGGCGGGAGCCCCTGCCACCAGGGCTCGATTCACGATGAAGATGCCGATTTGGCCCCAAACGGGATCATTACGCTCGTGGCTAAGCTCCATCTGGGGTTGGACCAACTAGTATACCATTAAAGAGAGTGTATTGACATTAGAGTGTAGTCACTAGCTAGTATGTATATCAGAATTATCGAGAATTATTATTAATGACACTAAAGATTCATCACATTAGTCGTTAAGTGGAGACCCTTTCCCCTCAGGATCTCCCCACTCCTTCCTGGCTCATTCCATTCCCCTAGCAGCTGTACTCCACCCACCAGCCCGTCTCCTCGTTTTGTTCCAGGAAGACCTGATCGTTGAGGACCATTGCTAGCCGAAGCGATAGGTTCTCTTTGCAGTCCACGGCGGCCACCAGGTTGGAGCGCGGGCCCGGCGTTTCCGGCCAGAAGGAAAAGTCAGCCGATCCCAAACGCTCGTTGTCCTCGTTTTCGAACACTGTCACACGTGCCGTGTGTCCGGCCGAGAAGTTTCGTTCCTCGGGGATGCTCCATCCCACGGAACAGTCCTTGGCCTCGGAGGGGAGGGTCCACGAGGCAATCTGCTGGCGTTCGGTCGTATTCGATTTGATGAGGTCAAAGTTCTCTGCGGGCTTCGGGTGATCGGTGTCGGGGAGAATGAGAGTCTGCATCTGAGGCTGGAAGAGCCTGGTCTTCTCGCCCTTCGCCGGGCAAGACCCGAGAGGAGGCTGGGAGCCGTCGTCGGTCTGGTCGGGGCAGCCATCTTGCAGGGCGCACGGGTCGACCGAACAGCAACCGCGGAAGTTGTTGAGCTTGCAGGCGTAAAAGGCCGTGCCTGCCTCGCATTGCGTGTCGTCGCGAGAGCTCAGAGCCAGACCGGAGCTGGCGGTCGTAGGCAGGGCCGCGGCGAGAGGCACGCCGATCAGGCTGGCTGCCATACAGAGGGCGGATGTGCGGAAGAGCATCGTGGATTATGCGTGGATGAAGAAATTAAGTTGCGACGAGGATGGGAGAAAGATTATGAGGAACTCAACCGGGAAGGATGAGATTAGAGAATTAAATGAATTGCTCGTAGTAGAAACTCGGGATGATTCTGGGATGCAGTAGCTCTCAGGGCGAAGTTGGTCCCATTTATAACCTCGCGACGGAGGCTGTTTCCAGTGAAGGATCAATGGATCATCGCCTAAAATTCAGACGGACCAAAACGCGGCTCGCGGCCTAACCTCCAGGTTCCAGTCCCGGATGAATCCCTCCCTCCCCCTTGGCCAGGCAATACCAAGATCGCAAGGCGCAGATCCCAATTCCCTTGCCCAGACAGCGCCAAGATGGGCTAATGTACAGCCAGACTGATAGTTCCGTAGGATTCTGCGGCTTTTCTTGCCAGCCAAGACGTGACGGCGGAGTAGGGCTGTGCTGATCACGCCCAACCCCCTATAGGATGTCCTGGATGCTCCCCGGTCGCTCCACCTGCGAGCTATTATTATCAATCCGAATTGATAACACAACATGTGTTTAAAATTGACTGTTTATCGTCCGGAGGATCAGTCAGCCTGCTGTACACCGTAGTTAACTAGTGCTGGCCTCCGAGCGAATAAGCCGACATGACATCGGGACGTGCGGCTGCCACCCCAACCTCCCGCCGCGCAAAACCAACGTTATGGACAGAGTACGGAGGATCTAGTTGGTACCTCAGGTAAGACACGCTGGCCAGGGCTCTAAAATTAAATCCCGCTCTCAATGGATCGCGATCGGAGGCTGTGCTGTGACAACGTCATGATTGCTACCGTCCACAGAGCGACCAGCGAGGCATTCCGGTGCGAGCAAGCAACGCAAAAGCGATGGGATACGGTACTATGAATAGATGAGCGGTAGAAGTTACCGGGTGATCGAAGGACCAGGTCATCGTTCTACCGTGGACAAGTCCTGTCCTCTGTTCTGTAGCGATCTCCTGCCAGCCCTGTCCGCCATGTCAAGTCCAGCGGAGTTGAAGCATGATGAATCAAATGCCCGTTGATCGGAAGCGGCGAATTCTCCGATTATTGATGTCCACTGACCATGCATTCCCTGTATTGGGAGGGATACAAGGTTCGGGATTTTATCTAAAACTGTAGTGCCAATGCTGCTATCTGCGATTTCTATTTGACTTGTCCCTCCGACACGGTCTGGAATTGTAGACCAGATCAAGGGCAGTTTGTTGCGTCGACGCAAGATCATGCAAGGGCTGGCACCAAGGGTTCATCTCAAGCAGATCGCCCCGATATTACGGGGTACTCCTATGGGACTCAAGGTTCAACCAGGCAATATTTGGATGCAGCGAGCAAGGGGTAGTTTGCCACCGTAACACCGTCCAGTGACGCCTGGATCTCGACTTCCCACAGTCAGGGGAATTCCAATAATGACGGATTTCGCCCACGCGACTGAGATCTCTCCGACATAAATGGGCTTGGGTGGGGTTCATTCCAGCGTGACAGAATCAAGTATCAAACGACACCGTGAACATGGAGATGACGATAGGTTAGCTATTAACAAGTTTGCCAGCCTTGAATACCGTTAATTGAGATGGTCATTCTTCCAAAGAATGTGCCTTTGGGGAAATCACTTTGCGAACTTGAAGACTTCTAAATTATATCGCTTAAATATATACACAGATCATCCCTCCATTAAGTCATCCCAAGCCCGCATCACTTCAACAGAGTCGCCGTGGCCTTGGCCCGGAAGTCCCGACTACTGAAGCCGGCTTTAAAGGTAAAAGCACCGGTTGGAATGCGCCAATCCTGGGCGACGACATCCCAGTAACTGAGGTCCCGACGCATCAGGTCAAAGGTCACCGTCTTGGTCTCCCCTGCCCGCAGCCAGACCTTGTCGAAGCCACGCAGCTGATTCGGGGGAGTACCAGAGGGAGCGGAGGAGGGGAACTGCACGTAGAGCTGGGGAATGGCGAATCCGTCGACATCACCCGCGTTGGAGACCTGCGCGGTCAGAGAGTATACCTTGTCCCAGAGTGCGGGATTGCCGCCGGGCTGGACGGGACGGGCCTCGGGCAGGGCGGTCAGGTTGAACGGAACCGAGGTCTTGGGGGAGAGGGTGGTCAGGTTGAAGGTCGTGTAGCTGAGGCCAAATCCAAACTCGTAGCGAACGGGGATATCGTGGGCGTCGAAGTAGCGATAGCCGACTTCCAGCTTCTCGTCAAACCAGCTCTGCCAGTCGTAGGTGCCGTTCGTGGCGGATCCGGTGGTCAGCGGCGCGTTGTAGTCGGACTCGTTGTAGGCGATCACGTAGGGAAGCTTGGCGGACGGATTCACGTCGCCGTACAGGAGGTCTGCGATGGCATTGCCGGCCTGCTCGCCGGGATAATGCGCGGCGAGAATGGCGGTGACGTTGGGATGGTCTGCGAAGGGGAAGACGTTGACGCCGGCGGAATGGGTGACAACGACGGTGTTATTGCAGTCGTTGGCGACTGACTCGACGACCTTGTTGCCGTCCCAGTCAAACTCCAACGTCTGACGGTCTTCGCCTTCCTGGCCGTACGACTTGAGAAAGACCAGGCAGACATCCGGGGATTGGACGGTGAGTAGGGACGGGAGGGAGTTCTCCGCGACCAGGGTGTTGTTCAAATAGGGCTGCACGATGCCACCGTGTCGGAGAGCGCGAGCCGTGATGGCCTCCAGAGGTGTCGACAAGGTGGTCAATCGGCAAGACCCCGACGAGCCCGAGTTCACTAGCACACCGTATTCGGCGTTGGATCGCGTGGTGGCGGCATCGATGATCGGGCCGGCGTCGTTTCCAGCAATGACAATGTTGCGAGGCTTGCGCAGGGGCAAGGCGTTTCGCTCGTTCTTGAGAAGCACCGTCGATGCAGCGCCGTGTTGGCGAATCAGGGCACTATGATTGCCCCGGACGTCGCGGTTGCTCGACCCCGTGAACTTCCAGTCATACAGCCAGTCCTTGATGGGGGAGTCAGTGTTGAGCAAGGCCACCTGAGAGTCCACGCTGGGGTAGGATGGCTTATCCTGACCGAGCCAGTAATAGGGCGTCATGATGCGGACAATCATGTCATCGATCCGATCGGAACTGACGGTACCGTTCTTGATGGCCTCCGTCAGGTTCTTTCCGAAGAACGAACCCTCCGTCCACAGCTCTCCGTACACCGTGAAGCCGCCGGGCATCGTCATGTCCATGCCACTCTCGATGGAGGCGACGCCGCTATGGGTCGCACCCCAGTCCGACATGACGTAGCCCTGGAAGCCCAGTTCACCCTTGAGCAGGTGGTTCAGCAAGTACGAGTTCTGGCAGGAATGCGAGCCATTGAGTCGATTGTAGGAGCACATGAAGCTGGCAACGCGCGCCTTGGCCGCATTGGCAAACGGCCACATGTAGATCTCGTGCAGCGTGCGATCATCCACGTTGGCCGATACCGAGTCCTGAATGTAGGTGGTTTCGTTGGCATCGGGGCGGTAGGTGGGGTTGCGCTGCGTCTCCTGCTCGTTCGCGATGAAGTGCTTCGCGTTCGCCTGCACTCCGGCGTCCTGCATTCCCAGGATGGATTTCTCCATGCAGACTCCCGTCAGATACGGGTCGGCGGCGAATCCTTCCCAGGAGCGTCCTCCGTAGGGGCTGCGACCCAGCGGACCGGCCACGGGACCCAGGATGACATGGGAGCCTTTCTGTTTATGCTCCTGCGCCTGGGCGTAGGCTCGATCGTACAGCAATTTCCGGTCCCAGCTGGCGGCAGCCGACACGCCGCTAACGAACACGCTGGAGTAGTCACCCTGCTGAACGCATTGGGGACCGTTTTGTAGACACAGACCGGTGAAATTGAGCCGAGGGATGGGCAGCACGTTGCCCACACAAGGACCCGGCTGACCCGTGGCCATCCACGCCTTCTCGTCGTCGGTCAGCTGAGAGACAAAGTGTTTGGCCTGTTTCACGGCCTTTTCCCAGCCTCCATTCCCCGTCGTTTTCGCTGGAACAAGAGCATTAGCGTGCTTCACGGACCAGCCTGGGGCGTGGGCGAGTCACTTACGAGACGGATGCACGGCGGGAGAAGCGCCATAGGGGTTCAGGACGGTGGCGTTCTCCGGGGGAACATAGCTAAACGGCGTCCCAGTAAATGGACCAGAGGGTTGGCACGTGTTGGCCTCGACGGCTGCCAGCCAGAGCGTCGACAGGAGCGCGCCCGTCACCTTCATCTTGGAGTTGGGTTGACCTGGATTGTGGATTTTGCCTGTCTTCCTCCAAGCACAAGAATCATCGTCTGCTTTATAGAACAGAGTCCCCGTCCCAGCTCCGAGAACTGATTTGCCTCTTTTGGCAGGCAGAAGCACACATTCAGCATGGCAGGCTTGAACCCCCAACCTAATCTCCACAGGTCCCCAGCTCGGAGGCTGCAGAACGAATAGAAGCCGGGGATAGCCTCGTGTCAAGCTTTCCCCACGTCAACCGAACCGATGCAGAGAGCGATTTCCTGGGGAATGACCTCATTTTGTCGGTTGGGGAAGAACCGAAGTTTTGCCGGTACGGTGAGATGCCAGAAAAAGCGAGAAGGCCCCCACACGTTTACCCCGCGGGTGGCTTTACTCTTAGTCTCTCAGTCGTTGGTCGTCGTGGAGCTTCCAACTTCCGGCATTATTGTCGAGGCGGCCGACATCCCAGCTGGAGAAATGACGGGGGTGGACTGGACTATCGGCCCGGTCGGCCTGCTTAATGCTTATGCTTCCTTGATCAAGCACCAGTGCACCACGTACCGTAGACCACGCGATTCAGGATTCTCCGATTCCCCCACAGGGTGATGTCAGGATACCACCGTTCCCTCTTAATCATATGGTCCGTAGTGGCTTTCCCAATCTCCCCAATTCCCTGAAAACTACAAGACTCGGCTCGAGGATCCGACTTCGGCCGGCATCCGCCGCGAAAGAAAAACCGGGAATTACGGAGTAGTGCGAGCAGCTACCAGGGATTCCCCACTGCGCGAATACCGGCCGCCTATAATCCCGACACTAGACGGGAAGAGCATGGTGAGTCGGTCATCGTGATTGAAAAGTTACTGGTCTATCGAACCCCACTGACATCGACCGACATGTGCATGGCAAATGTATACGGCTGATCAAAGCACTCATCCCACGTTTTGTGTGTCGAATCCAGAGTCCAGAATTTCTCCAACAGTCTTTAGCCAGGAGTGGCACATACGTCCCCATTGAGTGGCTCATACCGGGGAGTTGCTCGCGGAGAAAGGCCCGCGAGCCTGCATCCTGCACGGCTGCGACGCCGATCACCACCAGGTCCCAAATTACAAATCGTGTCAGGTGGCGGAAGACACGGCGACTGCGAGTCGCCGTCGCAGGCCGTTAGCCTGGTCGATGCAGAGGTCACGCAGTTGCGCATTCCAAGGGAGAACGCCCAAGCTCTGAACCGACAGAATACAGTAGATCGCGATGGCGGCTTGGTGGATGGCTCCTAAAAGCTGCCAGTCCGGATTGGTCGAGATGGAATGGGCCCAACGGGCGACCGAGAAACCGTGGATCCGGTTCAGAATCTCATATGCTGGTTGAATCAGGTCCCCGGGGACACCGTCCAAGGCTTGTTGTCGCAGGTAATTGATGTTGAGGATCTTCCCAAAGAGTGCGGCCGGGTACGTGCCGAAGGCAAATGGTTGATTGGCATGCTCCTAAATCTTGAAACCAACTGCGGCCATATCCGAGGCTCTCAGCGACACTTGAGATGCCGGCGACGAGGTATCTCCCATGATGGCAGCGCTGGAATGTCAGTCTTCCAAAAAGTCCGACAATGAAATTAAACAGTCACGTACAAGGCCACGAACAACAGCAATAGACGTAGTCCAGGCGATCCGGCCATGGAGCGTACTCCACCGCGCAAGTCGATGATTTTGCGCACTCCGTCGAGGTGGCATCGGCAATGAGGCGAGGCGCCATGCTGAGCCTGCCCGTGATGAGTCTAACCCCGGCACAAACGGGGCATCTACACATTACATCTACCAGCAGCAGGGTCAGCATCCTCGCGATTACCCGATCGCTGGTGCGTCTCTGCTCGCTTTGAATGTCGTCACTCAAAGAGCGGATCAGCCGGCCCCGGTAATGGAAGAAGTCCCGCATCCGCGCCTGCGATGCAGACTCCTTCCGGATCCGATTAAGGAGGTGACTCAAGGTCATGCACACGATGACCATGCGAATGTGGTCCGGATGCCGGGCCATGGCCATCTGAACGATGTCCGGGGTGATGGGATAGATGGCGGTGTTGAGCCCCCAGTCATGCGATGTGCGACAGGTCGGGATAGATGCACGCATTGTCTGGCGATCTTTCAGTGGAAACCGGACGGAGTTGACCGAGTTGACGGGGCTTGCGGTCACAAATAGTATTCTGAGGCCTGGACAAAGATCTGGAGATCGGTGGGCAACTCATGGGCGAGTTTGGCCTCGGGCTTGGCGGGCTTGGGGCGTCGCGCTGTCACTTTCCCGGGCAGGAGCCACTTCAGCCTGCGAGGCTCCGTCTGGCCGTATCCCGGGCAGGCGATGCCCGCCGTCGCCCATCGCTGGCACTGGGGGCGCACAAAGTCGCAGACCAGGGATCGTCGCCGGCACTCCCAGCAGGGCGGGGGACTGTCTGTTTACTCCGTACGGATGACTTCTTGGTTCCCTGGGTCAGTGCGTCACAGTCCGTTGCTAACTCCCTCGAGTTAGCAGGACTCGGCAGGGCATTAATTTGATAGAAAACAGGAGAGAACAGGAAGTCTCCTGCCTCTTTGTGCGACGAGCGGAAGAGCGACGCCCGAAGGAGCGCGATCATCCCCCGTCCCACGTGACCGAGGGGGGTCTGCTGATAAAAGCCCTGGACTTCCTCGGCCGGAGATCTCCATTTCCTTTATAGGTGAATCTATACATATATGATCCCATTGATCAGGGTTACAGCTCCTCCGTAAATCCATCACTATGCTCACCCACTGTGCACTGGCTGCCGTCGCCCTCTGGGCCGCCCATCCGGCCGCCGCCAGCTACGCCTTCTACGTGGGCAAGAACCTCACGGTCGACGGAAGTACGATGATCGGAGGCACGGGCGAAGAAGTCTCCAGTCACTGGCTGCAGCTGTTTCCAGCGCGCGACCATCCCCCCAACGCGACCATCACCGTAGGCGTCACCGAGGACGCCAGCTTCCCCGGCGAGCGGATCCAGATCTCCCAGGCCAACCACACCTTTCGATACCTCAGCATGGAATACTCGGACTACGAGGGATTTCCGGCGCCCCTGACCAACGGCGGCCTCAACGAGAAGGGCGTTGGCGTGCGGGACGTCTGGGCCGTCAACCGAGACGAGCTGCAGGCCATGACACCGAACCCCCAGCACGGATTGCAGTACAGTGACCTTGCGCGCATCGTCTTGGAGCGTGCGAGCACCGCCCGCCAAGGCGTCGAACTCATCGGACACCTGATCGCGAAGCACGGGGAATCGACGTACGGCGGCAACTCCCACCTCATCGCCGATCACGACGAGGGCTGGGTCGTCTGGGAGATGGCCGGCGGCGCGGGACTCTGGGCGGCGCAGCGCCTGGGGCCCAACGAGGTGAAGGTCCTGTATCCCGGATATATCGAGGACTTCCCGGTCAACTTCCGGGACCGCGCCGATTACATGGGCTCCGAGAACATCGTGTCGTTCGCAGTCGAACGGGGCTGGTGGAACGCCTCCTCCGGCAGGCCGTTCAATATCTTCGATGTCTACGGCCCGCAGGATCCCCGGTACCGGGCCCGCGACGGGGGATACAAGTTCATGTCCCAGGCCGCGCTCGAGGATGCCACCCTGCGCATGGCCCCCGTGACGGAGGAGAAACTCATGGCGCGCGTCCGGGATCACCGTATCGCAGATGACGAGGCCGGCTATGGACAAGTTGTCAGTCTGCGTGCCGGCGTCGACCGCGACATGCTGCGCATCTGGATCGCACCCACCGGCTCCGTCGCTGCCCCTTTCCTTCCGTACTGGCTGGGGGTTGAGTCTATCCCGGCGGAATACGGAGAACACCGGTACCTGACCACGGGGGCCTCCAGCAGCTTTCTCAACCCAGACTATCAGCTCCAGGAGGCCTCGATCTTCGCCGGCCGGGTGTTCAAACGGGTTCTGTACTATATGTGCTCCTCGCCGCCCCAATACCTTCCCCTCGTGAGGGAGATGCTGACCCGATTCGAATCTGAATCTCGCGCCCAGATTCAGGGCTGGGTAGAGCATTCCGCTCGGCTGCTAATCAGTGCCGGTCGGCGACAAGAGGCGCGCTCATTACTGACCTATTATTCCCATTCTCGCGCAGGGAAGGCCCTAGAGATCGGCCACCGGCTGAACAACGCGCTGGATGGCTACATCAAGTTGACCGGACAGTGGCAGACCCCGGTGGGCAACGAAATCAACGACAGCGGTGAAGGCAAGGAAACGGTCAATTGCTTGGTTGGATACGATCCCGACCAACCGAAGGACCTTCAGTCATAAACCCACCAATTCCCCAGGAAATCCGGGATGACATTGATGACTTGTTCATTGTAGAGCACTTTATCGAGTTCACTGCTAGACTAATGACTGCACAACATAGCCCAAATCTAGATCGGGGATTCGTGGATTCAATCGCGTCTCTGATACCGCCTCTCTCTTGTGGAAAAGTCCAGTCTATCGATTTGTAGCTTTGTCGACGTACTTGCCACCAGTTACAGGTCGACATCTTCGCCATTCGTATGTGCTTCCAGATATTAGATGTTTCATTCCTATGTTCTCATTAAAGTACTGGATCAGAGCTCGTCTTGATTTAAAGCGTTACACTCCATTACAAGGTGATCGGTTGATACAGAGAGACCGATGAACGCCTCTCCTATTAGGTGATTATAGACGTTGCCCTGACTGCTGGAATCCGGATCATTCACACTAGTGGGGGTCACTTTTCAAACGCGCTTGAGATGCTAACTAACAAGTCAATGCTTAACGCTGTCGTGCCTGTTCGTCTTTCCACAACAGATGATCTGTTAGAACCACATCGTATTGTCTCTGGTGTATCGGGCCAGGGGTGCTTCTCAAACACTTCCACGTGGCGGGACGACCAATCCCTGAGGTTGACGGACCAGACGATTTTTGTCGACGTCCGTGGGATACTTAGAATCTCCCGGAGAGTCAATGCTGGAGGGAGACCCATCTATCTCCCGTTCAACGTCTATCATTATACCCGGGGGCTAGACGTTTCAAGACTCTGCGAGGGAACTGGGTGGTTCATGGGTGCGGCCCGTAGTTGACAAAGTGGCGGACTGGATATCCATAGGTTGGAGGGTTGACTGATGGGGATGGGGGGTTGTCGAAGGTCTGACACGGTTATTTCTCGGCCGGTAACTCGTGAATTTGCGTATCTTTCATGTTGTCCAGCTCCGCCGCCACGCCGTGTCCGTGGAGCTCCCTGGGATGCAGGTTCTGGTACTGGTGCGGCAGCCCAGGTTCGCCAGCTGGGGGTGGCACGGGCTGGTTCTTTTGACGCCGACGCAGGAGGTACCAGATGAAGGCGCCAATCACGGCGAGACCGCCGACGCCGCCGACTACGCCTCCGGCGATCGCACCGCCATGATTACTCGACGCGCCGGTGGATGAGTCGGATGTGGACGAGGTGGTGGCGGAGGAGGAGGCGGAGGTAGACAATGTGGCAGCGGCCGTGGATGTCGACGATGTCAAGGTGGCAGATTCGGAGGTATCTGAATCATGAAGTCAGTGTCAAACACACCGGCGAACGAGAGAATGACCACCTACTGTAGGAAATCGGATTCAAAATGGAATACGATCGGTTGTTGGGGATCCCGTCCGAGCAGCCAACGGCGTCTTTCGGACTGCTCGTCCAGAAACCCGTCTGGTCGCTGAGACAGCAAAAGTACCCAGTGTGATCATACATCGTCCCATTTGCGAGGGCGCAGTGGGGCGACTCTTCCAGCGGAGCGGTACAGTCGGACTCTGATGGGCAACAGACATTGTTGGGAATGCGTTGCGTGGCCCCGGGACAGACCGAGTTGCCAGGACAGCACGCGTGGAAGTTGTCCCAGGTGCGGCCGCAGCTGGTCTCGCTGCTGAGACAGGTCCCATTTCGGCGCAGAGGGAAACCGTAGGGAGGGTCGTAGGACACCATCGCGAGGTGTACGATCGGTCAGGACCTCAGGGGAGCACGGCGAGAGAGGGAACGAAGGGGTTCGGGGAGTCTGACGGAGCGAGAGAGGAGAAGAAATCGCAACGAGGTTTGGGGGCCCGGAGTGGACCCCGGGAATTTCATTTTTGGCCCCCATTCTTCATATCACTATTCCTCACTAGTCGCATGGTCCGTCCCTCGTGGCCCTCCTTCGGACGGGATGATTTCGAGCCGTTGGGTTTAGTTTGGGTTCGCGTCTGGTAGCGCCCCACTGTCGCGTTGCTTAGCACGGGCTGGTGGTCTGGTAAACGAACAGGCTACTGTACGCACTGTCGGTCCTATGGCTGCGTCCGTCCTCCGTAGTGGTCATCATATATAGCGCTTAACCGAGTGAGCATAGGGATATTACCAAGGCTTCAATGTACAAATGTTCCGTGGAATGTACGGAGTTCAGCCCGTGCATGTGTTGGAAACCAGAAAGGCCGAGAAGGTAGGGCACAAGCGAAGGAAAGAAGGTCGTAGGACTTGCCTTTAACCTGGCCCTTATCTGCATTGAGGTCTGTAGACGAATATATACGCATAAACAGCATGCAGATCATCGGACGTTCAGCTGCTCTGAGCTTCGGTGATCCAGGTAAGACGTTTTCTCCGAACTGCTCCGACAGTGGTGCCGGTCTGCAGCTTCTCGTCGTCAGCTATCCCGGAAATGCCATTGCCACTACCATAGCTAGATTAACACGAAGTTTACTGTGTTCTGTATCAGTGGGAACAAATCTCGACACATGGAACAATTCGCACATTTTTCAACGGTAGATGATCTAGAACCTTTCGACGCTGTCGGAAAAGTAGGTGGCCAAACGGTAAGGTCACAAGTCATGCATAGTACGATTGCCCTAAACAGGCTTTCATATGCGAGGGGTGATACTTTCGAGTCATTTGGCAGACTGTGTTCTTCAGCCCTTGCATGTAAATATTTCCCGAAATGGACGTTTCGTCAGGAAAGGGTGGAGTATACGGAGGACTGCCTTACAGTATCCAGCACATGAGATCCATGATTTTGGTTATTCGGATTTTCCGTTTGATCGGTTGCCGACATTGCCTCGTCAATTTGGTTTTGTATATCTCGGTTCTCCACCTGACTGATATTTCAACCTCAATACCTACCACGGTAAAATTGCTGGTACCGTTCGTCTTCGGCAGGCTTGGATGTATGCATGGCCGAGAACAGCATAGACAACGTTTAGCTGACTCCTACTGCTTCATGGTCTTCAGGTGTATGATGGAACAGTCGGTAAGCAGGCTCCTTGCTTAGGAGTGCTCTCTACGACACGGAATAATTCTTTCGCTTGTGGAAAGGCAGTAACCATAATAACCTGTCAAGACTGCTATTGTGTCTAGAGCAATGTGACACTACTTGCATTCTTCAGCATTTGTGATAGTGGGATCTATACTTTGTTCAGTATGACATGCATCGCATCCAGGGAGCGCAATGAAGGACGATGTCATTTGTACTCAAGCCAGGAGACCTCGCACTTGTTCAATCGTCATAGAATCTCGAGTGTTGTCAGTAAAGAGGTCTACGTTAGAGTAGCTAGGGTATAAAAACCTATATATTCATGACCTATCATTTGTACTCCAAACAGATTAACTATACACCAAACGAAAAGCCACCCCTTTACCACTGATGTTATCATTATCGGTGCCGGATTCGCCGGAATCAGCGCCCTCTACTATCTGCGGAATATGGGGTTTGTCTGCCAAATTGTGGAAAAGGTGGATGACATTGGTGGTGTTTGGCACGTGAATCGATATCCCGGTGCTCGGACCGACTCCGGTATTCCATCTTATATCTTGAACAATCCAGAGTGCTAGCAGACCTGGAGCTGGAGCAAACTGTTCCCAGATCACAATGAGATAAACCAGTTTCTGGATCACTGTGATAATCAGATAGGGATTCGAAAGCATGCCTTAGTTGGGAGGAGCGTTACCGGAGCTCAATGTAATTCGGCATGCCGCTGGGGCGTGGAGCTGGATGATGGAACATTCATGACCAGCAAGTATCTAGTCTGTGCCGTTGGGACCACATCTCAAAGATCCGATCAGATGGATAGCATACTCAAAGGCTTCCGTGGTCAAGTTTATATTCCCTGCCCTTGGCCTCGTTACGACGTCAGCCCCGAGGGACAGGATGTCGCTGTAATTGGCACTGGCTCCACGGCCCTCTAGATTATTTAAGAGTTGGGTCCTCGCGCAAAGTCATTGACTGTGTATCAAACATCGCCTAATGGTGCCCTACCGTTGCCTTCATGCTCCTACAAAGGGCTTGATCATCATACCCCGAAAGAAGCCCTTCCAGAGATGTTTGAATCCCGCAAATGAACACCATCTGGCCTGGCGATGGTGGCGCCTCGAGACAAGGGGAAATTTGAGGCATCCGATACTGAACGTCATGGAACCTTCGATGACCTTTTCAAAAAGGGTCTTGCATACTGGTTAGGTGGGTTCAAGGACCTTACGTCGGACCCCGCGGCCGACCGTGCCTCCTATGACTTCTGGGCACACAGAACCAGGCAAAGATTTCATGACCCGCGAAAACGTGATATCCTTGCTCCGCTGAGGCAAAAATATCCGTTTGGAGCAAAAAGACCAGCCTTAGAGTATGGTTACTTCGATCTCTTTAACAGAGATAACATCAATGTTGTCGATACATGCGCGAACCCAATTTCGGGTACGGCGGATGACCGCATTATCTTGGAAGATAGTAGTACCCATTGCCATGATATTATCATTCCAGCCGTTGGATACACCACGGCGGATGATATTTTCAAGTCGCTTGGCCCGAGGGACACCGCAAATAAACCCTTGGATGAGCATTGGCGCACCGATATCCGAACACACTCTTTGGCATCATGCATCACAGGTTCCCAAATATCTTTATGATCTGTGGCCCACAGTCGCCTGGCGAGCAGTGCAATGTACCTACCTGCATTGATATCCAGGCGACGTGGATAGCGGACATGATCTGGAAAATGGAGAGCCAGAATATTATTTCCATCCGTCCCAAAGTTGCATCCATGAAGGAATGGAACGCAATGATATACCAAGGGTACAATAAGGAGTTTTATTCTTCGTCTAGATGCAGATACACAAGGGCGGAAAAGCCACTATTTTATGGTGGTGGTGTTGCTCAGTATTACCAGGATCTCATCGATGGAAATGCATCATGGGATAATTTCGAGATTGTTCAAGGGGATCTTGTGAACTCCAAACCTCTACTTTTCAAGATGGAGTTGGTGAGCTTATCCGGTGCGGCTAGGCTGTTTGTTTGATCATAGTCTGAGAGGATCAATATCCGTTTCTACCCGGTTGGACTAGGGATGGTATCAGGAGCGTGGATTGTGATGAATAGATAGATTTTGCAGTGTCACAATCCAGCAAATTAACTTTCCTCGATTGGGTTTGTGTAATGCAACTAAGATGGCTAAATCTGTAACCGTATAGCGGCACTCTTTTCGTGAATGTCAATTTAGTTTGAGCCAGAGGGTGATAAAACAGCCCAAGTTGCAATAAAATGATACCGACGTGTTTACTCCGCGCCGAAGGCCAGGGTTACAATGATTCACCTCCGGCGATGACACCATCTGCTCCACCGGCAACTTGGTCGATAGCCCGAACGGGGCAAGATGAATCGACTAGCGATGCTAGCAGATGCAACGATGCAGGATAAGCCTTCCGAACCTCCATTTCTCCGCCTCTCCTACCAATGACCATCGTCGCGAGCCCGCCATGAGGCCATCCAAGCTTCCTGCGTGTTCCGACGGTCGTCCGTTGGAGACCCTGGGCTTGCGGAGGACCAAATAACCTTTAAAAGGCGCCGTTGGGTTCCAACAGATCGGATGCGACCGTGGGAAAAATCCGGGAACTCTGCGTGCACCATGTATCTTCCCACGGCAATCCTCTCGGTTCTTTTGGCTTCCAACGCGTGGGGACTTGAAAATCCCCATCGCAAGGCCCTTCGACCGGCTCGTCAGCCCCCAAATCTGGCTCCTCGGGCGCTTTCAATTGACGATAGTGTTGAGTACAAGTACCTCAACAATAAAACCCAGAGTAGGTTTGCGTACCCCTCCGTCCGCCTTGTTCAGGTCTCATCTATGAGGCAGGATTCCTCGTCAATGGCACTGGGGTCCCCGAAGTGGATTTTGATGTCGGTGAATCCTACGCCGGCCTCCTTCCCAACACGCCCTCCGGCAATTCCAGTCTTTTCTTTTGGTTCTTCCCTTCGCAGAACCCGAAAGCCACGGATGAGGTATGCCTGGTCTCTTTCTTCTCCTCGTCCTCTGCACCGTAAGTGATCCACGCTGACAGGGGTAGATCACCATCTGGCTAAACGGCGGCCCCGGCTGCAGCTCTCTGGACGGTCTGTTGCAAGAGAATGGTCCATTCCTCTGGCAGTCGGGCACCTACAAGCCCCTTCGGAACCCCTATTCCTGGACCAACCTGACCAATGTGGTGTATGTGGACCAACCAGCCGGCACCGGCTTCTCTCCCGGTCCATCGACGGTGGAGAACGAGGAGGGTGTCGCATCCCAGTTCAAAAGCTGGTTCAAACACTTCTCCGACACCTTTTCTCTACATGGTCGAAAGGTCTACTTGACCGGCGAGAGCTATGCGGGACAGTATATCCCGTATATCGCGTCGGCGATGCTCGACGAGGAGGACGAGAAGTATTTCAATGTAAAAGGGATCCAGATCAACGATCCGTCCATCAACGAGGATGCAGTCATGATATATGGTATACCCCGTGGACGATTTCCATCTTTGTATTCGATGGCTTACTCTAATCAGCGCCCGCGGTCCGTCACTTCAACCACTATGCCAACCTCTTCGCGCTCAATGATAGCTTCGTCTCCGAGATTAACTCTCGCGCCGAGCGATGCGGTTACGACCAGTTCCTCGACGAGGCCCTGACTTATCCACCTCCCAAGAACTTTCCCGAGGCCCCG